AGGTAGACAAGCCCAGCAGGCCTAAAGCAAAGAGCAGCCTGACAGTGCATGAGGGAGAGGGAGCCTCCGAGGTACAGCGTAGCCAAGGAAGGTCAAGACCCCAGAACAGAGAGACTGAGGGTCTGTCTGCAGGGCTAGTGTGGGAGGAGAAGGAGACTGCAGTTGGTGCTGGGAAGAACCAGGGCTTTGACTCAGATGGCACTGAGTTTGATACCGCTGCACCCCTTAGTGATGTGACCTCATGCCAATTACTTACCCCAGAAAAATGACCCTCCTCCAAGTCCTACCCTTGCTGAAAGAATCAGCTGGGGTGGCCTGTGAGAAGGACCTGCTTAGGGCCTTGTTCCATGAGAGACACTCATGAAACAGTAACCACTGTCTCAGCAGCAGGGCCTGAAGAGGTGGGTACAAGACCAGGTCATCCAGAACAGGCTAGAAGACACTGGCTAATTCCGGCAGGGTAAGGGGAGATGACCTTGGAGGTGGAGCAACTGTATTGCAGGGTGATTGTATTTGTACGTTCACAGGTCAAGCGAAATAGGCCTTTGAAATTTGAGAACAAAAGAAACAAAACTGACCCAAGTGAGGGTGTTTGAAAAGCAACCATGTCTTACGAGGGACTGGGTGGCAGACCTCTCCAAGACTGTGAGCAGCGGAGCAGTCCAAGAATACTCTTCTGGTGTTTTGAAGCCCTGTTTCCTATCATGAGCTCTATTTCCAGCAGACTAATGGGCAGAAATCTATTCTGAGGTCTGAGGGCTGCCCAGCATTAGCCAGGAGCTGGGCCTTGGGCAGAGCCCTGGAGAGAGGCATCCTCCAAAGTCGCCTTGCCGCCACCTCTCCTGACACAGCACATCAGCTGTTGCATGGGCAAGGGCGAGTCCTGGCCAAGGCCTTGCTTGTGCCCACCCCACCCCCACCCAAGGGTTGGGCTGGAGAACTTCTTGGGGAGCTGCCTCCTCCATCACATTGAGGCAGTGAACCAGGAATCTTTGGAGGGGAGAGATTCATGTGGGAAATGTTGCAATATTTTCTCTGGAAGGATAAGCTATCCAGGCAGCAATGGTGCTGGGGAGGGCTGGGAGAGGGGGTGCAGAGGAAATGTTAGTCACTGGAGAGAGGCACAGTGTTTGTAGATCACACAGCCTTTCTGTGCCCACGCTGGGTGGAGCCCTGGAGGCCCAGAGGCTAATGTGTCTGGTTCTCATGCGCCACCTCTTAGAGGAAACAAACATTTTGATATTCACAACTAGATAGATTACTGAAAAGAAAGAAATGCAGAGTGGGGCCCACTGTCTGTAGGAAAAGCTCCTGCCCTGTTCAGGAGGAAGCTGGTTAAACCACGCAAAGACTCCTGTTGTCTGCCTGGGGAAAGAAAATACCTCAAGTGTTTCCTGGGGTTTTCTTCTGTGGGTTGGTCGGTTCAGGGACAGGGTGTAGAGTACAACCGGGAGCAGTCAAGGTCTGTGTAATCCCAAGATGTCTCAGACTGTGAAACTCACGGCTATGATGAAGAACAATGAATTGTCAGCAACCTGTATATTAGGATGGGGGGAAAGGACCACACACGAATGTTTTAAAGCTTGAAACTGACAATATCATGTCCGTTACTTTTGTTCGCAGGTCCATACGCTTGTAATTTATCACAGTATAATTTTATACTTCTTTATATGGTGGTTTGATTAATGCTTATTTCCCCCCACTGTCCTTAATGCTCTATGTCTTTCTGCTATTTTATTGCCAGCACCTAACACCGTCCTTGACACATAGCAGCTGCTCAATGTTGAGTTAAAGAATGAGTCAGAAAGTAACTCAGTAGCATCTTAGTAATTTCCTTGCAGTACATAAGTGCTGCCAGAAGGTGGCGAAAATACTCAGAGCAGAGAATTTCAAGCTTCAGAGGCAATGGATGCTAATAATTACATAATGCAACAAATTTGGTTGCTTCATCAAATGTGGAGTTAAGTTTATTTCCTCAGCTAACACTTGATTAAGATAAATCTCAAGGTGTGGCAGAAACGGTCAGAAAGATTTGCATTCAAATCCAGCCTCTGCTGCAGACAGCCAGGAATCTTAGGCAAATGCCTTTGACCTTTCCGGGCTTCCACTTCCTCGTCCACAAAATGGAATGTACAATGTCAGATTTTGTTATGAAAAGTAAGTGAGAGAACACTAATACACACACATATGTATATACATATACATATGAGTGTGTATATATTTTTATAATTCTTCAACCTCAAAGTTCTTTGTATCTATCATATTATTTATAGATTATTACTGCCATCAAATATTACTTCCATGTCAAAATTTAATACTAGAGTTCAAGCAAAATACATTGAGTTAAAAAGAAATTGAGCAAGAGTATGCAAAAAAAGAAAAATACTGTGCTTTTCAGGCCCTGTTGTCCTCCGAGAAAAGTAAATCTGAGTTCAAGACCCTGACTTCTTCCTACAGAAATTGAAGAGAATGCGGCTTCGTTTCTCTGTGAGGATCCATCTAGAGTTGAATTATTTTGTCAAAATAAGGAGCATTTTCCTAGTTAGAAAAACTCAAAGCACTCAGAACATGATAGGATAGATTTCCTAAAGGAAATAACCCCTCCAGAAATTTGAGGGCTCTTGAGTACACAGTTCTAAAGTAAACATGTGGGCTGTAAAAGTCAGTATACAGACCTTCTGCAAGGCATATGTAACTTTTATAGCTCAAAATTTACCATTGATTTTTCTCTCAAGGTTTTTTAGACCTAAATTAATTTTTAATATACTGACCTAAGATGCCCGGCTATTTTTAGATAAAACTGTGAAATATCCCTTAACCTTAAAGTAGGCTGTGAGACATAAGATAGTTAAAGCATTACACTGCCAGCAACCTACATGAATGGAGGTTTCGTGCCCACTGGTCTCATGCCAACTGCACATAGAAATGCTGGCGGGTAAACAGCACTAAGGGGACTTGGGATCCTGCCCAGGGGCTCGCTCTGCTCCACTCCAAGTCAGATTCACAGGTGCCAGCTCCACCCAGGCCCCTAATCGCGAGGCAGATGAACACATCAGCAAATGGCACCCTCTAGAAAGGGACCAGGACCACTCATGCATAAGGCACAGGAGGAGCAAACTTGCCTATTTGGAAGTTTTCAGGTTCAACATTGTTTAGTTCAAAACTCAGCACCAGGCAGCCTGTCCTCAGGTACCAAACACCTAAGTAGCACTGGGGGTGAGGGGCTGGGGTCATGCTGAGCTGTTCAAAGAAGGAAAGCCCTTCCCTCTACAACTCCCTCCTTGAAATGAACACTCATTTTCTGAGCTTTAGTAATACTTTGCCTTCTCCTCTGTTCTAGTTCTTATCAAGTAACATGACCAAGTCAGTTTTGAGTAAAGTGCCCCCATTAACTGTGCAGTCTCGGAACACAGAGACCTTGAGGTACTGCCCTCTGAGACCATAGTACCCAAGACGGGGCCCGACATGAAAAAGAACTCAGTGAATTTTGATGAATAATGAAAAATGAAGGATAACAGAAATGAAAGATATGTTTAGGGGATGAGGGAACATAAGAGAACATTGTCCTTTGTAACCAGGAAAAGATATGTTTGATGAAAAAAAGAAATGGGTCTCAAATGTTTATTTTGTGAGATAATAAAATGATTGTTGTCATTTTAAGCCACTAGCTTTTGGGGTGATTTGTTACAGAGTAACAGTCTCTGGAACAGGTCATTGTGCCTAGCAGTGGGTACTACCGAAATATAAGCAATGGGTACTTTCTTCCTCCTGGGATGCTTGGCTGTTCTCTGGGCCCCATGTATAGAATCCTTCTCTGTTAAAGTATGTCTTATGTCTGGAGGGAAATTTTCTACCTTCCAATGTGCTTCTAGGTGCAGGAGGAGTGGGCAGCAGGGCTCTGCAGGACCCAGGGCGGGATGCACAGTGAGAAAGATGGACCAAGGGCTCCTTGAGGCGGATAGCCCAGAGTGGGCTAAGAGGCCATCTGTATGAAGGCTGCTCACCTGGTCCACTTAGCAGGTGGCAAAACTTATGAAGGAATAGGGATATCAATGAGCATCCTCAGTAATCTTCTATAGACCTTGTAGTGCTTGTCTGTAGAGCCCAGAACCCAGAGTTTTTCATCCAGAAACACATACATAACTTCTCTGCTTTAAAATAGCACACGGTTTGTTTTTGGTTGTATTTGGGGCTTTGCAGTTCTTCCTTGTTAATTATCAGTACTACCTGCTGTTTGTGACTGGCCTAGGCTTATGTCCAAGGGAACTGAGGCCACCACCTACTGATTCCCTATGGCCTTCCTTCCTTGTGGTCTCTGCTTCCCTTTCCTCCTTGTGTCCATTCTCTGCCTCCCACACACCCCTGGTGACAGTTGGCTCTGTGAAGAAACCTCTTTATGTCTCTCGAAAATAAGCCCAGTCATGTTCTATTTTTAATGGGTTTTAAATGTCTGTTCTGCAAAAGAAAAATCCCTGCAAAAAGAAGTCAGAAACTGGAACCTCACCCAGGGAGGGGATAAGTGTGGGCCCAAGACGAGGGCTGGTGGCAGGAGAAACTAGGTCCAGGCACCCTCCCTCTGGCCCTACTGGGCAGCAATGAAGCTGGATTCTCATATCTAAAGGAACATGAAAGTTCATGTAGCACCGCCTGTGTGGGGAGAGAAACTGCTGTCTGCCTCAGTCTTGTTCCTGGGGGCAGTGAGCAGAGATGCTGCAACACTAGCATCAGGTGGTGCTTGTTGACCAACTCCAAGCCCCATCGACTGAAAGCCACATGTCACCAACCTCACCCACAGGAAACAATGAGGTGCCTATACCTGAGTACCTGCTGTGAGAAAGCCTCCCCTAATGCCTGCCCTTGACAGTCAGGCCAAACCGCTCTCCAATGGGTGAGGCTCTAACAACACCCTGGAGCACCTGTGGTGCTGTCATTAGGAACCTACCTCGTCGCCCCAATTCCGTCCCCTCCCAACACCTGACTGCATGTGTTCTCCTTTGCAGTTCTTCCCTTATGGAGACGCCTCCAAGTTTGCCCAGCATGCCTTCCGAACCTTCGACAAGAATGGCGATGGCACCATCGACTTCCGAGAGTTCATCTGCGCTCTGTCCATCACCTCCAGGGGCAGCTTTGAGCAGAAGCTGAACTGGGCCTTCAATATGTATGACCTGGATGGTGATGGCAAGATCACCCGAGTGGAGATGCTGGAGATCATCGAGGTGAGGCCTGGGGCGTGGTTGGCGGGTGGTGGGCACAGAAGGAGACCCCACGGCAGCCTCCTAGGTGCAGGGCCTTCGTGGTTCCTTCTCTCTCTGCTTGAGCCCTGCCAGCTGCACACCACGCCTGGACTTCTCCCGCTTCTGTTCCCACTGCAGCACAGTGCTGGGGAGGTCCCAGAACCAAGCCTTGGGGCCTGTACTGTCATGACAGTGGCATTGTCATCTGCCATTCACTCACTACCGGATCTCCCGTGAACCTGTCTTACTGGGCACAAAGGATGTCATGGGCTCAGCTTCTCTTGCGTTTGGCATATCTCTGCTCTGCCTCACTCCAGCTGCACCTAGTGGGGTTCCGAGGCTGTCAGGGGCTCCCGGGACATCCTTCCAGGTTCTGATCATTCCACAGCAAGCAGGCTTTGCCCATTGTGTTTGTGAGTAACCCAGGATTCCTCTGCCACGCCAGCCCCTGCATACTGCACTCCCAATGTGAAGGTCTTCTTGGTTTTCCTCTCTCTCTGCCCAGCATGTCCTCCCCTGGCCTTTGGGGGCTCCTCCCTCACTTCACTTCCATCTCCGGTCATATCCCACCTCCCACAGAGGCCTTCCTTCCCACATCCCTTCCCAAATATGCCCACTCCACCCCCACACCAAAGCAATCTAACCCTTACCAGGAGGGGTTTTGTCCCAACGTTTGTCCCTGCCCCAGATTACCTTGTTCAGTGGAATATACGGCAGAATGCAAGCTCTGTGAGGAGGCTCTGCCCTCACGGCTGCATGCCCAGCACCCAGACCGAGCTTGGAGCCTGGCAGGCATGCAAGAGCAGATGCATGATTCAGTAGCTTTCCTTTGATTGACTGTCTTAGCATGGATTCCCACCCCTGCACCAGCCACTCTGACCAAGGAGAGAAATTTACCACTTGCTGAAGGTAGAGCCAGGTGCTCCATCCTGGAGCTGGGGGGATGCCCCATCCAGACACCAGGAGCTGAGATCAGGCGGGATGGATCCCCACAAGAAAATGGGATGACTGCAAGAAACAGAAGCCAAAGCCCCAAAGTCCCCACAGCACTCTCACTCTCCTCCCAGCTTCAGAGAGAAGTCACCCGTCAACCCGCTGCCTGGGAAGCTGGCCTTGTTCACTTGCACACCCTCTCTTTCCACATCTTTAGTCTCTTCTTCTCTGTTGGCTTCTCCCCTTCTATCTTCAATGCCCACTCCCTTTCAAACATACCCAGAAAACTAACATCTTAGTTCTTTATTTGTATTCCCTTCATTCAATTAAATATATATTTTTTCAAACAGGTTATCAGAAAAGATACAGCACAATAATTCTAAATATGTGGCTTGATTTTCTCATCTTTCTCACTCTTTAATCTTTTGTCCATCTTCCACACTTAACTTGGCTCTCTCCAAGGTCTCTCTATAAGGTCCCTACAGAGTTGGTTTTTCCAAGTTTTTTTCTCTTCTTTGACTTCTTGTCATTTCCCCTCATTGGCCACCAAATCCCTTTCTCTCCAAAACTTTTCTCTCTAATCCTTGTCAATGCCCTTCAGCCAAAGTCCCCAAGGACATACCCACACTTACACAAGCTGAGTTTATTACTGCTTGCAGTGAGGGAATCTTGGTGCAATTCAGCAGGAGGGTGTTAGAAAGGACTTCTAGGATCTGCACTTTGGGAGGGTGATTTGGGGAGGGTTTGGGGAAGCAGAGGTTTACTGTGGATTGGGTGCTGTCAGGGAGTGGGGACACTTCTGTGATTGGGTATCTAGGAGGGGGGCCCACACACCGACGCAATGCTCTAATGGGTGAAGAATCAGTGGTCACTCATCATAGCCGGAAGCAGAGATGCTTGGTGTTTTGGGTCTGTGTTCAGATTTAATGACAGAGTGGTCTTATTTTTGCCTTGCTCCATCATGGTCACTGGTATTTTGTGACATTGGTTATGTTTGGTGTGAAAACTGAGTGTGAGGGCTCCCGGCAGCACCAAGGCTGTCAGCAGACAGTCCAGACCAGCTCCTGGCTGTCAGCGGCTGCTTTTCTTTCTCTTAGTTCTTTCACATTTCTCCCCATTGCTTCTAGCTCTTCCTTACTTCTATTCAGCATAGCATTCTCATGGGGACCTTTTATGGATTGATTTCTCACCTGGTTATGGGTCACATTTTCCTGCTTCGTGATACGTGTAATAATTTTTATTGGTTCCTGGACGTTATGAATGTTACACTATAGTGTCTGTATTTTGTTGTCTTCATTTATAGAGTGCCGAGATTAGTTTTGACAGGCAGGTAAGTTATATGTAAATTAGTGTGATTTTTTTGAGGCAGCTTTATAATTTTAAGCTTTTAGAGCAGATGGAGAGTAGGTTTTCTGAAGTAAGTTAGCCCAGTGACCAAGTTGTGACCATTTTGGGGTTCTTATTGATTTTCTCATATATTTAGTGAGGTTTCTGTACTCTGGCTGGTTGGAACCAGCCCGGTGTGTGGTGATACTTATTCAGATATTTAAGTGAAAGAAGATATATCAGAGTGTAACTAGACAGAGAATATAAATACAAAAGAGGTTTCCAGAGGACTGAGGCCCTGGGGCAACCTGATGTTTAGAGGTGAAGAACATGAGGCAAATAAGTAAAGGAGATGGAGAAAGAATTGTGAATAAGGTCAAAGTGAAAAAGGAAAAGTGAGAAGTCCTGGAAGGGAAACACACTGTTTTGCGGGGAAGGAATGGAACGCGCAATCATGTCAAACGCTATTGATAGGAGAAGTAAAAAAGAAAAGTAATCATTGACAATTGGATTTGGAAACCTGGAGGCCATAGGTGAACTCACCGAGAATAGTTTCAGAGGAGTTGGAGCAGCCCAGGAGAATGGGAGTGGAAGAAGTAAAGACAGTGACTATAGAAAACTCATGCAAGAAACTTTGCTTTAAAAAGAAGAGGAATGGACAATAGCCCTCCCGAATGCCCAGGCATTTAGCAAGCTCTTTGCATTAAGAACTAGAATGCTCTGCAAGCCTGTGTGAGCACCAAGAGTTGTTCAGCTTATTGTTCGGAAACTTCAGCCTCTGTGTGCAGCCTAGTTTCCAGACAGACATTGAGGAGACCTCCTAGGCAGATTGCTGAAGTTTGCTCTCTGCCTAGCTTCCTCTCTGGTCCTCTACCCCGAAACTTCTGGCTGTCTTCACCTTCCCCCTCCAACTGCTGTCTCCTCCAGTCGGTGAGACAGCCCTGCTTGGGACCCTCCTCCTTGTGCTGCAGTCCAGGAAGGAATTCCAGGCTGAGATCATAGGGTTCATCTACTTTGTTTCCCACCTCCTAGGAATTACAGTCTTGCAATTCAGTCTTTTGTAAAGTCTGAACACAGCTATTTCTTTTATTTTTGTCCAGTTTTCTAGTTATAGTGAAAGGCAAGTCAGTACAGGTCCATCAGGGCTGGGAACCACAGGGGCAGGTTCACAACAAGTTCCAAGTCTGGCATGCCCGGCCTTCGTGATATTATTACCTGTAATAGTCTGCATCTGAAACGGCCCTTCTTGGTTGTCATGTTCACAGTCCCAAATGCAGGGCTGCATCATGGATACAATTATTGAGATCCTGCCATTTTCAGAGTTGCTTCCTGAGGTTCAGGAGGGACCTCTTGTGTTTACATTTCTTATTACCCTGACTTTATTAATAGTGCACTTGTCTTGTTGTCTTCATATCCATTGCCTCATGTAAGGGCTTTTGATTTCACCTTTTAAAGGCCAGGGTGAGAGTGGCAGCTCACATATGGATGGACCATTTGTCTCTTTTTACATTCCAGACACGGTACGCTTTCCCTGCTTTTCGCTTGTGCACCACTCTGGCTTCTAGACTAGTCAGGACCTTGTCTACCAATTATCCACAAAATGAAATTTCGGAAAGTCTGCCTCTTTTAGAGACAACTTTCTTAAAGTGTTCCATGATACATCAATACCATCTAGCTACAAAAGTAAATACACACAAAATATTTTATCTCAGTGGAGATTTTAACTTGTTAAATAAAGCGCTTTCTAGTTAGTGGTTTGCTCTGATTGGCATTTCTAAAAACAACTTTATGAGTTATAATTTACAGACCATAAATTCGCCCATGTTAAGTGTACAACTTAAATGATTTTTAGTAAATGTACAGAGATATGCAACCATCACCATAATGTAAATGTAAAACATTTTTATTCCCCCAATTAGATCCCTTATGCCCAAAGGCCTGCTCCTACCCCAGGCTCTGGCAACCAACACATCACTGTGTCTCCATGGAATTGGCTGCCTTTCTGGGCATTTGACACAAATGGAATCACATCACATATGGCCTTTTGCGTCTGGCTTCTTTAAATTTTTGAGATTTATCCATGTGGTAGCATATTCATTGTCTTCTGTTGCTGAAATAGTATGTACTTTTTACTGTATAGCTGTATCCTATTTGTTTACAGTTGATGAGCACTTGGGTCATTTCCACATTTTGGCTATTAATAATATTGTTGTGAATGTTCTCATGCAAGTCTTTGTATAGATGGGCATTTATTTTTAAGGCACTTTTCTAAGAAAGAAAATAATTTATACTTTGGAAATTCCATATTAAGAATTGATTGTATACAATTAGTTGGCCTGGATAATTGAAATCTTCTCACTCTACTCTTTAACTTATAAACAGAGTCCCTGCTCCACAACTCTCCCTAAAGTAACTTTTTGCAGAGTTCAACTTTAATGGTACACCTGGCTTGGTTGGCTTACTAGACTCTAAGTTTCTAATCGGTTGGCCCCACATTTCATCTTTTCCTATATCCCCAAGGCTTTCTGACTGTTTTCTGCACCTAGATGCAGAATGTTTTTTTTTTTTTTTTTTTTTTTTTTGAGACGGAGTCTCACTCTGTCGCCGGGGCTGGAGTACAGTGGCCGGATCTCAGCTCACTGCAAGCTCCGCCTCCCGGGTTTACGTCATTCTCCTGCCTCAGCCTCCCGAGTAGCTGGGACTACAGGCGCCCGCCACCTCGCCCGGCTAGTTTTTTGTATTTTTTTAGTAGAGACGGGGTTTCACTGTGTTAGCCAGGATGGTCTCGATCTCCTGGCCTCGTGATCCGCCCGTCTCGGCCTCCCAAAGTGCTGGGATTACAGGCTTGAGCCACCGCGCCCGGCCGATGCAGAATGTTTAAAATTGAACCCATCGTGTTCCTCCCTTAACCTATTCCTAATCCATCATTTCTAATCTCACCATTGAGCCACCCTTTCTAACCACTTCCTCCAGCCAGAAACCTGGGAGCCACCCCAAATTCTTCTATATCAAATTGGTCACAAGACTCACCCATATTTGATTATGTCATCTCTTATTCAGTAGCATTTAAGGAGTTATTTGAAATAAAGTCAAATTCTTTATCCTATCCTAGAAAAACTCTGTGATCTGCTTCTCATTTCCCTCTCTCCAGCTTCATCTTTCAACACTTCACCTGGCCCTCCCTCCTACTGCCCCTTGCCCCACATCCCATGTTCCAGCAGCTAAAGCTTTTTCATTTGATCAGTATTTATTGAGTCCTACGATGTGCCAGGCATCGTACCAAGCCCTGGACTTGCAGGAGCACATGGTTTCTAGTTCCATAGAATGTACTCTTTAGTGGGGAAGACGAAGCAGTTATTTTAATAAAGGCGAGATGTATTCTGATGGGGAAGATGGTATGGGTTGTCACAGAAACTTGAGCACAAGGAGTGAAACTCCTCTGGGGAAAGGGAAGCTGAGGCTTGGAGGATAGGTGGGATCCAGTCAGGTGAAGGGGAGACAAGAAGAGCTCTCTGTCCTCCCGGGTTTCTGGTAATATCACCTACAATGCTCTGTCCTCCCGGGTTTCTGGTAATATCACCTACAATGCTCTGTCCTCCCGGGTTTCTGGTAATATCACCTACAATGCTCTGTCCTCCCGGGTTTCTGGTAATATCACCTACAATGCTCTGTCCTCCCGGGTTTCTGGTAATATCACCTACAATGCTCTGTCCTCCCGGGTTTCTGGTAATATCACCTACAATGCTCTGTCCTCCGGTTTCTGGTATATCACCTACATGCTCTGTCCTCCGGTTTCTGGTAATATCACCTACAATGCTCTGTCCTCCCGGGTTTCTGGTAATATCACCTACAATGCTCTGTCCTCCCGGGTTTCTGGTAATATCACCTACAATGCTCTTTTCCACAAGGCTATCTACAAAATGGTAGGCACTGTGATCATGATGAAAATGAACGAGGATGGCCTGACGCCTGAGCAGCGAGTAGACAAGATTTTCAGCAAGATGGATAAGAACAAAGATGACCAGATTACACTGGATGAATTCAAAGAAGCTGCAAAGAGCGACCCTTCCATTGTATTACTTCTGCAGTGCGACATCCAGAAATGAGCTGATGTCAGTGCTATGGACTGCACAAAAGTCTCAATGTTCCATTCAGTCTGCAGCTATTCACACACACACACCCACACCCACACACACACACAAATATTGCTTGGACTACCTATAAATGGACTTGCTTCTTGTGTTTGAAACACTTGTGTGCATGAGAATGTCATTTGCTAATGAATTTTAAAAGCATATATAAAACAAAACAAAACAACCTGCCACAATGTGATATGTGTAATATCATTTCATAAAAATCCCTCTTCCTCCAAAGCCTGGGCAGAAGTGTACTGCAAAGAGTTATATGATTTCTTGTTCATGTTTTGCTAATGCTCGTATCTCCTTGATTACATAATGTTAGTAGCACTGAGACCCCCACGGTAATGTAACTTAATTATAAGCTATGTCACTACCCTCCTGTAAAATAGTATTGGACAGACACAGAGGGACCCTTGGCTCCTGTGTCTGGTCCACACACCACAAGAGCTTGTATTATCAGTGAATATAAATGTACTACATTTGCATGCCTTTTGGGTTTGCCTTAATTCTTACCTCATTTGCATCCTATCGATCTGGAAAGAGCTGTTTTGGATGAATGCAGTATAAAATGTAAAATCCCTGCTAAATGACTTATTGATTAAGCATATCTATCTATATATACATATACACAAAGATATTATTTATCGGAAGTAAAAAAGATGGAAGTGTATTGGTTTCTGTTTGAATTTTCAAAGGCTTCCAATGTGGTGGCAATAAATGTCCCAAATAAATTTATAACAATTGATTTTCCCCCTAATTCTTATTTTATAATTTTAAAATAGCAGCAGATGCTAGCAACAACTTACTAAATCTACTCTTAAATACACAACTTTGGAATTTGAAGAATTAATGACAACAAAAGGGAAAAAAGCAACTTTCCAGCTTTTCATCCAGGCTCCCAAAAGAGGGACAATGAACACGGCATGTGAAAAGTAGAACAGATTTGTTCATCCGAAAAAAAATGTTCATTCTCTGACAATAAATTCTATCTCAGTGTGACTTTGGTGCTAATGTTCAATGCAACGATGTGGAGCTGTACACACACAGTAGGTATGTTCAATGCAACTATGTGGAGCTGTACACACACAGTAGGTATGCTGCGGGCAGGTGTCCCCCAACATAAGTCAGTAGGAAAGAAGACGTCTGTCTTCCCAAATCTAAAGTAGGCAATAACACAGAAGTAGTTATTTTTAATAACAGAATAGAACTCTGACTCTTTTGATCTTGAAAGAGGCAAAAGAGATTCCATCAAAACCTCTAAAAGCAGGTTTGCATTTTCAGAACATGCACCCCTAGAGAGCTGAGTTTTTTACACTGCACTGCCCAATAGTACTTTCTCTGATGATGGGAAGGTCTACATCTGCACAGCACACTGGCTATAACTGCACGTATGGCTACTGAGCACTTCAAGTATGGCTAGCATGACTGAGGAACTGAATTTTATACTGTAATTAAATGTAATTCGCCACATACAGCTAGTGGCTTTAGTAACAGTTTAGTGCTATATTATTTATTCAAGTACTTTTTATTGAATGCATTTTTTACCATTCTTTATTTGTCTTAGGATCATTAAATAACACTAAACTAGGGACTAATGATTCTATTCATTCAACAAGAAATGGTGACCTCATTACAAACACTTAGGACACCAATGGTACCTGAAACACGGATAGAACCAAAATTCTGCCCTGAGAAGATAGTCCTACATGTGAATAGAATGTCCTAATACCCTTCACCCTTGTGCATGGTGAGCCCAAACTGCAGGCAGGGAGAGATCAGGGAGGCGCAGTACATCTCAAGACTCCTTCCTCACTAAGTGAGGACGGGCAGGTGAGGAGCTGTGGAGTGCTTCAGAATGGCACCAGGTTAAACCAGGCCCTGAGTAATTCATTCATAACAAATCTTCACTGGTCACCTACTGTGCACCTAACATCATGCTTGTGTGGTGAGGGAGACACACTAAATACACACAGACAGACAAATGCCAAATTATAACACCTATGAAGAAGGGCAGGGCAGGATAACAGGGAGGAGACAGACGGGATACTTTGGTGGCCCTACCCACAGGCTGGTGAGGTGACATCTGAAGTAAGACCTTCATGAAAGGAAGTGATGGAAAACAAACCCTCCAGCAGACTCACTGGTTCTTTTTATGAATAAAATGTAGAAGCTGGGCCAGCAAGCAAGCATCTTCTTATTCGCTTAAATCCCTGATGCTGTGAGAGTGTGGACTGGTGCAGTGATGCTGCAGAGATGGCCAGCAGCGTGTAGCTAGAAGTATACTATTCCCTCTGTCCCAGCATTCCCACTCCAGGTGTATTATCCCAAGAAACTCCCACTGAGAGCTATAAGGGGACTTGTCCCAGGATAGTTGCGAGACGGGTATTGGAGGCAATGTAGCGGTTTGTCACTAGAGAAACAGGTAAGGAAAATACAGTGGATACACCCTATGGCACGCTACACAGCAGCTGGAAACAACAGACCGATGGACACGGTGACATGGACATTTAAAAAATGCTGAATGGGGGAAAAACAGCAAAATATATTTCCCAGTATTACATTCATACATAAATGAAAGATGCATTCTCACAAAAGAACTCTAAGGTCACATAAAATAAAAGGAAATATCACATTATAATGGTTTCTATAGGATTGGGTGGTGATGGGAGTGGGTTCAGTTATTATTGCTCCATAACAACCTGACGCGCAAACCTAGTGGCTTAAAACGAAGACAATCATTTTATTATTTTTCCTGGCTTCTGTGGGCCAGAAAATTGAAAAGGAAGGGCTCAAATGGATGATTCCACCTCGTGGTCTCTCATGTAGTTGCAGTCAGGTGGCAGCTGGAGCTGAAACAGGCCTGGAGCAGCTGGGGGCTGATTGGGGATTTCTGCGCCTGCAGTCTCGGGGGAGTGGTGCTACTTACACAGGGGCTGTGGTCTCCAGCACAAGTATTCATGCAAAGTTGGAAGTTTTATCTTTTCTGACTTAGCCTCTGAAGTCACGAAGTATCATTTCCACAGTATTCTACTGGTAACAAGAAAGCCACTAGCCCATCCACATTCAAGAAGGGAATCAGACTCCATCTCTTGATGGGGTGAGGCAAGTTTCTAGAAGAATATGTGGCATAAAAGATACTGTTGCCATCATCTTTGGAAAACAGTCGGCTACAGTCTACCTTGTGGCCACAGTTCACATCCTTTCCCATGCAAGATTGTTCATCCCCTCTCAAGAAACCACAAAAGTCTCATACCATTATGACTTCAGGGTCAGGCTTGAGGCCCAAGAGCTCATCACATAAAGCTCCTCAGATGTGGTTCTTCAATGATAGCACACTGAGTTGCATTCTTCGTGATCCAAAGGCTTGTGAAATCGAGAGAGAATTATCTCCTCTCTTCCCTTCCACACGCACTAGGCAATGGTGGTACAGGCTTGGAATAACTGCAACAGACACACTATCCAAAAAGCGGGGAAGGGAAAGTGCACGGCAATCTCTGGTCTATGGCAATTCTGAAATCCAGCCAGGTACACCCTGGAAGGTCCTTGACTACGGTTTGGTCCTATTCTCTGGGGGTTTCTCTCCATGATTCTTGGCTCTGCTTTCTGTGCTTGTTTCTACCCTCTGGGCCATCCTTCCTTTTTCATTTAAAAAAAAAAAAAGTGTTTACAGCTGAGTAGTTTTCTCAATCTACTGCCTGCCTATACAATTTCAGGAGTAGAAAGACTCCTCATTTTGTACTCTTTGTCTTTCAGTCTAAGCTGACCTTATTTTAAAAACCTTATGGGTTTCTCAAGTGTCAGTTTATGAAATCCACTCCATTAGCAGAGGCTCATTGGGAGATTGCTGTAGAACACCCCTAATAATCCGAGAAGCCCTACTGTTTAATGGAGGGAACCCGAAAGGCACAACTTTAGAAGGCAGACTGAAAAGGTCTAAAAACACTGCCTTAGATCTTTCTGAGGTCCTCACAGAGGACCTTACAGTCCCATCCTGGATTTGACTTTTGCACTGAAGCCATTTCATATTTGAAAATCAGTTTTCACCTTGAAGAGAGTCTGCAAATGAGAAACAGTCTCACCTCCTTTATATGTAATTGCTTTTTTTCATTCATCTCTCTTCTCACCTTGTGTCACAGGCAGCAAAGAGCAGCCATGGGGTCCTTTTCATGCTTTGTCTAGACATCTGCTTGGCTAGATCACCTTACTTATTGGGTACATCTCCTATTTTCCATGTTACCATGGCATCAGTGTTGCCAAACACCTTTTCTCCCACTCTCAATTCCTTCAGCTCTCCCCAAAAACATCCTTGAGACTTCAGGCTTCTGGTAACAGCTTCTGCAAGGCCCTTTAGGGGCTGTTCATGAACACTCTCCTCGAGGCCCTTCCACCCAGTGCCACATAGCTTATTTTTATTTTGGTACTTATGCTTCCAGATACCAGTTACTATCACTGTATAACAAATCACTACAAAGTTTAGTGACCTAAAATGATGACTTAATTATCTCTGAGTTTTTGTGGGCCATGAATTCTCAAACGATTCACTTGGGCAGCCTGGCTTGGGATCTGTCATGTAGCTTGAGAGAGATGGTGAAACAGAGGGTCTGGAGCAACCGAGGGCTGGCAGGGCATCTGTCCATGCAGCCTCAGGCTCTCTTCACAGGGGCTCGCTTCGGCTTTCTCACTGTGGCAGCCTCAGGGAAGTCAGACTGCCTCCATGCCAGCACAGGGCTCCAGCATGGGTATTCCAGAGCTCAAGGCCGGACTTTCATTCCTTTTCATTGCCTTTCTGGCCCAGCCTTGGGAATTACAAAGTATCATTTTTACTGCATTCTGTTGGTTTTAAGAAAGTTCCATTTAAACACACATTGTATCTCAGCAACCTGAATCCTCGCTGACCTTGATATCCTAACCAGCTACTGGGGTTCCTTCAGACAGGACTAACTACGGGCTTCCTTTAATTAAGTGTGCCTGGGTTCTACTGGTTCTAGCTTACACTCAACTGCCATTTTAATTAACATGTTAATTAGCTGTTTAAGCCCTGCTGCTGGTCTGAAGGGAAAAGGCCCCCAAGCATCTTTCTATTATTTTTTTCAGAGTCTTGCTCTGTCACCCAGGCTGGAGTGCAGTGGCACAATCTCAGCTCACTACAACCTCCACCTCCTGGGGTTTAAGAGGTTCTCCCATCTCAGCCTCCCGAGTAGCTGAGATTACAGGCATATGCCACCATGCCTGGCTAATTTTTGTATTTTTAGTAGAAACAGGGTTTCACATGTTGGCAAGGCTGGTCTCAAACTCCTGACCTCAAGTGGTCTGCCCGCCTCAGCCTCCCAAAGTGCTGGGATTACAGGTGTGAGCCACCACGCCTGGCCAACCCCCCAAGTGTCTGATTTTCTATACGTCTAGTCTCAACTCTTTCTGCATTTATAAGTCCTAAGTTTCCATATTTCCTCTCATTCTGTAAATAACTCCAAACTATTTTAAAAAGGAAATCATACTGCTTTAAGGCTTCATTTTTCCTGTAATTCATTCATTCAGTGTTACAGTCTCTGGATGAATATAAACTACTTTCTTAGAGGCCAGACACTTATTTCTTCCACACAGTTGGAAATCACATGAAGAAGTAAAGCACAAGCTTAAACAGACGTCCTCATGGCAAAGGATGTACAGGGGTCTAGCAAGAAATGGTCAATCAGAGCTTCTAAGTAAAATATCACACTGTTTCCTGAGCTTCTTTTTCGAAAACAATTAAGTTTCCGACATAGTTTGGGCATGCAATTTGAATTTTTTCCCAGCATTTTGCAGGTCTTCAGTATCCTAAGTCATATTATTATTTTCCAAGTTCTTACATTTACCAATGTAAATTTTCCCATCAAGTACGTGCTTAACTAGCTGGTTAGTATCTAAAGAATTATCTCAAGGTTGCATACTCAGCCCAGAGATTCCATCTCTCCACAGGGCAGCCATTACTCCCTCCACTTCTGCATTGCTCCTACCTCTGTGAATGAATCATTGTTCATCCAGCTATTTAGGCCTCAGGCCCCAAGAAAATTATCTTTGATTTCTCTCTCACAACTCCAGTATTCTCACAGGCAAGTCTTCTGCCTATTTCAAATCTGAATGTTTCTGTCTCCACCACCTTAGTCCAAGTCACCATGCCCAACCTTACCTGGACCACTGCAAGTCTCCAAATTGCTCATACTCTTTCAATGTTTGCTCCACCTTAATCTATTCACACAGCAGCCAAAGGATTCTTTTAAAATGCATACACCACATCTGTTGCTTACCATAATTTTAGGGCCTCAAATGATCTCTGTCTGCCTACCTCTGAAGTTCACCCCCTACCAATCCTCCTTCCTCACTAAGCTCTACCAACACTGGCCTTAAAATTCCTAGACATGAAGTTCATTCTTATCTCTAAGCCCCATGCACTCATTCCTTCTGCCTGGAACTTTTGCCTTGCACATTTCCCTCCTCACAGCTTGTTCTATCACTTGTTTCAGGCCTCTGCTCAAATATTGCCTTCTGTAGCCTTGACACGCCATTCAAAATACTGGCTGGGTGCAGTGGCTCATGCCTGTAATCCCAGCACTTTGGGAGGCCAAGGCGGGCAGATCACCTGAGGTCAGGAGTTCGAGACCAGCCTGGCCAACATGATGAAACCCCATATCTACTCAAAATACAAAAAGTAGCTGGGTGTGGTCACGTGCGCCTGTAATCCCAGCTACCCAGGAGGCTGAGGCAGGAGAATCACTGGAACTCAGGAGGCAGAGGCTGCAGTGAGCCAAGATCGCACCACTGCACTCCAGCCTGAGTGACAAAGCAAGACTCCGTCTCAAACAAACAAAAAAAAAAACAAAAAATACCAGTCCTCTCTGCTTTCTCAAATCCTTACACTGCTTTATTATTATTCAAAAGAATTAGCAGTCACTGAGATTATGTACGGTATTGCTTATGTCTAACTAGATTTCAAACTCCATGAGGACAGATTTAGTACTATTTTAAGTACTGTTGTGTAGTATTTTAAGTACTACAGTCTTCTCAGTAATTAAAACAGTCCCTAGCTCATGGCAGGAACTTAATCATTTTTTAATGAATTAATCTCTGCATTTTCAAACTGGAGAAAAATTAGGCAGAAAAAGTCCTGTTAAGCTTGCTATAATCAGTGAGTACACTCAGGCCACTTCTGTTTCCATGGATTCTATCCAGATGCCAATGCTAAAATTAATATGCTAACTATCAATATTATATATGCTTTAGAAAATTTCATTTGCTGACTCAAAGAAACAGCTTATTTATATTCACATTATTACTTTGCCAACCCTTAAATAACAAAACCTGTTCCTACAAATATTTTGATATATCTTCAAGTCCATGGGTATTTAGTTCAAGCCATGAAACGTTAGTAACTATACTTTTAGGACTGCAAATTTCAAACCAAGTTCTCCTGAAAATCCGAATTGTTTAAAGTAGAAGGCATCTATGTAGATGCATAGCTAAGTCATAAATGTAACCAAAAAAGTATTGCCCCAGGACAAAGTTTATAAACATTATCTCCCCCACGCCCCACATCTAGTTTGTACTCAGGAGAACTTTCAATCAGATATTCTAGATCACTTGGTTTTCATCAGTCCCCAACATTTCTAATCCAATTCATGACTACCAGCCAACAGCTTTCTACACAGAATTTAATCATTTTGGTCTCATAAACAGCCCAGACATGAGGAAGACATGCCCCCCGGCCCCTGGGGAAAAAAAAAAAAAAAAAAAAGCACTAGGAAATGGAAGAAATGAGACACGAAAACTTGGAAAACATTTAAGAAGACAATTACTGAATCTTTAGTGTTGATTACTAATTTGAGTAACTATATTTTTTACACTTTGGTTTATGAAAACTCATCACATTTGTCACTTTAAGAATGATTTTAATCATTTCTACTCCCAAAGATTTGAGAAGGTAAGATTTAAGATCCAAGTAAGCCTTTCTTATTTTCTGGAACTTCCCTCAGTGATAGCTGCACTGATGACAAACTAGGGGTTGAAGAGTCACCTGTATGATGTATTTAGGTCACGATTCACAGAGGATCAATTTAGTCAATTACTTTCCCCAATTCACAAAAGCATGACCTTAATACATATAAATTGTTTTATTTTTAGAAGTTACACATGTTTTAAAAGAACAATTTCTTTTTATTCTTTCATTCTAATAATATTATCACTACCTAGAACATTAAAGGAAGATATTTTCATTTATGATAGTTGAAACCAAAACTTTGTAAGGCCAAAGCAATGAATAATCTTCAATTCAACAAGAGATGCTGGGATACCTGAGGATTATGTTTCCCGTTCTGTATTAAAGAGCACAACATTCAAAACTATAACAAAATTCAGACATTAGTTCCTTAGCTAATGGAAGTTTATGTATTTGGTATACTCTACTTCATTTTTAATTTGGAAAAGCACATGTTAAAAATAGTTTTAATACAAAGGCATTATAAATGTAAATTTAAAAATCAGACTTTGTATGATCAGTGAGAAATGTTTAAAATATTCAGCACACACTTTCCTCTTCCTGGAAATTCTCAGATTAGAAAGCCCAAGTTTGTGAACTTCTCATTTGGCAACAAACCTCAATTTAAGAACTAAAGTGTCTTAAACTTCTTCTTCCACCGAAAACACAAACAAAATCCAGTTTTCCTCAATAACTAGAGAACAGTCCCTGCTCTTAATATACTGCCCTTTTTCTGAAAATAGTTCAATTTCATAAACATTTATTCTAATATTTATTGCTACTAATGTAAGGAATGTTTCTTGATATCCAGTATGTTCTTTAAAAGTTTAGCATGAATCCTAGTATCAAACAAAGAATACGGGGAGCAATAAAATTCATGTTTTCTAAAATAAAAAGTTCATAAATATAATTTTTTACAATAACTATATTTAATCATTCTAAGCAGCACACTTTTTAACACCCCTAAATTAGGATGAGTCTTAGAATTGATGTCAGCTCACCATCAACTGCATGGCCTCAGGATCCTGGAGCCACCAGCTACTCTCCTGCTCCATGAGGATCCACCCTCCACTCCCAGTTTTTCCAGCCCTTCTCCCAGCCTGGTCTGCACAATCCCTCTAGCCTGTGTCCTCTCAGCTAAGGACAAGCCTGAAGAGTCCCTGGACTGCAAACTGAGGGCTTTTAAAACAGGCAAGCATGCTGGAGGTCAGAGTGAAAAACTGTTATTATCCACTTCTTATACTGGTTACAACCTCTTGGTAGGGTGGACAAAGGACTGAGAAAAAGGCATGTGTAGAGAATTGGCAAAGCTTCAGTGCTCCGTACAAGTGTCTTACTGCCCTTGCACCCCACCCTCTGCAATGAGAAATCCCTCCCTTCATCCATTTTTGGTAACTATAGAACGTAATATCTGGAAAAGCAGAACTAAATATAATCAGGTGCTCAAACTTTTATTTTCTTACAAAATGCTATAGAAATGAACCCAAACTAAACAGATATGTACATGTATATATGTACAAAATTTTATTTCTGAAAAAGAATCTATAAAAATAGATGGTATAAAAAAACTTAAAAAGATTTAAAACCAATACTATGAAATTGATTTTCTTTTCTTTTCTTTTTTTTTTTTTTTGATTTTCTTAAAGTAATAGTAATCTTAAATTGCTGGTTGTAGTGGGTTTTCTAGGCTTATTTATACGTTTGATTGTGGTTGGATATATAAAGGAGTTTCTTTCAGAATGCCTCCAGTCTCATTTTATTACATCAAAGAGTCCAGAATTTTTTTCCCTTCACAAATCCTTCAACATCAGGACAAGGCATGTTACGTTACAAATCAACTTTGGTCATCTTCTTCTTCTTGAGTCACAGGTCTGAAAGGCAATGTAGTTTGTCCTCTTTCGGGATCAGACATTCGGAGAATTCTTATCAGTTTACTTGATGGAAGTGAACTGGAAGAAGCAAAATCAATTACTCAAATTTCCAAGAAACCTTTTACCAATTAAAAAAAAATTCTAATATTACCTCATGAAAATATAAACCTAAATATTTGGCTATTATCTGGGATATGTCTAATATCTAGAGTTCTAGGAGAAACATCATTTGCAATAAGGAAATAATTTGTTTTCAATTTTAAAAATTAACTTCCTGCTAGATTCCATGGATTTTCAGTTTGGAGGAAAAGAAAATGAAAGAAATTTATATATCAACTCTTTTAAATTTCTGTTATTGTCCAGCAAGGAAGGAGTTACCTGAACATTCCCAACCACAAATTTAGATCCCCATATAATCACATGGCCACTTTAGAGACAGAATATCAACTCTAAGTGACATAGTGTCTGACACATTGTAGGAACCCAATAAATACTGACAGCAGAGTAGAACTCTTTGTTTAGAAAGACTGACATTTGTAAGTCACCAAGAGAAAAGAGGCAAGATTAGGGAAATCATAAATCATTTTAGTCCAAACAGAATTACTAAAATTATATTACTTTAGTTTGTCATGATAACGACAAAGAAGCGGACTCAGAATAGTAACAATTTGCTTCAGTTATGAAAGGGAAGTAATACAAGTAAAATTTAAATATCTCGAAAAGAGAAAAACATCCCAAATCTCCCGAACTAGTAGGGGAGTTAATTTTTATTTTCATTGGTCTTGTATGTATTTGTATTTTAAAAATTAAAATTGTAAAAGATTTCTTTCCCCCTTTTGTATACTTGATGTGTATCTAGAAAGTTTTAAAAAGTTACCTCATGCTTTGAGGTGTAAGTAAGATAAACTGTCTAAAACGCTGGGAATCTGCCATCTTCAGTATCAAGTCCATGGCAATTCTCCTATTAACCATATCCTGAAAAACAAAGGCAAAAGTTAGCATTGCTACTGTGTAAGTCACATTTCTGTAAAAGCAGCATTCTGTGGGCTGATACAAGCTCCTGGATTTTCATCCAGGGATCAGTCATTACATTATCTATGATGTCCAATAAATCTATTATACTGGAAAAGAAATACCAGAAACCATTAGGAGAAAATTGGCTGGCTGCAGTGGCTCATGCTTGTACTCCCAGTGCTTTGAGAGGTGGAGGTGAGAGGATCAACTGAGGTCAGGAGTTCGAGACCAGCCTGGGCAAATATAGTGAGACCCTGTCTCCACCAAAAAAAAAAAAAAAACGTTGGGCATGGTGGTGCATGTCTGTCATCCTAGTTACTTGGGAGGCTGAGGCAGGAGGATCACTTGAGCCCAGGAACTCAAGGGTATAGTACGCTATGATCACACCATTGCACTGTAGCCTGAATGACAGAGTGAAACCCCATCTCTAAGGGAAAAAAGAGAAACTCTTAGGGGACAATAACTGAATAAATATGTCTTTCAGGTAATTTCTATAGTCAAAATATTTGTATGCATGGCCCCCCTCCCTCAAATACGTGTAGCAATTGAAATAATCAGAAAATATTCTCCTGACGCAAATAAATGTTCGAGAATAAATCTAATTTGCACAGTAATGGTTAATGACTCAGGGTAATGTTAACAAAAGTGGCTAGTCTCAAATTCATTAAGTCTCTCAAATTTTCCCTCAATGATAAAGGTTAAGTTGTAAAAAGTCTGCCTCTCCCCATTACCTCTACCATTTGTACAATGTAAACCAATTTGAACTTACAGACCAATTTCTCGATTGTATCTTTAAATAAGTTAAATAGCACATCAGGGTAGAGAAAAAGAATAATGCTTAGTTATAATAGGTTTTGGGATTAAATGATCTAGACCTGTGGCTACATTTTCTGAGTTAAATAACAGTACAAGAAAATCAAAGTGTTCCTCAACCACCTTGAATCATTGACACATGAACACGTATATTTTAAAGGTCTTAATTTAAAACTATATGTGGTGCCGGGCGCAGCAGCTCATGCTTGTAATCCCAGCACTTTGGGAGATTGAGGCGGGTGGATCACTTGAGGCCAGGAGTTCGAGATCAGCCTGGCCAATATGGCAAAACCCAGTCTCTACAAAAAATACAAAAATTAGCCAGGCATGGTGGTGAGCACCTATAATCCCAGCTACTCAGGTGGCTGAGTCACAAGGATCACTTGAACCCAGGAGGCGGAGGTCACAATGAGCTGAGATCACACCACTGCACTCCAGCCTAGGCGACGGAACGAGACTATGTTCTGAAAAAAATAAGTAAAAAAATAAAAAATAAAACTGTATGTGGCAATACAGCATGGTGATTTAGAACAAGGGCTGTGGAGTCAAAAGGGGATACAGATCCCGGCTATACTGCTCAATGGTTCTGATTATAAAAATTCCATCAGGCGTATCTGCTGTGAAGGCCTATTATTTTCTAACAAAACTGCTAAAGTACCAAAAAAAAAAATTGTTTTCCTTGGATTAGCTCACAGAACTTGGGTACATTCTTCTGAATAATTTCGTTGGGGCAAAGTGCATTCTGATTAAGAAGCTCTAAGTTTCTAAAAGAGAAAGGCGCTGCTTAGAATTAAATCTGACATACAAGATGGGTGATAAGACTGCACAGCACCATTCTGGACAAAAACACTGCGTGGAAAGAATAATCCTCTTCTATGACTCGTGATTAGCTCTGAAGACAATTCTTGGAGGAATATCTAACCCATTTTCAGCAATAGTACACAGAAAAAAATTGACACTGAAGGGATTATACAGCACTCACAGGTATAAATTCTGATTCATGAATACACACTTACTGTTTATTATAGACTAGGCATTAAGAGACATAAATATCTAAGACATAGCTGATGACCTGAAACTGGTTACAATCTGGTGGGCGATTCAGATATAAAAATAGACAACTACAACAGAATAAAAAATAGTATAAAATATCTAATAATATAAAGCATTTTTATATTTTTATCTTAAATAAAAATATAAAAGTAATATATATTATGAGTTGATGTAAGGTGGTGCAAAGGAAGCTCTGAGAAGTTCCTCACCCTGCCTGATAGGGTATGGCGGTCACAGAAGTCTCATAAAAGTGGCATTTGAACAATGTCCTGAAAGATGAGTAGAGTGACATGTGATTAAGGAGGGCGTACTAGGCAGAGGCACCATATTTGGAGAGTTACAAACAGCTTAGAACAGCTGAAAAAAGTAGGCAAATACGGTATCATGAAGGGTCTCAAAGCTACCCTACAGAATTAAACATTTATTCCATATATAATAACCACCAAAGGGTTTTACATAGATGAATGACCACAATCAGATCAACTGTAGAAATGTAAACCTGCCAAAATGGTGGAGGATGGACCGAAGAAGGAGCCACATGAAAGCCTGGGAGTCCGGAGAAGAGGCTATCACCACAGGCACGAGGCGAAGAGACGGGGATGAGAGGAAGAATGTCAGTGAGAAAGGAGAAGAGGGCAGAGACCAAACAGCGGTTTTAAAGGAGAAGCGAACAGAAGTCAGACTTGGACAAGGAAGAATCGAAGATAAATCACAGGTGTCAAAGGTAGGTGACTGCGTTGGTAATGATAGTTTGCATTAATCAAGGTAGGGAATTCAGGCAAAGAAAGAGGCTTTGAGATGAAGGCACATTCAACCTCAGGCCTACTGAATTTCAGATACTGGTTGTTTACCAGGTGATGTCTAACAGGTAGTAGGGCATCTGGGTCTAGAGTACAGGAAGGTACAGGATGTGGTGCCATGAGTTGGTGGGTATCTGTCCATATGCAGGTAGTAGTTTTGGGGACTGTGATATGTGTATATGTGTAGGGGGAAGTAGGATATGGAATTCAGGAAAATCAATAACACTATAACGAGCAAACAAAGACGTCAAACATTTAAGGGCACTAGAATTAGGGGAGGCAGCGTGGCAGATTAAGAACAAAGAATAGAAAAACAGGAAAACCAGGAAAGAGAGGGTGGCAGCTGGTAAGAAGACACATTTTAAGGTATGGAGGATAGGTCTGTGGTGTCAAATACTTGAAAAAATAAGGTAAGATTAAAGCTCATTTATAACGTTTGCTAAACAAGTTTTGCTAGAGTAGTGTCATCTACATCCAGATTATAGTAGATTTAGGGAACAATGAGATATGAAGAAGAAAATAATTGCTAATTTATGAAAACTTACTATATGCCTGAACCACAGTAAGTTTAACGTATGAAAGATACCATTTGAGCCTCAGTCTAACCCTGAGAGGTAGGAATTAGTAATAATATTGTTTTGTAGATGAAGAAACTGAGACCCAATAAGTAGAGATATTTTGCCTGTCAGAGGTAGGTCTCAAATCCTATGCTTTTTAACCAGAAATTCAAAAGTTCTTGCTCCCTTGTGCTCTATACATTGTTCTGAAATGTGCGGGTATGATGGAACAGTAAACAGTGACTAGAGTGAGTCAAAGCCAGGGTGGTGAACTGGTTACAATTTTGTATTAAAACAAAAAGCCTGAACATATTTATGGGTTGATGAAAATAAGCTGGGAGAGCGGGTGAGGGAGAAAACGCCGATATGATGGAGGGCACGGATATCCATGCTGGGCGAGGAGGACCCCTCCAGGGTTTCTAGGGTACTGTGTGCCTGGAAGCAAGGGAGAGAACTCCAGTTCTTTAGTTCTTCCCCACTACTGGTCACAGGCTAAAGAGTCAGGGCAGGATCTTTCCTGTTAGGGGTAAAACTAAAGAAAGATTTCCTTCCTTTAGAAACACATGTTTCAAACAAACAAACAGATGAAAAACAATTTAAAATTGAACAATACCATGTAGACATCAAACTCATCCAGGCATCTGAAAGGCGATTCCGCGATGGACCATAGGGAAAGAATAAAACACACGGTGGAGAAGGAACGTTCGCCTCCAGACAAGGCTCTCATGTCATTGAAGGCAGCTTTATTTCCTTCTCCAGGCTGAACCTTGAAGAGAATGAGTTGACAAGGAACAAAAACTAAGTAAATGAAAGGCCAGATTAAATTTTTTACAATACAAATAATAGATTTACAGTAAAAAGGAGATGAGAATAAAATGACTTAGTGATTTGAAAATATCCATTCCATTCAAAATATTTTACAGTAAAACAGTTACACATAATGGTATTTTTTGCTCTACTGCAAGAGAATAAAATGAAAACTTTTTTCACCATAACTGAATCTAACATACCAAAATTCCAAAGGCTTAATAATTTAAAAAATGTTAATAAATGTTGTGATCGTGGCTGACTGCAACCTCTGTCTCCCAGGCTCAAGCGATCCTCTCACCTCAGCCTCCCAAGAAGTTGGGACCACAGAAGTATGACACCATGGCCAGCTACTGTTTGTATTTTTTTTTGGGGGGTGGAGATGAGGTCTCCCCATGTTTCCCAGGCTGGTCTCAAACTCCTAGGTTCAAGCAATCCTCCCGTCTCAGCCTCCCAAAGTGCTGGGATTACAGGTTTAAGCCACCACACCCGGCCCTGAAACTTAAGCTTCAAACATTTAAAAGTGCTGAGATTTTTTGTTACTTGAATTATAGTGACACCTAGTGGTTAAGCTGCATTAAAAGTAATTACTGAATGTCAAAAGGACAGAACCAACTTTAAAAAGCTTACTTACACTGGCCGAAGAAATGCATTGAAATACATCTTTTAAAAGATTTAAAGGACCAGGCGCTCACGCCTGTAATCTCAGCACTTTTGGAGGCCGAGGCAGGTGGATCACGAGGTCAGGAGATCGAGACCATCCTGGCTAACATGACGGAACTCCGTTTCTACTGAAAATACAAAAAATTAGCTGGGCGTGGTGGCGGGCGCCTGTGGTCCCAGCTACTCTGGAGGCTGAGGCAGGAGAATGGCGTGAACCCGGGAGGTGGAGCTTGCAGTGAGCTGAGATCGTGCCACTGCACTCCAGCCTGGGGACAGAGCTAAGTCTCAAAAAAAAAAAAAAAAAAAAAAAAAAAAAAAAAAGATTTAAAGGATTGCTTGAACCTAGGAGTTCAAGACTAGCCTGAGAAACATGGGGAAACCTCATCTCCACCAAAAAAAAAAAAAAAAAAAGTACAAAAATTAGCTGGCCATGGTGGCACAGTCCTGTGGTCCCAACTACTTGGGAGGCTGAGGTGGGAGGATCGCTTGAGCCTGGGAGGCAGAGGTTGCAGTGAGCCAAGATCACGCCATTGCACTCCAGCCTGGTCAACAGAGCGAGACCCTGTCTCAAAAAAAAAGAAAATGTATTTCTTTTGTATTGCATTTCTTATAAATTCTAAATAAAATCTTTTAAAATTTAAATAATTTTAATTTTTTTAAAAATCTAAAATCTTTAAAAAATTATTTACTAAATAAGGGCCCATGAAAACAATAAGAAAGCAACTAATAAAATTAACAGCAAATCGTTCACATAATTTCCTGAGAAGATAATATACAATAACATTAGGAAGGGTTCTATTTTTTTTGACAAAATTCCAGATATACATATATGCATACAAGGTGAAAAAAGAGAAACTAGTTTCATATCAATAGCAGACATATAACTTCCTATATTTTTAATTCACTATTTGAAAAATGATACAGCTCTCAAGTGAGCATTCATTTATTTTTTAATATTAACATTATGAATATTCTAAGGTAAAAATTCCAATTCTAAACATACTCTAAAATTTTACATCTATCATAAGTCTGAACAAACCAAACCAACAATCAACCAAATAAAAATTCCCATATAAAAGCAAGGACTAAACACCAAGATGCAATCTTGCCCCAAAACTGTACTTTGCACCAATTTAATAAATGAAGCCCTAGGTAAATCTGGGGGATCTAGCTTTTACCCTTTCATCTATTACTAACATATCATGGAACTTCAGTGTCACTTTCCTTATTAGTAAAATGAAGGTCACGTAAGTTAAAGATTCATCTGATATTCTTTTGAACAACAGAGATGACAACATCAGAAAGTCTAGCTTGAGTTGTTTTGTATAGTTAGCTCTGGAGATAAATTATTCAAGTACTTCTAACACTTTCCTTTTTCTCCATTTTTTATTACAGTAATAGTTTTTATAGAGTAAAGAGCACAAAAATGTAGAACTCAATTTTTACATGAATACATACACACACCTGGGTAACCACTACTGAGATGAAGACACAAGAATATTCCCAGCATCTAAGCAAACTATTTGTATCATACTACCATCCCTGAAAAGGTAACTATTATTCTGATTTTAATCACCCAAAATCAATCTTAACAGTTTCTGAACTTCATATGTAGATGTTACATATACTCTTTTGTACATACACTTCATATTTATATACACTATGTACACCCTTGTAACTGGCTTCTTTCACTCACCATTGTCAGATCATTTATGGTGTGTGTAACAGCAGTTTGTTATTTTCATTATTGAACAGCATGTCACTGTTTGAATATACCCAACTTTATCCATTTGACTCTAGGTAGACACTGGGTTGCTCAGTTTTGGGCTATGATAAGTAAAACTTCTTTGAACACTTTCAAATATATCTGTTTGAGAAAATAAGCACTAATTTTTTCTTGGGTTTATGCCCAAGAATGGAACTGCTTTAACAGACATTGACAGAGAGGTTTCCAAATTAGTTTTACCAAGTTATACTCCCACAAGCAATATATGAGAGCTGCAATTCCACATCCTCACCAACACACGACATTGCCAGTCTTGTTCATTTTCATCATCATAAGGGTGTGACAGTAACTTACTGTGGTATAAATAGTATTTCTCTGATGACTAACGACACTTTTTCATGTGTTTACTCACCACTTAGATATTTAAAAGTAGTTTCTGTTTAAGTCTTTTGACCATTTTAAAGAGACATCAGTCTCTTTCTTACTACTTATTATTTTAAAATTCTAGATAAGTCCTTTGTTGCATGTATGCATCATAAATCTTATCCTAGTCTGTAGCTTCTTTTATCACATGTTTAATGTTACTTTATTATGAAGAGAAGTTCTTAATTTTAATAAAGTCCAAATTATCCATCTTTTCTTTTCAGTACGTTGCTTTTTGTGTCACCCATTCAAAAAATCTTCTCAAAAAAACATGAAGACATTCTCTTCCTCTAGAAGCTTTATTGTTTTAAATTTAGGTCTATGATCAACTTCTAAATTAGTTTTTGTACATAAAGTTAGGGGGTCAAACTTTGCTTACTGTGTATTTTTTTTTTTTAATTTTTAATTTTTTTTTTCAGATAGAGTTTTGCTCTTGTTGCCCAGGCTGGAGTGTAATTGTTTGATCTCGGTTCACTGCAACCTCCGCCTCCCGGGTATGAGTGATTTTCCTGCCTCAGCCTCCTGAGTAGCTGGGTTACAGGCATGCGCCACCCTGCCCAGCTAATTTTGTATTTTTAGTAGAGATGGGGCTTCTCCATGTTGGTCAGGCTGGTCTCAAACTCCCGACCTCAGATGATCCACCCGCCTCAGCCTCCCAAAGTGCTGGGATTACACGCCCGGCCGCTTACTGTTTATTTTACCAAAAGGATATCCAACAATTTGAATCTCACACCATTCATGAGAAGACCACCCTCTTCCACAGGCTTGCAGTGGAGTCTTGTCATTACATATACATACGACTTATGTGTGTAGGTAAGGTCTTCCTCAGGTGTCTATTCTGTTTCATTGCTATTGTCCATTTGCTTTCTACCATCCAACTTCTGCTTTTATCATTGTATCCTTCTCTCTACTTGAATTTATAATGGACTTTTTTTCCTTTTAGCATCCTGAGATAGAACTTAGATCATTAATGTTCAGCCTTCCATTTTTACTAATGTATCTATTTAGAGTTATAAATTCCCTTCTGAGAAATCCTATGGCTGTATCATACAAGTTTTGATGTTTTCTTTTTATTGTTGTTTGATTCAAAATTATCTTCTAATTTCTATTTGATTTCTTTTTTGACCTACAGATTATAGAGAAATGTGCTGCCTAATTTTCTAACATTCATTAAGTTTTAAGGTTACCTTTCTGTTATTTCTAATTTCATTCCACTTTACAACATATTCTGTATGACATCAATCCTTTGAAATTTGTTGAGATTTGCATTATAGCCAGGAAATGGTCTATTTTGGTAAATGTTCCACATGTACTTCAAAACAATATACAATCTAGGGTAGTTTGGCACAATGTTCTATAGTTCTACCAATTAGGTGAATTTGGTTGTGTAATTTAAATCTTATATTGCCTTACTGACTTTTAATCTGATTGTTCTATCCATTACTGAGAAAAGTTTATTAAAATTTCCAACTATAACTGTCAATTCTTTTACTTTGCCTTTTAGTTCTCCCAATTTTTATGTATTTTGAAGCTATGTTATTAGGTACATACAAATTAAATTTTTTTAAAAATAACTTTTATAACTACAAAGTGGCCCTTTTGGCTTCTAGTAATATTTCTTGCATAAAGTCTATTTTGTTATTATTATAGCTTAACCAGCTTTCCTTTGGCTAATGTTTTCATGGTGTATCTTTTACCATATTTTACTTAGGATCTTCTCTGTCCTTATGTTAATATTTAAGGTGTATTTTGATAAATAGCATACAGTTAGTTTTTTTCTATTCAGCCTGTTTTTAATTCAATAATTTAGTGCACTTACACTTAATGTAATTACTGATGTATCTATATTTGAGTCATGCATCTCCTTCCAATTTGTTCCATATGTTCTTTATTCCTCTTCCCTTTTTGCCTTCATTTAATTGAGTATTTTTGCTTTCCATTCCTTTTGTTTGGTCTCTGTGAGCTTTACAATTATACATTCTTTTAAAATTCAGTGGTTACTCTAGAGATTGCAATATGTATCGCTGATGTATTAGTTTATCTTAAATTAGTATTGGTATTACTTCCTGAAAGGTACAAGAACCTTACAACAGTTTAGAACTCCATGTACTTCTATTCCCTTTTGGTGCTATTGTCATACATTTGACTTTTACAGCTTCTAAGCCCCTCAAGACTTGAGTGTCTATTCAACAATATTATTATTGTTGATTTAGACAGCCGAAACTGTTTTGTATTTACCCACAGATTTACCTTTTGCATTCCTCTCTGTTCCTTCTGCAGTTCCATGTTTCCATCCATGTTTCTTTCATCTGAAGATGTTCTCTAGTATTTCTTGTGGGCCAAGCATACTGAAGAATAATTATTTCAGCTTTTGTTTGTCTGAAAACTAAGATGTTTCATCTTCATTTTTGAAAAGTTTTGCTAGTTATTGAATTCTAGATATCAGTTTTTAAAAACAATTCTGCTAGCACTTTAAAGTCTGTCAGGTAACGTTTACTTTCCACAATTTCTATTAAAAAGTCTGCCTTCGGTTTTATTGTTGCTCTTTGAAAACTAACGCATATTTTCTCTCTTGCTACTTGTAAGGTTACCTCTTTGTTTTTGGTTTTCAGCTATTTGACTATCCTATAGATTTTAAGTGTGGTTTTCTTTATATTTATCTCACTTATAGGTTGCTGAGGTTTCTGAATCTAGATTGATGTATTTCAGTTTTGAAAATTCTCAAACATTATCTCTTCAAATATTCTTTCTGCTCATTCTTTGTTCTATCCTATAGGGACTCCAATTATGTTAAACTTGCTGGTTGTGCTCCTCATATCTCAAACTCTGTTCAGTGTTTTCTGTTTTTATGCTGTTCAATTTAGACATTTCCCTTAGACCTGCCTTGATTTGTTAATTTTGTCTTCTGTTGTGTCCAGTTGGCTGTTAAATTCATCCAATGGGTTCTTAATTTCAGATATTACGCTTTTCAGTTTTAGAATGTTCTTGTAGCTTCCAATTCTGTATTGAAATTGTGGATTCCAATTCAATGTTGAATCTGTTTTGTCCATTTTGTTTATAATTAACTCTATGTTCTTTAACAAATTAATCATGGTTAAAAATATTAGTCTGCTTTCTCTTGTAACTATCATCTGGTGGTCTGGTTCTATTTTCTACTTAAAAAAAAATTATCAGTCACCTTTCCATGCTTCATATATGTGGTAATTTTTACAACTTTAAGTATAAATGAAATATAATAAACCTCATATATTTAAAGTGCACAATTTGATAAGTCCTCCAATTTTATTCTTCCTTTTCAAAGTTGTTTTGGCTAGTTTAGGCCCTTTGCATTTCTATATGAATTTTAGGATCAGCTTGCCAATTTCTACAAAAACGTCTGCTGGCATTTTAATGAAAACTGAGTCGAGTCAGTCTGTAGATCAATTTGGGAAGAACTTACTTCTTAATAATACTGAGTCTTCTGCTCTAGCAACACCCTGTGTCTCTCCATTTATTTAGGTCTTCTTTAGCTTCTCAGCATCTATTTTAGTAGTTTTCAGTATACAGGTCTTGAATATCTTCTGGCAGATTTTTCCCTAGGTAGTTTATATTTTTGATGCTAATATAAATAGTATTTTTTAAAATTTCAATTTCTAATCATTTGGTGCAAGTATATAGAATTGTAATTCATTTTTGCATACTGATTGTGTCTGCAGCCTTGCTAGTTATAACTTCAACTAGTTCTAGTAGCTCTTTTTGTAGATTCCATCAGATTTTCTGCAGAGATAACCATATTTGTGGATCAAAAGAATTTTACTTCTTCTGTTCCAATATACATGTCTTAGTTCTTTTTCTGGGCTAACTGCACTGGTTAAAACCTTTAGTTCTACTTCTGAATATAAATGGTGAACGTGGACAGAACTGCTTTCTTCCTGATCTTAGGGTGTAGGCACTCAGTCTTTATTATCTTATGCTTGATATTTTGTGTAAAAGATCAATGGTGCCTCCAAATGTACAATATTTCACTAAAGAGGGGCCCCCTTTCCTTATATTAGGCTTCAGGTATGATAGGGCTCACAGTCAATAAGGGAGAAAGCTGGGTTGGGCATAAATTGCAATTTTCCTAAGACTTAGTCCACTTTTCATTCATAACTGTTCCTTGGGCCAACTGTGCACAACATCAGAACTAAGGAATTGACTGACTGAAATATTAGTTAGGTGCCTAGCAGTTCCCTTCCCAAGTTTCTACTGTTTTGTCAGTCCTCCTCCTCCTCCTGCTACTACTTGTTAGCCCTCCTCCTAGGACTAGACTACTGAAAGCCCAGAACCAGCAAACGCTCCCAGGAAAGAAAATGTCCAGCAATTGTCAGCTTACCTTGGACAGGCTCCCCTATCCCTTGGAATTCCAATTTGTCTAGTCATTACTCTTTAGACACCTTTCCAATGTCTTTTTAAAAATAAAAGTTTTGTAATTTCCCTGGCTTTTTTATAGTCTGCAGTGAGAACAATAAACTACCATGACATACTACCTTCCCTATCAATAATCACAATTCTTCTCAATACTTTCAATTTGTATCTTTAATAATTGGGTCTTTTAAAAACCAAAGGTGGGTAAAGAGGAGTTATCCATGATCTAGCAGTAGAAATTAAAGAGAGTAAAAGTTGACTTTCTAATATGGTTAAAATGCAAAGCTTTTAAACAAAAAAGATGTTCCAAAAATTTAACATTTATTCTAAGTACTAAAATGAAAGGATAAGATTTATGGTAACTAACAGCAGTAGGTAATTATTTGAAAGTTCTGCTCCAGAACATTTAGAGTGGGTAGTTGTTCCTGGCCTCCTGACTATACATTTTTTTAATGCCGTATCTCAATATGCCCTTTTAACACACGACTATGAAAGAACCCATAAAATCAAGTTGAACACGGTAGCTTTTTTTACTCAAAAGTGGCCAGATCTAGGGACAACTTCAGAAGTAAAGAGTAAAAACACAATTAAGTGGGGAAGAACCTTCTTTGCTTCCTTATAGGAGACTGGAGACTATGTACTTTCCATAAAGTCCCGAATAATTTAAAATGCTGTATACATTTTAAAAGGAAACTAGTGGAGTAGAAAGACAAGGTAAATACTTGTCACTGAAAAAAATTTCCCAATTATCACCCTAAGAAAATAATGTGTTTGTCTACAAATAAAATCTATGCTAGGAGCTTTATTTAGTGAGATCAATTTATATTCAACACGTTGGCAAAGACCATCCTTAAGTTAAAAATCAAAGACAACAGGTTAAAGTTTATCAATGTTTTATCAAAAGAAAAGCAGCAGGCTAGGCATGGTGGCTCACACCGATAATCCTAGCACTTTGGAAGGAGAATTGCTTGAGGCCAGGAGTTTAAGACAGCTTGGGCAACATAGTGAGACATTGTCTATACAGAAAAAAAAAAAAATTAGCTGGGCATGGTGGCATGCACCTATAGTCCTAGCTACTTGGGAGGCTGAGGCAGGTGGGTCACTTGAGCCCATGCAAGGTTACAGTGAGCTATGATCGTACCACTGCACTCCAGCCTGGGAAACAGAGTAAGACTCTGCCTCTAAAAAATACCCAACAAAAATAGAAAAGAAATAACTAGTTTTTCTAATGATTAGGATGAAAAGAATTAAGATACTTACTGATATACTTAGAGTTTCATTCTTGTGGTCAAAATTCATTTTTCCACAATAGGCCCGCTGCGATAGTAAGTTGTCAAAGTACAATTTGCATCGTAAAGTCAAACACCTTGAAATTTAAAAATTAGGCACATTAATAAGAGGGCAAAGGTTTTTTAAAACTATATTCAGCATGATCTAAGCATGTTAGAAAACCAGATGGAAATATGCCAAAATGTAAACATTGGTTACTCACTTACTAGTTGAGTTTTAGGTAATATTTTTTCCCTTGTGTCTTTATATTCATTTATGTCCCTACATTTTCACCAGTTCATTTACTTTTATAATAAAAAAATTAATGAAATGAATTAAAGAGTCATCTCACATTTAACACATTATACCATAGTCAGTGCTTAGGAATGTATCAATCATTCAACTAATTAATAATCTAAGGTATTACCCTAATACATTACAAAGATATTTTGTCCTTGAGAGGATTAACTCTAATGGTGACAAGATAAATGGACAAAATATCTATTTATTTTGCCTCCTTCCAATTTCACAGTAGCAAAAAAGCTAAGGGCACTCTCTTAAGCACTGGGTACCTCTAATGCCTTACACTTTGCTTGGCACAATGCAAACTCTATCTTACCTTCGCTTGGCACAATGCAAACTCTATCTTTCCTTCTCTACATATTAGATGGCATTTTACTGTAAGGAACTTTCCCTTCTTCCTCAATTCTTTATTTCCTTATCTAACTTTCTATGTATCAGAATAGATTAGCGAGTCTTATTCATTGGCTTTATTTTTGCATTGTTCACACCATCTATTACTATACTTATTGAGATCCTCAAACTGTCCTAGATTTTTCCAGTGGGCACCCCCTTCAAGCTGGATCATGTGTCCTTTTATCATGACTCCCCTTTTTTTTTTTTGAGCCCTTCCTTCCTTTCTGCCATAGCATGAGGTTCATCTGTACCTTCCCTGCCCAGCTCTGGAATCCACCATTTCTCCATGGAGCCCCGGTTCCTTTTAGCGGGGAATGGTATTTAGAAAATAAGATCTGTGTGGTAAGTCACTGGCCGTGGTTTCATAACATCTTTGCTCCCTAGTAAGCCTAAAGCTCACTTCTCTGGTACTCTTTTCCTTCCTATTTCCCTCCCTGAACTGAATTAAATTCCCACACTAGAAATCACTGATAGCCTGAGTTTCCTTCTGCTGCCACAGCAACCACTGCTAGCTGGTTTTCAGAGTTTTCTATTAACTTTTCTTTCAATACAGATATGTATTCATTTATTGCTCCATTTATGGGATGTCTAAAAGAGACTGTTGTCATAAAATGGCAAAGTTCTGGCTGGGCACCGTGGCTCACGCCCGTAATCCCAGCACTTTGGGAGGCCGAGGCGGGCGGATCACAAGGTCAGGATATCAAGACCATCCTGCCTAACACGGTGAAACCCCGTCTCTACTAAAAATAAAAAAAATAAGCCTGGCGTAGTGGCGGGAGCCTGTAGTCCCAGCTCCTCGGGAGGCTGAGGCAGGAGAATGGCGTGAACCCGGGAGGCAGAGCTTGCAGCGAGCCGAGATCGAGCCACTGCACTCCAGCCTTCACGACAGAACGAGACTCCGTCTCAAAAAAAAAAAAATGGCAAAGTTCTCCAGAGTAAAGACATAACAATTTTAAAAATTAGGTCGTTTTTACTCCCCTCCTAAGACTGAGTACTGAGTAAACAATATGAAATATGTCAGTGGTGAAGAATCATATGAAGGTAATACAGGCATACTTCAGAAATACTGCAGGTTCAGTTCCAGACTACCACAAAAAAAAGCGAATATTGCAATAAAGTGAGTCACACATGTTTTTTGGTTTCCCACTGCATACAAAAGTTTTGTTTACACTATTGTTGATATTTTGACTTCCTCCCATGAATCATAAATGTTCTTAATGGTATCTAGAATGATGAGTCCTTTCCAGAAGGTTTTCAATTTACTTTGCTCAGATCTATTGAGGAATCACTATGTACAGCAGCTATGGTGTTACAAAATATATTTCTTAAATAAGAGACTTGAGAGGTAAAATTACTCCTTGATCTATGGGTTACAGAATGGATGTTAGTAGGCATGAAAACAACATTAATCTTCTTGTATATCATATCAGTTCTTGGGTGACCAGGTGCACTGTCAATGAGCAGTAACATTTTCAAAGAAATATTTCTGAGCTGTAAGACTCAATAGTGGGCTTAAAATATTCAGTAATCTATGATGCTATAAACAAATGTGCTCTCATCAGGCTTTGTTTTTCCATTTGTACAGCACATGCAAAGTAGATTGCACAATTCTTAAGGGTCCTAGGATTTTCAGAATGGTAAATAAACATTGGCTTAAAGTCATTAGCTTCATTTGCCTCTAATAAGAGATTTGGCCTGTCCTGTGAAGCCAGGCATTGACTTCTCCTTTCCAGCTATGAAAGTCCTAGATGGTATCTTCTAATACAAGGCTGTTTTGTCTGTGTTGAAAATCCATTGCTTAGTGTAGCCACTTTCATCAGTTATCTTAGTCAGATCTTCTGTATAATGTGCAGCTTCTACATCAGTGCTTGCTGTTTCACCTTGCACTTCTATATTACAAAGATGGCCTCTTTCCTTCAACCTCATGAACAAACCTCTGCTAGTGTCATACTCTTCTTCTGCAGCTCCCTCACCTCTCTCAGCCTTCATCGAATTGGACAGTTAGGGCATTGCTCTGGATTAGGTTTTGACTTAAGGGAATGTTACAGCTGCTTTGATCTTCTATCCAGACCATTGAAACTTTCTTCATATCAACAATAAGGCTGTCTAATTTTCTTATCATTAGTATGTTCACTGGAATAGCACTTTTAATTTCCTTCAAGAAATTTTCCTTTGCATTTACAACTTGGCTAACTGGCACAAGAGGCCTAGCTTTTGGCTTATCTTGGCTTTTGACATACCTTCCTCACTAAGCTTAATCATTTCTAGCTTTTGATTTAAAGTGATAGAAATCCTACTCTTCCTTTCACTTGGACACTCAGAGGTCACTGTAAGGCTATTAACTAGCCTAATTTCAATATTGTTGTGTCTCAGGGAATAGGGAGGCCCAAGGGGACAGAGAGAGATGAGGGAATGAATGGCCAGTCAGTGGAGCAGGAAGAACACACACAACATTTGTTAAGTTTGCTGTCTTATATGGGCACCGTTTGTGGCACCCGAAAACAATTTCAACAGTAACAAAGATTACTGATGACAGATCACTACAACAGATTAATAATAACGAAAAAGCCTGAAATATTGCAAAAATTAAACAAAATATGACAGAGACATTAAGTGATCACACGCTGTTGGATAAATGGTGCTGACAGACTTGGTTGAAGCAGGCTTGCCCTGAACCTTCAATTTGTAAAAAATGCAACATTTGTGAAGTGCAATAAAGTGAACTGCAGTAAAATGAGGTATGCCTGTAAACTCTAAGACCAGTACTTTGCAAAAAACCTTTTAAATACAAATTTCTGAGTAATGATATAAAAATAAATCCTACTGCATCTGGAACAGATTTATGTAGTAATAGAGCTTGGGTTTATTCTTCTGCCTGAAACTAAAAAACGAGACAAAATACATAAAACAAGCATTTTCAGACTCTGGCTATCTTCGGGCTCCACATTTAATTCTAGTTCTCTTGCCACTTCCACCACATCTGCAGTCACTTCCTCCACTGAATCCCTCAAAGACATCCAAGGGGGTTGCAATTAACTTCTTCCAACCCCCTAGAGCAGGCAGTTCTAGTCAAATGATCTCTGAAAGATAGGAAACAAACACTGAACCCTACCAATGCCCCACATTGCTCTTCACCGAAAGAGGACAAGGGAGTAGAAACCAAAGTAGAGCTGTTGCTCTTGTTTGAGGAGCTGGAGCTGGGAGTCTGGGGAGGCAAAATAAACTTCAGAGGATCTACAAAGGGTTCTGTTCCAGTCTTGAGCTGAGTACTGGTCAGTGCACAGGTGTGAGGACACCATTTGAGGCTGGGAAAAGAAATATCCAAAGGAAATAGAAGTAATTCCGACAGCTCACACACGATCAGGAATAGTTCATGTTCTTACTGGCTACAGCGAAGACCTCGTGATTCACAAAGTATCGGTAGAGTACTCAGAATAGCACTGCCTCAGAGGTAGGAAAAAATTAGCCCGCAACCAAATGGCTGCTCTAATCTCATCTAACAAGGCTTAAAAGTAGCCTCAAAAGGGTATAAATGGGTCCAATTTAATTCAAGTCCTACTAATATGCCTGTAAAACTGAAAAAGGAATTTCAAAAACTAACCTATGGTTTCACTAAGGAATATAAGAGCTAGGTACTTTTTTTTTTTTTTTTAATTTGTACAGGCTTAAGATGGTAGAATTTTTGGTGTAAAGACAGTTTTAAAAAGCATATTACTGAGGGAATTTGCCTGGAGAAAAACAGAGGCAAATGGAAGGACTAGGGCTGTCTCGGATTCATGTACATTAAAGGGCCGTTCCTCCCTATCAACTATCCTCTGTTTATTTCCGTCACTTGTTATCAGTTGGAGTCAATCTATCTCTGTGAGTCTGTACATCTCTGGATATGCTAATATCCAGTTTCCCTAATTCTGTATTCATTTATCCAACCAATGTATATTGGTATGTATCAGGTACGGTTATAGAAACTAGAGATACAGCAGTAAACAAAACAGAGTTTCTGCATTCATGGAGCTACGTCATTCTAGTAGATTACGGTAAATCAACTGAGGTATTACCTTTAAAGTTCCTACCAAATGCTTGTATCCATTAAAAACATGCAATAGCCAAGGGTAAAATAGGCTATTTTAGAACCAATGAGTTCCCTTTCAAAGGACCTATTTAAGCATAAAGGACCTATTAAGCATAAAGAATATCTAACAGAGTGGAACAGTTGGATAAGCTCACTATAAAGAGTCCTGCAGATTCGGAATTGTCTGATTAAATTAGAGAATCCTAAGAACTGAATAACAAAGCAAGCATTAATAGTCTTTGCTATAACAGAATTATATAAATAATGTGAAAACAGAGAAACACAAAAATGTACAATACATAGTAATGTTTTCCAATGTACTTACCTTCTAAATTGTTGATATGTTTTGAATCTGTGGTCCATGATTTCTCCCAATAATTTAATAAACTTTTTTAAAGTCCTTACTTTATTATCTAGATCAAGATAGGTCTCTCTTGCTTCTTGGTACTGCCTATTATATAAACAAAATATTACGTAAGAAATATGCCACACGTAAAAAACGTAAGAGTAGAATCTGAAACAGATTTAACTGGGAAGAATAGGGAGGGGCAGAGAGTACTAAGGGGACCTAGCAGCAGTCAATTTCATAAATTTCCAGTGAAATTACACTCCCAGAATGAAAGGGTGGTACGAAATGAGAGAGTACTACCCGGACAGGGAAGGAACAAGGTCCAAGCCCTACAGGAGGCAGAGACAGTGTGTGAACAAGTACCCTGGTGGGGCCTAGAGGCAGCAGATCTTAGAGAATGCCAGCAAATACACACCTTCAAAAAGGGAAGGGGTCACACTGGAAGAAAGGTTTCCTTCAGTAACAGATGCCAATAAAAGAAAAAAAGAACTCAAGCCAGCATTAGAATCCACCCTCCCCTGTCCTAAACAAGGTAAGATCAAAGAGGCAGAGATGGCATGGCTACTCAAAGTGCTATTACAAAAGGCAACAGCCTATTACTGTGGCAAGCCTATAATTGAATTAGCATGAAAGGCAATGCTGGTCGAGGCTCCCACAGCTACCCTTCCCATTCTCCTTCAAATAACTGGTCCAGGAAAATTCAACTAATTAAAAAAATAAGTAACAAAAAACGCTGGCACAGCATCCAGATATTTATGGGGAAAATATGAAGAACAGCAAAACTCTCCTACAGACAAAGAAAACTTATTAGAACAGTGTTGCCACAAAGCAGATGAAAATTATAATTGAACATCATAAATTAAAACAAAAGAGGCCAGGTATATTGGCTCATGCCTATAATCCCAGCACTTTGGGAGGCCAAGGTGAGAGGATTGTTTGAGCCCAGGAATTAGAGACCAGCTTGGACAATATAGCGAGACTCTATCTCTACAAATAATAAAATAAAAATTAGCCAGGTGTGGTGGCATGCGCCTGTGGTCTCACTCAGGAGGGTGAGGCACAGGATCACCTGAACCCAGAAGTTCAAGGCTGCAGTGAACCATGATTGTACCATTGCACTTCAGCCTGGGTGACAGAGCAAGAGCCTGTGTAAAAGAACAAAAACAAACAAACAAACACAAACATCAGACAAGTGCTCCCAGGAAGGAATACCTCAAAGCAGACAAAAGAACTGAAAGAACAGATAAACAAAAGGAGGTAATAATCAGACAGGAGGAGTAGGTAAAGCAAGAGAATCCACAGACAGGAAGGTAGGAGGGCTAGAACCTCCTCCTAAAAAGAACACACACAGATATGAAGACAAAATGAGAAGACGCATAGGAGAAAAGAGAAACGTGGAAAACACATAGATGGAAAAAAAAACATAAATGAGAAAATCAAGCAAAATGAAAAAGAAAACAGACAAAAGGGTTAGACAAAATGATAACTAGAGAAGATATAGATATCCAACATTATAACTAAAGGCCTCAAAAAAACCCAAAACAATGAAACAAAATATTTTAAAGTAAAATTCAACAAAATTTTTAAGAACTAAAAGACTTAAATCTAAATATTGAAAAAGCAATGTTTAACAATGAAAGAATCACTGAATTCTAACATTCTGGACAAGTTACAGGACATAATAGACAAGCACCAACATAAACAAGATGCTCAGGAGAAAAAGTATGAGCTAAGAATTTTATATTAGGCCAAACTACCCTTCAAACATAAAAGCTAAAGACAAATTCTTATCAACTTATAAAACATAGAAAATATTCATACACGCCATTCTCAAGCCAAAGAGAACAAACAACTTTTCAAATGGCTGCATCGTCATGTGGAAAAAGACAAAACCTATTCCTCACACCATACATGAGAATAAACTCCAAAAAAAATCACAGATATCATGTAAAAAATGGACATACAGAAGTACTAAAAAATCATAGGTAATTAGAACATGTGGAAAAAGGAATAAGAAAAAAAATCGTAGGTGAATACCTCCATAACCTAGATGCAGAGAAAAGCATTTTAACTATGACCCAAAATCCAGATGTAATCAAAGAATGACAAATTGAACCAAATAAAAATAATCTTTTCATAGCAAAAATATATATGCAAATTCAAAAAAGAAATCGAGAAAAATTTGTAATATTTGGTTAATACTCCTAATACACACATATATGTTAAAAACTTAAACTTTGAGGGGAAAAACACTACAAAAAATAATTTTTAAAAAGAATAGATAATTCACAGGGTATAAAAATGATTCTTAAACATATGAAAAAATGTTAAGTTTTATTCATAATGATGGAATGTAATTAAAGTTACATTAATATACAATTTCTCAGCCATCAGACAGGCACAAATTAAAAAGTTTATACACTATACACTTTGTTGGCAAAGTTGGGGAAAAAGTATCCTCTCTCATACAGGTTGAGCATTCCTAATCCAAAAATTTGAAATTCGGCCAGGTATGGTATCTCACACCTATAAGCACTTTGGGAGGCAAAGGCGGGAGGATCACTTGAGGTCGAGAGTTCGAGACCACCCTGGCCAACATAGTAAAACCCTGTCTCTACTAAAAATACAAAAATTAGCTGGGCATGGTGGCAGGTGCTGGTAATTCCAGCTTCTTGGGAGGTTGAGGCAGGAGAATTGCTTGAATCCAGGAGGCAGAGGTTGCAGTGAGCCAAGATCGTGCCACAGCACTCCAGCATGGGCAACAGAGTGAGACTGCATCCCAAAAAGCAAACCAAAAATCTGAAATTCAAAATACTTCAAAATCTGAAACATTTCGAGCACTGATAGGATGCCAAAAGTGAAAAATTCCACACCTGACCTCATGGGACAGGTTGTAGTCAAAATATAGGCACACAATACAGTTTATTTATTCAGTGTCCCCAAGGGAAAAGAGACCTTCCTAGCCCCCTTCAGCTGTGATATATCTTTTCTGTAACATGTATGACATACATACATGCTAGATATATATGTCAAATTTTTTACTAAGTACTTACGTGTGAATAAGTGTAAGAAAACGACTGCTTATATAAATTCAGAATCAGGAATGACAGTGATGTCAAACAACCACAGATTGTTTACATGGATGGCTAAGATAGTAACACTTTCACTTTCTAATGATTCAATGTATACAAAGTTTGTTCCATGCACAAAATCATTTAAAAATTACATAAAATTACCTTCAGGCTATGTGTATAAGGTGTATATAAAACATAAATGAATTTTTGTGTTTAGATTTAGGTCCCATCTCCAAGATATCTCATCAATACGCCAATATTCCAAAATCCAAAATCCAAAATACTTCTGGTTCCAGGCATTTTGGATAAGGAATACTCAACCTGTACAATGCTGGCACAAATGCAAAAATGATACACACCCTATAGAGAAGGTTTGAAAATATCTAACAAAACCACTTATACATTTATGCTTCAAACTAGTAAAGTCACTTCTGGAAAATTACTGTGAAGATACAGATTTGAGCACTGATATGATGCCACAAGTGTATCCAATAACACACACACACACAAATGTGCGTGCATGTGCAAGATAAGTCATTGCAGCATTATCTGTAACTGCAAAATACTGGAAATAACCAAAATGCACACACACAGGATGATTGGATAAACTATGGTACAGATCAATGTGTGTGTGCAGACTCACAAAACAGAGTACAATGAAGCTGTAAAAAGAATGAGGAAGATCTCAATGAACTGATATAGAGTGATCTTCAGGTATATTGGTGAATGATAAAAGCAAGATGGTTGACTACCTTTTGTGAAAAAAAGTAGAGGAACCATGGGAAAAAGAAAACACATGAACCTGCTTACTTTCACAAACAAAAAAAAAACCATGAAAGATAGAAAATAAAAAAGAACTGGTGCCTATAGGGAGTGGACAGGAGAAATGGGGTGGAAAGGATGAAAGGTAGAACACGTCCCTGAATATACTTTTGTTTATGGCTTTGACTTGCGAAAACACGTTAATTTCTACATATTCCCCTTGAAGAGAAATTACATAAACAAGGATTAGAGAAATCTAAAATTGAATGCAAACAAAAACAAAAGCATTTCTAAATCAAGACAATAACCACAACAATAAAAACCTAATCCAAATAACTTTAGAACAGAGTAAATTTACTAAATAGTAGAGAAAAAATAATTACAAACACATCTTGAATGTTTTTCAATAATTTTCTTTTTGTAGATCTATATTGTGGAACTGAGTAAATATTAACGTTGTTGAGAGCCAGAGTTCCTCCCGTGGAGGAAAAAAAGATAGAAACAAGGAATAGGTTAAGGTTAAAAAGCCCTTTGTGGGATTGGACTGCCACTGGAGACACCAATACAAACTCACATTTTTAGTTCTGTTAACTGAAAGGTACTGGAAGAAATGCTACTCCAGCAAAAATCAGCACCCCTAAAATCCAAATTTTGTTTTTAGGTATCATTCCTTAAAAAAAGGAACCAGGGCTCTTTGGAGAAGTGACTGACTCCAAGGCTGGGTCAGGTATAGAATGAGCTTGAAACATTTTGTTATGTCACAAAGTTTAAAAATGCTATTAAAAACAACAACAACAAGGAAAGCATGTTAAGAAAATGCAAGAACCAGCTTGAAGAGCCTCCATTTGACCAAAGATGGAACAATTTAAATCTTAAAATAGGCCATGCAGTGGCTCATGCCTATAATCCCAGCACTTTGGGAGGCTGAGGCGGGAGGATCACATGAGCCCGGGAGGCAGAGGTTGCAGTGAGCCGAGATCCTACCACTGAACTCTGGCCTGGACAATAGAGTGAGACCCTGTCTCAAAAAAAGAAACTCTTAAAATAAACCTGGACTATAAATGACTACAGTTCATTGAGTAAAACAGAAGTCTGTAAAATTAAATTAACAAGGAAACTGAATGCAAATAAAAACATTTCGAAATCAAGTCAATTAATAACTGTAACAGTAAAGAGAGAAAGAAAAACCTAATCCAAGTAACTTTAGAACACAGCAAATTTACTAAATACCAGAAAAAAAATAATTGTAAACACATCTTGCAGAGGGGATTTGGCAATAATTGCAAAGTCCATATTGCAAAGGCAAGTAAATAAATTAATAAATAGATAAATTGGAGATAACGTAGGCTCTTCCTTACAAGTGACTGATAAATATGAAGGATGCAATAGAATTGAAAAATCCTCATTTTGCAAGCAGTATAGTAAAGATTCGTTCAGGTAAGAATCATTAGCAGATGATAAATCTAGGGATGAAAATATGATAAAAAGCAGGATACTGGCAGGGTTGCAAAGTGTCTGTCTGCAGAATGTTTATTAGTTGCAAGGAAAAAACAGTAAGGTATATAATGGAAAAACCAATGAACACCTTTACTTTTGCTTTTGCTCAGGTTACTAAATTCACTGAATAAATTAACAATGAAAATCAGAAAGAACATCATAAAGCCACAACAACTAAAACAGTATGGTTTTTTAACAAATGCCTGTGGCCAGATGTGGTGGTCAAAATTAACATAATCAGTGAGAGAGACAGAGAGAGAGAGAGAGACAGAGAGAGAGAGAGAGAGAGAAATAGATAGATTATGTGCCTCTGGATGTGATATCCAGAAAAAGATACATCATTATTTCTGTGGCATCCTGGCCAAGAACACATATGAACCTAATTATGAGAAAAAATATCATATAAAACCAAAACAAAGAGCACTCTGTAAAAGAGTATGACAAATGAAATACACGACCCTAGACTGCATCTGATACCGTAGGAAAGACACGGAGAACTGTCAACATCGGAATTGGACTACAGGTATCAATGTTAAGTTTCCTGAACTTTATAATAGCATTGTGGTTATGTAAGATAATACTCTTATTCTTAGGGAATATATTGAAGTACTAAGAAGTAAAGGGTCATGATATATGAAACCTACTTTTGAATGGTACAGAAAAAAAAATTTAAAGAAATGTGAGTGCATGTATATGTGTGCATGTATACATGCTAAATATATATGACTTTTCAATAATGTTTGAAGTTTTATGATTTTTGATAGAGCTGTCCCTCAGTATCCACGAAGGAACTGGTTCCAGGGACCCCTGTGCAGATACCAAAATCCATGAATCCCTTTTATAAACGTCACAGTGTTTGCGTATAACCTATATACATCTTCCTGTATACTTTAAATTATCTCTAGAGATTACTTATAATACCTAAGACAATGTAAATGCTATGTAAATAGTTGTTTTACTGTATTCTGTATTTTTTTTTAATTTGTATTATTTTTTACTGTTGTATTCTTTTTTTGTTGTTTTTGAGATTTTTCCCCCAGTCTTTTCAATCTGTGGTTGGTTGAACCTATGGATATGGAACCTGTGGATACAGAGAGCCAACTGTATTTATAATAATGGATGCATGTCTATGGCAACTGGATCTAGGTAATTTCTCTGTTCAATACACTATTAATTCCAAATGGGAAAATCTACTAGGGTTAAAATTTTGTTTGAGCTCCAGTTGCTTCTTAAATCATTACTACAATTATTTTATTTTATAACTAATAGAAATGTAATATGTGAGTGACTAGCAGACTATGGAATTAAAAATTGATTTTCCACAGAAAAATAAATAAATAAATAAATAACTTTTGCTCAGGTTACTAAATTCACTGAAAAATTAACAATGAAAATCAGAAAGAACATCATAAAGCCACAATCATTAAAACAGTATGGTTTTTTAACAACTGCCTGTGGCCAGGTGTGGTGGCTCATGCCTGTAATACCAGCACTTTAGAAGGCTGAGGCAGGTGGATCACCTGAGGTCAGGAGTTCGAGACCAGCCTGGTCAACATGGCGAAACTCCAGCTCTACTAAAAATAAAAAAAATTAGCTGCGCGTGGTGGTGCATGCCTGTAATCCCAGCTACCTGGGAGACTGAGGCAGGATAATCACTTGAACCCAGGAGGCAGCGGTTGTGGTGAGCCAAGATCGCACTACTGCACTCCAGTCTGGGTGACAGAGGAAGACTCCAATTCAAAAAATCAAACAAACAAACAAAACAAAAAAACCTACCTGTGAATATATAAATATCACAAAATTAATTTAATTTAAAAAATCTGCATAATGTACTGAAAAGAGAAAAAAAGTACATGAAAAGGTTACAGAAAAATAAATATAAATAAATGAAAAGATGTTCAACTTCACTCAATATAAGAGAAATGTACATTAAAATTATAGTTAATTCTTTTTCTTGGGAAATCAGCAAAAAAAAATCTAAGGACACACACTGTTTAGGCTGTAGGAAAACAGACACTCTAATACATTGCTAATGGGAATGCAAAATTAGTACAATCCCTAGAAAGGGAAATCTGACCATATGGAGCTTATACTATTAAAAAAAACAACCCTGAGTACATATAAAATAATGCACATTCAGTTACTGTGTTCCACCATTTGCAATAGCAAAAGATTAGATTAAAACTCAAGTATCCATGAAAAGGAGATTATTAAATACAGTGAAATTATAAAAGACACTGAGGAAATATCTATGTACTGATACAAGATCTTCAAGATATATCACTAAATCAAAACAGCAACTATTCACAATAGCCAAGATATGTGACCAACCCACATGTCCATTAATGAATGAAGAAAGAAAAACGTGTATACATACACACACACATACGCACACACACACACCAGAATACTATTCAGCTATAAAAAAGAATGAGGCCAGGCATGGTGGCTCATGCCTGTAATCTCAGCACTTTGGAAGTCTGACGCAGGCAGATCACCTGAGGTCAGCAGTTCAAGATCAGCCTGACCAATATGATGAAACCCGGTCTCCACTAAAAATACAAAAATGAGATGGGCGTGGTGGCATGTGCCTGTTTGTAATTCCAGCTACTTGCGAGGCTGAGACAGGAGAATCACTCGAACCCAGGAGGCGGAGGTTGCAGTGAGCCAAGATTATGCCATTGCACTCCAGCCTGAGCAAGAGGAGCAAAACTCCATCTCAAACAAACAAACAAAAGAATGAAATCCTGTCATTTACAGCAACATAGATGGAACTGGAGGTCACTTATTAAGTGAAATAAGCCAGGCACAGAAAAACAAATCTTGCATATTCTCACTCATACACATTGTACGTAGGTACCAAAATATCACACGTACCCCACTGGAGTATGTAATAGCAACAAAATTACCTGGTCAATTAAAATTTTGACAAAATATGTTGACATACCACCAAATGTTTTTCAGAAAGACATTAACGATAACTAATATACTATATTTCCTACATATTGTTTACGGATCATTTCTGTATCTTCAGAACAACCCCCATTGTGTGAATGAGAAAATTAAAGTTCAGAGAGAGAGGTAATTTGCCAAAGTCATATAAGTAGGTGGTGGAAATGCAATTTAAATCAAGATAACTCTTTCTTCAGAACCTGTGCTCTAATTATCAAGAGCGTCCGTTTTTATCAGTAATATAAAAATTTCCATTTCATTGAACCTTACTGACCTAGAATATTAGCGTTATTTTCATCCTATTCGATTTGATGTATTTGAAAAGTGGCTTCTGTTTTGATTTCCATTTCTTTCATTACTTATGAAGTTGAACATTTTCATGTCTACATGAAACTTACAGATACACAAAAGCATTTATGTTAAAATGAAATTCCATAATGAGTTTTGTAATAGTTCAGAAGGAAAAAGGTTACTATTTATTGAAAATAACACACACATAAAGGACTACTTCAGCTATAAGTATTTGCTACAGTAACACTTCATTTAAATTTAAGATGTGTATATGTTTTTCATTTTTTGTCTTGATGATATGCATGAATAATATGGTAAAGCAGAAAAGTTACCAGCTACTTACCTCATTATTTCCTCTCGATCTCCATGACTAGCATGTTCTGCCTGTATCTTCTGCCTTAATCGATTAATTTCTTTGTCCAGAATTGATGCAGATTTTTCTACTTCTATACGCTCCGGGCAGATCTGTCTTGCTTGTGACATTTTCTCCTAAGAAAATAGATGTTTAAATATTTAAAACTCTTCTTTGATATAACAATTCATTATACTACATGTGCCAAAATATGCAAAGTAAAATTCTGAACTTACGTTTAAGAAATGTATTTTAATTACATTTAATATCAATGTTATTTATATTTATCTAGGTTTTATATTGAAGATAAAGTCCAGAGGAATGACCTCAAGAGGAAACTGCATTGCTGTGTGTAACTTTAAAAAGGTGCAAGATCTCCACAACTTCTTAGTGAAACAAATTTAATGTAGCAGTTCCGAAAAGCTTGCTACCCAGGGCACCCAGGTGAGATGTAGGTTTCCACGTCCTTTAGGGTGGACTCTGAGCACCAATGGTATTAAAAACACAAAGACCCTCATGGGGTAAAGAATACAAGGCACTTTTACACATAGTACTTATTTATATTCACAACTTTCTGTATTATTCTGAAACAAATGAGGAAAACAAATAAGAAAATGAATTACAGAGTTTAGATCATTTTCCTTAAGATATAAATGCAAAATTGGAATCCATCTGTTCTAGTTATGACAAGATAGCCTTCAATTTATTCTCCTCTAAACACTGGGCCACTCTAGTTGCCAACAGACACGTCTAGTAGGAGCTAAAATCTAGCCCAGCCCACAGCCCAACTACTCTCTGGAAGGGGTGCCTTTTCCGGACACACAATGGCTATCCGCTTGCCAAGGTGGGCATCTAAGGAGCTGTGTTAGCTGAAAGACAGTGCTACTTTCTAAAGCACTCAGAGGCATAATACAGGACTGCTGGAGTCTTGCCTATTTAAGTCCTCACACTTTGAGGGTCCCTAAGTCTCTTCTGTTGATTCACCCAAACACCTATTACTCTATATGAAACAAATTCAGACAACTTGTCTGTTTTTAGAAACATGACATTAGGGAAAACACACTTTAATAATCATGACTCAGGCTGAAAACAAAATAACTTGAAAAAAATGGTGAAAAACCTCTAGTTCTTTCTCTTTCATATCCAGTTCTCGTTTCTTTTTATTTAAGGTATCCAGGTGTTCTTTTTGTTTTTCTTCATAATGTCGTTTCCCTCGTTTTTGGTTATCTACTTCAGAATCAGCAAGATTTAATTCATCCTGTTTGAACAAAGCCAAAATAAAAGACTGTTTTAAAAAAATTTCCAGCATAGGTATAAAGATAATTAACAACTCAATAAAGTGGCTAGGATTATGCTGTTTGAAGAGGCAAGTGCTATTTTATCCATATGGGTCTGAATACAAGTGAGGAGTTTCCCAAATTAGGAAGTCACCTTAAATTCAAATTCTTATCTGAATTCCCCATATATTAAGGTACTTTCAGTTTTATTTTAATAAACCAGGCATTTTTAAATTGGGGAATCCACATTAGCCTTTAAAAACTTAAAACAATGCAAGTGTTAGGTACTTACAGAGGACACCTGAAAAAGGATACCTGGTTTTAAAAAACGTGGGTCGGGGAAAAAGCAAGGATGTAAAAAAATTTAACTCTGATTTATTTAGTCATATCTGGTATAACTTCACAATTTTGAGCATAAAATACAACTGGAAAGAAGCCATCCCAAGATCACTTTAAAAACAAACAGTAGTAGATCTAAGGTAAAGATGCATACTGTAATGCACAGCCACCACTGGAAAAACAAAACAAAGGGTAGAGCTAAAACACTGGGAGAAGAGATAAAGGAACACTCATAATTACTTGGTAATCTCAAAGGAAGGACACGAAGAGGGAAAGTATGAAGAACAACAAAAACAGGACAATTAAAAGCAAACAATAGCTATTACTTCATGATGAATAGAGAATGCTTTCTTTCTAAGAACAAGAGCAAGGTAAGGACTTCTAGTTTCATGGCTTCTATTCAACAATGTACTAAAGGTCAAGAGTTGTTGGAAGTCCTGGCTAGTTCAATTAAAATAAAAGGAAATAGAAAGCATAAAAATCAGAAAAAAAAAAAGCATAATACTGTATTTATACAAAAACAGATGATGGTATATAAATTCCAAAAGAATTTTAAACTAATAAGTGAGTTTAGAAAGGTTACTGGATACAGGTCAATACAAAATTCAGTAATGTATCTATATACTAGGAATAACTGAAAAATGAATTAAAACATTTACTATATCACGAAAAACAGCCAACACATATCCAGAATAAAGAACTCTTACAACTCAAAAATAAAAGACCCATAACCCAACTGTAAAATGGGCAAAGATTTAAAGAGACATTTCCCCAAAGATAAACAAATGGCCAATAAGCACATGAAAACTACCAACAGTATTAGCCATAAGGAAAATACAAATCAAAATCACAATGAGATACCACTTCTCACTCACTAGCATGGTTAAAATTAAAAAGGCAGAAAATAACCAGTGTTGATAAGGATGTGGAGAAACTGGGACATTCAAACACTGTTGGTGAGAACGTTAAATGATACAGTCACTTTGGAAAGTTTCAAAGTTCTTCAAAATGCAGTGTAAGCACACAGCTTAGTAATTCCATTCCCAGGTATCTGAGACAAATGACAATACATATCTCCCCAAAAACTTGTACATGAATGTTTGCAGCAGCAGCGCCCAAATGTCCATCAACTGATGAACACATAAATAAAATGTGAACTTGACTAGGCAATAAAAAGTAAGAAGGTTCTGACACATGCTACAACACGGATGAAACTTGAAAACATTATGCTAAGTTGAAGGAGCCAGTAAAAAAAGACCGCATATTATATGATTCTACTCATATGAAATATCTGGAATAGGCAAATCTATAGAGATAGAAAGTAGATTAGTCTTTGCCAGGGGATGGGGATAGGAGAGAATTGGGAGAGAATTGGGAGTGACTGTTAATCAGTACAGGTTTCTTTATTAGGTGATGAAAATGTTCTAAAACGGTGGAAATGGTTATACAAATCTGAATATATGAAAAATCATTGAACTATTCACTTTAAATGGATAAATTTTACTGAACAATATATAAATAATGATTAGATCCTGTTGAGTTTTTCTATATCCTTGTTCACTTTTGGTATAGTTGTTCTATCAATTATTGAAGTTCTATAAGATTTTGGTAAGATTTTGCTTTCCATATGTTACAACTCTAATATTTGTTGCACACATATTTAGAATTGCTATGTATTTTTGGTGGACTGAACCTTTTGTCATTACATAATGTCCTTGTTTGTCTCCGGTAATTTTATTTTGAAGTCCACTTTATCTGATTTTAATATAGCTACTCCTGCTTTCCTTTGATTATTATTTGCAGGATATACCATTTTCCATCCTTTTACTTTCAACCTGCCTATATGGCTGTATTTGAAGTGAGCTATTTATAGAGACCATATAGTCATGTTTTAATCTACTCTGTCCATATCTGTCTTTCATTTATTTAGACAGGTAAGTCTAAATTTAAGTCTGTCATTTTATTTTTTGTATTCTGTTTGTTGTTTATCTGTCTTCTCCTTCCTGCCTCATGTGTTTACTCCAACATACATTAAGGATTCCATCTCAACTTATCTGTAGTATGTTTTAGTGCACCTCCTTGTATAGCTTTTTTAGAAGCTGCTGTAGGTATTATATTATATACACCAAACATCACAGTCTACTGGCATAATTATTTTACCAGTTTGAGAAGCATAGAAATCTTACCTCCCTTTTGTATCCCTTTTCTTTTCCCCATTTTAAATATGAGTCTTAAATACCTTCTCCTCTACATACATTTAGAATTATCTCAGATATTATAATTTTTGCTAGCCTTCTAAACATAATTTTTAAAACTCAAGAAGTCTATTGCATTTTTTCCTATTTTTATCTCATTTTTTTTTCCTTCCTGATGTTCCAAGATTCCCTCTTTTATTTTTCCTAACAAATTCTCTAAGTTCGCCTTTATCTGAGAATACCTTGATTTTTTCCTTTATTGCTTGGAAATATATTTGGTGGACACAGGGTTGACAGGTCATTTCGCACTCGAAAAATACACCACTTCCATCTGGCCTCCATGGTTTCTTATGAGAAATATGCTGTTATTCAAAAATCCTTTTCTATATAAGGTTTTCTCTTGCTATCTGTAAGATCTTTTCTTTAATTTCCACAAGTTTCACTATAATGTGTCTTATTGCAGATTACTTTGGGTTTATCTTGTTTTTGGTTTACTTACATTCTTTAATCTGTAAGTTTATGCTTTTTGCCAAATTTGGGAAGTGTTTAGCCATTATTTTTTTAAGTACTTCATCAGTCATGCCCTCTTTTCCCTCACTTTCTAAGACTCCGACAATACAAATGTCAGCTATTCTGTTATAGTTTCACAGGTCCCTAAGATGTTGTTTGTTTGTTTCAGTCTATTTGTTTTTCTTCAGTTTATTTTTTCTCTGTTGATCAGATTTACGAGGAGTAATAAGGGAATATTATGAAAAACTTCATGGCCAACTTTGTCTCAAAAAATACGAGCTAAAAATAAAGTCAATTGAATTCAGCCTGGAACATAATGAGATAGCTGACAAACAAGAGATGAGTAGTACTTTATTTCAAGTTGGCTTTTATAGCAACTAATCTTTGAGTTATTGAAGCAAAGCTGGGACAACAGAACAAGCAAGCACAGAGACATTCTACATGTACAAGACGTCTCTACTCCTGGTTCTGATTTTTAAAATCATAAAGAGGTTAAAAAAAAAAAAAAAAAAGCTATAATCCTCTAGGAGAAATGGAAATTTGGTGATTTATTCTCCTAAAGGCATGAACAGAAGTGTTTAATACTAATTGATCTAATGATGAAAGTTTGGTTCCCACCATTCTTTATATTCGATTTTTATGCTACTATATTTACATTTAACCAGAAATTATTTTAGGCCAATACCCAATAAGTACACTGTGGATATAAAACTAAACCATAAAATACATACATAACAATATCAAAAATATATACCTTAAGTGGGTCGGCTAGCTCTGATAGTTGATTAATTTTTAATTTAATTGCATCATACTTATTTTCTGCTTCTATTTTCAGACTTTTAAGATGCTCCATATTTTCTTTTTGTTGCTCCATATGTTTCTCAACCATTTTCATTTTGCTTTTATTTTCCTGAGCTTCATCTTCCTGATAAAATTTAAACAGCATATAGGGTTAATTAAAACACTTTAAGCTTTCAAATAGAAGAAACATATAAATAATTCTGAGAGGAGAAACTATAGGCTATATGCAAATCACATCAAATACAAATAGAAAGAACACTAGAGTATTTTTATACTCTTAATGGTAAACTAGGAAGTAGAGGAAAACAAGCTGAATATTTAGGAGACAATATTCTGCTTAAGATCATAATCAAAAAGAGTAACTTTCATTCTATCTATTCATTTTTTCCAAACTATACTATATCTTGTGCCAGAGAATATGTTAGATGCTAAGTAAACAAAGATAAATAAGATATTATCCGTATGTTTAAGAAATTTAGTTGGCCAGGTGCAGTGGCTCATGCCTGTAATCCCAGCACTTTGGGAGGTCGACACGGGTGGATCATCTAAGGTCAGGAGTTTGAGACCAGCCTGACCAACATGGTGAAAGCCCGTCTTTACTAAATACAAAAAATTAGCTGGGCATGGTAGCACATGCCTGTGTAATCCCAGCTACTTGGGAGGCTGAGGCAGGAGAATTGCTTGAACCTGGGAGGCAGAGGTTACAGTGAGCCAAGATTGCACCACTGCACTCCAACCTGGGCAACAAGAGTGATACTCCATCTCAAAAAAATAATAATAATAAAAACGAAATTTAGTCTATCAATAAAAGGAATTAAAGCAGAAAAATAAAAAGCAGAAAGTGAAAAACAAGACTACTAGTAAAAAATGAAGAGAAATTCTAATCAGAGTAAAACTTTACCAGCACTGAGACTTATTCCATTTTGTGCACTGTTGTATTCCTTAGCAGTTAATATCCTTCCTGATACAGAGCACTCAATAAATATTTATTCATTTTAACAAAACTGCAATTTATCTAATTCACTGTTTGCTGAAACTCAGAAAAAGCTAAGTGTCATAAACAGACTCCTGAAAAAAAAATACAGTAAAAAATATGTTGAATTAAAATGAAAAATACTGATTTGAAAAAAAGAAAAAAAAAACAAGACACCAATTAGAACTGACTAAAAGATGATCCTGACATCTGTGCCCATTCATATTGATACTGATGAACTCTGAGAGTACCTAGGTGGAAAACACTATGCTCAGTAGCAGGGTTTGATGGGCCCTTGTTTAGAAATATAATTAAGTTTGGGTAAAGCTTTTTTGCATGTGATAGAAGACAAAATCAATTATTATGCATGAAAGTTATATATACACACAACATTAAAAAATATGAAGGCTATATACCAGGTAGTTTTTACCTTCTTGGTGAATGGAGACAGCAATCATAAAGAGTAGCTTCAATTAAAAGAACTTTCTAAAAAAGCTGAGTTGATGCCATTAACCTGAATGGTGGCTTTATCCTTTAATATTACATTTAAATTGAAAAAAAGTATTTTACCAAAGTTGCAATATCTACAGACTGGTGTTCTTCTATGTTCTCAAGTTCCCGAATTTCAGAATTACTTTTTCTTATTTTCATCTAAAAGAAAAGTATTTGGATTTTAGTAACATAAAAAAAAAATTTAAACTAAAAACCTTGGAAAGGATGTATTAATCTACAAAGCTCTACAATGTTGATGATACAGAAGGATTCCATAATTAATGAAAGGGGTACATTAGTATTAAATCAACCAAAAGAAATTACATATAAATTCTGCCATGTATCACTCTCATATACTAATCCAAAAAGAGATGTAAGTAATCCATCTTAGCATTTTAAATGATGGCACTGTTGAGTCCATTGAGAAAAATTTTTCTGAAACATCCAAAGTCTCAAGTTATGGAATGATTATTCTAATCCAGTGGTTTTCCAAGTATGAACCAAGTAACCTATGGGGGTTTCTGATATCCTTTCAGATAGTCTGTGAGGCCAAAACTATTTTCATAAAAACAATTAGACATTATTTGCCATTTTTATTAGCATTTTTTCATGAGTGTATATAAGGTTTATAAATGTATGATTTGTAATATCGCAACAGACTGCAAAAACTGATACAACTATTTAATTGATTTTATTAAACTGAACATTAGAGACTTACAAAAATATTCCAATCTTCTCACAAAATCTTTTTGGTTTCAAAAATTTGTTTTTTTAAATAAAAAATATTTCTGTTAACTAAGTTTATTATTATTTTTAAATGATTTGATATGGTTTGGCTGTGTCCCTACCCAGATCTCACCTTGAATTTAAGTTCCCATAATCCCATGTGTTGTGGGAGGAACCTGATGGGAGATAATTGAACCATGGAGGCAGCTACCCCCTACTGTTCTTGTGGTAGTGAATAAGTCTCATGAGAGCTGATGGTTTTATAAGGGGTTTCCCCTTTTGCTTGGCTCTCTTTCTCTCGTGGCTGCCGCCATGTAAGACGTGCCTTTTGCCTTCTGCCGTGATTGTGAGGCCTCCCCAGCCACGTGAAACTGTGAGTCCATTAATTACCCAGTCTCTATTATGTCTTTATCAGCAGCGTGAAAACAGACTAATACATGAATTAATAAATATTCTTAAATTTTGTTTTAATTTTTAAAAATGTAAACGTTGATAGATATACCCACAGAAATGAAAGCTCTTTGATGAGTGTAAAGGGGCTTGAGGCCAAAAGGTCTGAGAATTACTCAAAGTTAATAATGGGATCTTAAAATCAACTTGGTAGTAGTAAGTTGAAAAAAAAACAAAAGAATGTTTATTTATTTTTTTACCTCCAGTTCTTTATAATGTAGTTGGCACCTTTTAAGAAGTTCCTCATTGCGTTTAATATCTTTTTCAAGGTCAGATAAATGTTGCTGAAGATTTAATATCTGGGCCATCTTATTTTCAACCTCATTCTCCAAGTCACTTGATAGGAAAGGAGAAGATAAAAAATACTTCAAACCTTTTTCTCAATATTACAAATACTTTAGACCTTTACAAAGAAAGCCTTATTTATAGTAAGTTATGTGCAAAATCCTTTTCAGTTAAACTAGTTCTATAATCCTACCAAGCTATTAATCATGAAAATCTACTGCAGACATTGCAAAAAACATTCTAAACAGGAATCAAGTTTTACTTATTTCCTTAACAAGTAGAGTTTACTCTTGAACAAAGCAGGGTTTGAAAGATGTGGGTCCACTTATACACAGATTTTCTTCTGCCTCTGTCACCCCTGACACAGTAAGACCAACCACTCCTTTTCCTCACCTTATTCAATGTGAAGAATAAGGATAAAGACCTTAATGATGATCTACTTTTATTTAATTAATAGTAAATATATTTTCTCTTCCTTATGATTTTCTTAACATACTCTTTTCTGTAGCTAACTGTATTGTAAGAATCTAATATATGATACATTGTATGGTACAATATACTGTATTTATAGTATATTGTATAATATACTATACTGTATATACTGTATTATAAGAATATAGTACATAATACATATAACATCTAAAATATATATTAATTGATTACTTATGTTATCAGTAAGACTTCCAGTCAACAGTAGGCTATTAAGTTTCTGGGGAGTCAAAAGTTATACACAGACTTTGACTGCACTGTGGGTCAGTGCCCCTAACCTCTGCACTCTTCAAGGGTCAAATGTACTTATGACTTCCGTGTGCCAGTATTACGCATAGTGGTAGACAGAAGTAGAAACAGAATTAAGATGTGACTCTGAAAAAAAAAATCAGGAAATAAACTATAACATTAAAATGTGAACAGGACACTATATTATATATCCACAGTACTATAGGAGCATAAGAGTGAATCTGGGAGAAGAGATAACTGAATTGTATTCTCTAATTTTTCATCAGGTGGACCAACTAGGGGAGAAGATAAGAAACACAAAAAGGCACAGAGAGTGATTAAAACAGATAAAACTAATAGCTTAATACTTCCGTTGGTGAATAAACACTACGAATGTGTGAGGAGTGAAGGGGAAGAAGAAGATGACAATAAAAAGATACGGAGAATAAATAAAGTACCGGATTCCAAATTCATAAAAAAGTGTCCCCATATGGCAGAGTCAACTGGCTTCAGAAGTGATCTTTTCCTCACTAATCCAAGTATCTGTGTTCCAAAGCTGTGTGCTTGGTGGAAGAGAACTACCTTTGCAGTTAAGAACAACTTTTCCCTAGTCTGGGGGATATTCCCTGGAGCTGGCCATATTCCACTGAGATGCATATTTCTCCACATTTTAACATCTCTGAAATCTGAAACCATTTTGCAGTCTGTGGTTCAATTAGTATTTATTTCCTTTTTACTGGTACATAAGATAATAGTATATACAACATTTACTGGTATGTAAAATAACCGTGCTACCTTGCTAGAATTTTTAAATTAAAAAAAAAGGCTCAATAAATGTTAGCTGAATAAATGATAAAAATGGGGAAAGGAATAGTGCAATTTCTGATAAAAATGGGGCCAGGAGGAACATTTAATATGGCTCCTCAGGATTGAATATGAAATATTTATTTTATCATATATAAACCTAAACTTTTATTAACAAATAGTAATTTTGCTTAAAAAAAAGATGGCTGGGCATGGTGGCTCACGCCTGTAATCTCAGCACTTTGGGAGGCTGAGGCGGGCAGATCACTTGAGGTCAGGAGTTCGAGACCAGCCTGATCAACATGGTGAAACCTTGTCTCTACCAAAAAGTACAGAAATTAGCCAGGTGTGGTGGCATGTGCCTGTAGTCCCAGCTTCTCAGGAGGCTGAAGCAGGAAAATAGCTTGAACTCGGGAGGCGGAGGTTGCAGTGAGCCGAGATTACACCACTGCACTCCAGCCTGGTCAACAGACCCTGTCTCAAAAAATAAAATAAAATAAAAATAAAAGTTGCCCGGCCAGGTGCAATGGCTTAACCCTGTAATCTCAGCACTTTGGGAGGTGGACGTGGGTAGATCACTTGAAGCCAGGAGTTTGACACCAGCCTGGTCAACATGGGTGAAATCCTGTCTCTAAAAACATTAGTTGGGCATGGTGGCGCTTGCCTGTACTCCCAGCTACTCAGTTGGCTGAGGCACAGGAATCACTTGAACACTGGAGGCAGAGGCTGCAGTGAGCCAAGATCCTGCCACTGCACTCTAGCCTGGGTGACAGAGTGAGACCCTGTCTCAAAAAAAAAACCAAAACTGCCAAGTAAACAAACTTTAGAAACTACAGCCTAAACCAAAAATGAAAACCAACAAAATAAGCAAGACAATATTGTTATTATACAATTTTTCTGAACATATAGAATAAATTGAAGCAATCAATGTAACCTGCATTAATAAAACTAATGAATTTTACAACTTTCTTTTTACTGGGTAAAACTAATTCCTATACATTTTCATATAATGTTCCTCCTTAGTTTTTTTTTTAATGAGTTTTTACATAGAGAACATGTTACCTAACGAAAACTATATTAAGCCTGAGCTGAGTATGTGAGTTGTTTGTGTGGGATGAATACATATTCCCCGAAAGCCTATCTAAAATAGTATACTTGTCACTCTCTTGCCCCATACTATGCTTTATTTGTCTCCACAGCACTGATCACCACCTAACCTAGTATTCATTTACAGTCTATCTTCCCCTTAATTTAAGATCCAGTAGAGAAATTATGTATATCAATACTTTGTTTCCTTATGTGTCTTGTGCCTTGATTAGTGACTAGAATATCAGATAGCCATTAAATATCTGTTGTTTGAAGAACAAATAAAAGAATAAAATTTTAAGAGCATACTTCAGAAGATTACATTAAAATGTTACAGCGTTTTAACAACTCAAAAATTCACAGGTAATTTTTTTTTATGAACCACCCTGGTAATCATTCTAAGGGCTTGGTTACACATTATGTGCACTTTTATAACTGAAAACTGCATTAAGATAATAAACAAAAGCAAGTGCCACAACACCAAGGTGCTAGTCATTCAACTTTTTCTATTGCTAATTGAAGTTTTACTAAACTCTCCAACATCCATTATGGTATTATGGTTATTTTCCTTTCTTCTGCTCTCATAATCACATAAAAATGACTAGAAGAAATCTATTTCAACAAAACTCTCATTTCCCCTACACATACAAGTCATTTTAATTTTTTTTTTTTTTTTTTTTTTGCTCAGTTTTCTTAGATATTTCTTTGAAGTCCTAAGTTCTTCTACTGAAGATCTTCTAAGTCATTAATTCAGGCCCAAAACGTCAATTCATCAATTGAATGAATTCAGTTAAGCAATCATGGGGTTGTTTTTTGATACCAAAATGTCTTTTTGCATGTTCTTGAATCTCTTATTAGTTTTTCGTTTAACTTCTCAATTTGTCTCTTCTAGCAGCTGTATTTTCCTAGGCATGTGTTCTAATCATGTCAATTGATCTTCTTTCTAGAACTGTGCAACTCAAAGTACCAATCAGGGACATTATAAGGAGCTTGAGCCAGAATGTAAACCAGTCTGCTGTATCCTCTCTCAGACAAATCAGCAAAATTAAATAGTGAGCACAGTGATGTAGCTGATTTACATTCTGAGTCAAGCTCCTATCTCCTTGAGGACAAGCAACAAATAGTGTACAAATGAGTTAGTTGAGGGAATACGTTCTGGATTATCAGTCCTGAATGCTGTTGTCGAAGTGATGATGCAAGGTAACTGTCAACCTCGAATTCCATAACTAGCTAAGTGATGTTTTAAGACTAAGCACTGAGATAGATTACTCCCATCCTCACTGAAACAACCACTGGAAGAGTAATATGAAAGAAAATGAACCCCAAAGGAAGCAGTGGGAATAATACAGTAAAGTTAAACTTGACTCTAACCTTATTTCAGAATCCACATCTCTGCTTAGGAACTTAGGTCTTGTATTTTCAGATGAATAATAACGTCCTGCAAAAACTTGATCACCCTCAGCAGTAAAAGCTTCTCTACAATTTTTGGGTGGCTTTTGGGACTGCATTACTGCACGAGCTACAGAATTATTCTAAAAGAATAGAAAAAAATAAATTTTTTAAAACAATGTGAAAATTTTTCTGATGTACAGAATTTCAAAATGTTACTCGTCCTTATTATTTTAATATGATTCAAGTATTCTTTTTAAAACATTCAAATAATTTTATAAAGTTAAATATAAGAATTTTAACACTTTCAAGGTTAGAAGAATTAAAACTATTTAAAAAGCCTTAAAACAGTTTAGTAAACAATGTTTCATGACAAATTGGTGTATATTTATTTTTAAATTTGAGTATTATCCATTTAAAAGTTAAAACTATTTTAAGTGCTTTTTAATGTGAAAATACAGACTTTAGACCAGTTCATACTATTTTTTCTAAATGACTTTTACACCCTAGAAAAGATATGAATGAATAGCAAATTCCAATAAACGATTACCATACTGAAAAATGTACCGAAAGTCTGGAAATATTTAAGCCCTGGAGGAAGTGAAAGAAGATTAGGTTAATTAAGGCCTAATCAACCTCTCTGGGGACAGACCTTTACAACAGGGCTTTATTATTTATTTTTTCAAGTACTATTCTAAAATATGAGAGAGTAGAACACACAAATAACTACAATATGAACATATGTGTGTATATATATATATATATATATATACACACACACACACACACACATTTGAGTTATCTAGACCCTTCTTAGCTTCTGTTAATGAGAAAAAAAAGACTTTTGTTTGTCTTGATTACAAATTTGTTTCAAATAACAAGACAATATAAATCACCTTGTCCCTTCTCAGCAAATTTATGCCAACAGAGGAAACAAAATACGGTGATCTAATCTAACAAGCACATAAAAATACCTACACAGATAAACAGTAAATATTGATTTATCTAACAGAGTACAAAGTTATATGAAAAAGAAGTCATAAGATATCAAGCAAAATACTTCATTTAAGTAGAATGATAATAATATATGTATCTGTAAGGGCAAATAAAGAATAAATTTGGCAGCTAAATAAGAATGAACAAAAAAATTTTATAACACCATGCACCAAAAGAATAATATGCATTTGTGAAATGATTTTATAAAGAACAGCCAAAAGTTATAAAGTTCCATGGGGCAGAAAACATACAAATCAATCAGTTTCTATATTACCCTATCGATTTTCCTATCAGGTAAAAGTACAATAGTGAAACACATCAACAACTCTATGATAAAAGGAGAACTGGAATTTATATAATCATCTTCAGTTTTAAAAATTTAACAATAACATAAAATACAGCAAAGATCTGGTGGTCTTACTTTGATTAGTAGCACTGTCTCTATGCCTCTCATGTCAATTAGGCTATTTGCCACGACCGCATTATCTATTTCTAAAGCTGTCAGAACTGTTGGAAACTCTGGATGATAAGCAGCTCTAGGAGACAAAAAGACAGAAGGATTAACTTAGCAAATTTTAATTATAAATATATATATATGAAAATTGTGTATATATATACATATAATAGAGTATATATATTTCCATATATATTTGTAACAGGGGGAGATTATAAATAACCAGACAATATCAACTACCTGGTAACATTTGAAAACACAGGTTTTCAAATACATAGAGGTTTATTTATTTAGCATTTATATAATACTATGTGTTAGGCACTGTTCTAAGCATGTTACAAATATTAGCTCATTCAATCCTTTTAACAATCACATAAGATAAATAGTATTATTCTCTCCACATTTTTTTCAGATGAGGATGCTTCAGAGAGTTGAATATGTTCCCCATCGTCACGAAGATAGTTATGTAACTGGGCTAGGATTTAAACTAGGCAGCTCAGCTCTACAGTCCAGATTCTTAATCAATATGCCCTGCTGCCTACTATAATTAATAATTACAATTTCCTTAAATCTCATACAGTTATCATACATAAACATAAAAGTCAATTATTTAAAATTCATTATAAATAGCTAAACAATTTTTGCCCCGATATAAGAAAAGAAAAATTGAAGCAAAGTTTATTACCAACACAGAGGAAATATGAAAGAAAAGATATTCTTAGGAATTGTAATTTGGGCTCATGAAAGAGACAATCTTTCAACTAAAATGTAAACATGTAAGCTATTAATAGCACTGAAAAATGAACATACTAAGAATAGGAGGTACAGGAGCAATGAATGGCTGAGGAGAAGATGGTGGTAGCATTCTTAGTGCTTTTCTAGTCCTAGAATTCCAAAACAAAGTATCTTTGCATGCATGTTTTATACCTACTCATCCATTAATTCAACACATATTTAGTGAGCACCTACTTTGTGGCAGGTGCTGTTCCAGAGGATAAAGGGAGCAGTATACAAAACAGACTACACTCTGTTCATGGAGCTTACATTTTTTTGAAGGAAGACAGAGAATAAAGAAAAAGAACGAAGGGAAAGGCAGCTTATGGTGCTTTTTTACACACACACACACACACACACACACACACACACACAAAGACTAGAAAAAGCCTCACTAAGATAACACTGGGCAGATACCTGAGGAAATGAGATAGTCACATAAGTAACCTTAGAAGACCATTCTGGACGAGGGAAGAGCAATCATGAAGACCCTAAAAGATGTGTCAGAGAAGCAAGGAGACAGACTGCCACAGTGGACAGATCAGGGAGGGAAGTGCTTCTAGAGACAGGATAAGAAAGATGGTGAGAGGACAGATCATCCAAGCCTAGAGGTCACAGTCAGGCCTGTGATAAGGAAAACAGCAAAGTTTAGAGTCCTTTGAGCAGAGGCACAACATGACCTGACTTTCCGTTGGCTGCTGTACTGAAACTGTGGTGCCAAGTAACCAGAAGCAGGTTACTGCTCAAGGGATCAGCCTATAAATCCTCAAGGGAAACATGATGATGGCGCGAGCCAGTGTAGTCACCACACAAGTGGTCAGATCTTGGATATATTTCTAAAGTACAGCCAGTAGGATGTGGGGTAGCAGAAAGGAGTCAAGAGGCCGGGCGCGGTGGCTCAAGCCTGTAAGCCCAGCACTTTGGGAGGCCGAGACGGGTGGATCACGAGGTCAGGAGATCGAGACCATCCTGGCTAACACGGTGAAACCCCGTCTCTACTAAAAAAAACACAAAAAAACTAGCCAGGCGAGGTGGCGGGTGCCTGTAGTCCCAGTTACTTGGGAGGCGGAGGCAGAAGAATGGCGTAAACCCGGGAGGCGGAGCTTGCAGTGAGCTGAGATCCGGCCACTTCAGCCTGAGCAACAGAGTGAGACTCCGTCTCAAAAAAAAAAAAAAAAAGGAATCAAGAATGACTCTGCAATAGGGAAATGAAGATGGAGAAGATTACTGAAAGTGCAGGTTTTGGGGTGGAAATCAGGAGTATAGCTTTCAGACATGTTAAGTTTGAAATGCTTATTGGGCATCTAAGTGGAAAATACATATTAAGTATATTATATCCTAGAGTTCAGAAGAAAAAGGCAACCTACAAACATAGTTTCACAGTCATCAATGTATGATCTGTAAAGTCATGAAATCAGATGAGTTCACCTAGGGAGAAGTGCAGGCCAAGAAGAGTTCTGGAGCACTAGTACAGTCAGCAGTGAGGAGGAAGCAGCAAAAGATACCAAAAACGAACGCCTAGAGAATTAGGAAAATGAGAAGAGTGAGGCCCTTGGTGCCAAGTGAAAAAGGGTTTCAGGAAGAATGAAAGGATCAAGGGCAAATACTGCCAGTAAGTAAAATTAGTGAATAGTAATGACTTTGAGTTAATTGAGTTAAGCAAAGTGAGGCTTGCTGATGCCTTGATGAGAGCTGTTTTGGTATGTGATGAAATTATAAAGTTTGACTGGAGAAGGTTCAAGAAAGAAGGTAGAGAGAAATTAAGAGACATAGACAATTCCTTTGAGTTTTTCCTGAAAAGGGAAGCAGAGAAAAGAGACAGTAGCAGGTAAATGGCTTTTTAGGACAGATTTCAGGTGGAAATAAAAACAAGGATAAGAAAGAATAGGGTGTGGATGCTCTAGAAATGTCAGGCAGTCAATGAAACAAAGTAGAGAACAAGGAGATAAAGAAAGGGAGTAGAAGTCTAAGAGGGGAGGATGTGGTAGGCAGTTCTGGTGAAATGCAGACTCTCGCCAGCCTGTGGAGAGCACAGGTTTTGAAACTAGGAAGGAGTCACCATTTTTGGGCAGCCACAGGCCATCATTACATGAAGTTGTTACTACCAGTTTGCTCTAAAGCACCAAGTCACGACTATCTCTTCCTTTGGCTATTCGTCCCTGGGATTTACTTCATACTGGCTTATATTACAATTAATAGTATGTTGGGGGAGGATACAAAATCAGTCTAGCAGAGCAAAAAGTAGAAAGGAACATTAGCAATGAGATGTTGGTGAGAAGGGACAAGAAGAAGATAATAGGACATAGGTTCACAAACAATGTTAAGCAGAAAGTCTAAACAAAACATACTGACAAAGGAAAACGTGCACAGAAAATCTAGGCAAGTATAATAGGCCTCACTGGTAAGTGGAGTTACAGGACAAAATGATTTTTCCATCCTAATTATATTTAAATCATTTCATTAAAAGATGTGATTTCTAAAGTCAAGTAAAAGGAAAAACATCACTAAGTTAAAATATAGGAAAAAAACATGATTAAAATTTGGTGTATTTTTATTTTATTTTTTTTGAGACAGGATCTCCCTCTGTCGCCTAGAGTGCAGTGGCACGATCACAGCCCACTGCAGCCTTGACTTCCAGGGCTCCAGTGATCCTCCCACCTCAGGCTCCTGAGTAGCTGGGACCACAGGCACACAGCACCATGCTCAGTTTATTTTTGTATTTTGGGTAGAGACGGTGTTTTACCACATTACTCAGGCTGGTCTTAAACGCCTGAGCTCGAATGATCCACCCGATTCAGCCTCCTGAAGTGCTGGGATTATAGGTGTGAGCCACTGTGACTGGTCTAAATTTGGTGTATTTTTAATTTTCCAAATATAAGAAGATATAAAGTGAGAAGATATAACAGACTATGAAGAGAGCTGTAGGGAGCACCAGAAGGAGATGAAGAAAAGCCCACATATAGGCTGAGAAATACCTAAAGAGTATGAGAACCAAGAAAATGGTGTCATAGTAACAAAAGGAATAAGAAGTTTGAAGGAAGGTGTATTTGATAGCATCTAATGCTTGAGAGAAGGTAAATATCAACTGGATTCCGCAACAAGGAAATAACTGGAGAATATAATTAACATTTAGGGACCTAGAGTGGTAAGTCTATGAGTGAATGCAGTCTCCTCTAGGAGGGGTGTGTTTTTAAAAGGAGAAACACAAATCAGAGACCTACCATGTTTAAAACAGAAAATTTAATGGGCAAGTTTAAGGCTCAGGAGGGCTGAAATAATTTTTTTAAATGGTTAATGAGTCAGGCAAGAAAGTATGTGATTCAAGGCACAAGTAGACTAGCCTCAGGCAGAAAGAATCTCTCTTGAGATGGGGGCAAGATGTACAAATGCAGGCATAATAGCAGGAGGAGTAGTTTAGTAGCTTCTATGTCCTCTGAGAAGAAGAAACAAGACCATCTTTATAGGAAAGGTGAGCTAGACACCTTCCTAGGTACCTCTGTTAAGGTTATATAGCATAAGCCTAAATGACTGAAATGAGTCCTATGTATCTGATGCATTATAAACTCTAATAATATTTTACTATTTTTCACATTAAAATAATATAGCCAGTTTTTAAATTTAGCATTTGAACCATAATTCATACCGAAAAAGTTCTTCAAACACACAAAAAATTCACCCCTTCAAAATGTTTACAAGGCAGGTACAGTTAACAGAATGTTAGACGTACTCAAGACTCTTGTCAATATCCTATCAACACCCAAAAGGATTACAATCTAGTTTCTTCCCCTATTCCAACAACTTGCGTTTCAGCTACCTGCTCCTGAAGCCAAAACACGGACTTTGTCATCCCCTAGACCTGTTCCATTCAGCTTGAATTTTTCACTCTTACCATAACCTCCTCTCCTTCCAGACTTATGCCTTTAAGCATGTTCTCTAACTTTATTAAGGTGGGTCTAAACACTTTCTCCCAGTCCTCTCTTTCTTTAAACTAATTTGTCAACAATACACTCAAGTGCTTCCCTTTTCCCTTTCTATAATACCTCTCCACTCTAAAACATTCTAATATTTACCTAACAGTACAGACTCTCCCTCCACTCATCTCTAAAGAAACGTTATCAGTGAAAAATCCTGCAGCCACTAGGCTTTTGTATCTTAACAGACTTGAGTCAGCTTCCTCTCTCATTCTCCTTGGCAGCCAATCTAAACCCTTAAAGAAGGTACCTCCTACCAACTTCTGAGGCCCTTGTTCTCAGCACATAAACTCACCTACTTCCAAGAAAACTGGCATTACGACACACACATTGGATCCCTTGTCACATGTGTTTCACGGCTAAGTGACTAGAAGCACAGGCTGGGACACACAATGTGCCAGCAAGGCAGCACCAGGCACTCTTCTTCAGAGTCCTCGTGGCAGTTCAGAGCAGGCCCCGCCAGAATGGCCAGGACTATTCTCTTTGGTCCCAAAGTGACAGTTCAGATTCAAGGACATTCCTCACAATTGATGGCATCCTTCAGCTAGTCACTCCAGCCAGAAACCTAGAAGTCATCCTGATTTTTCCTTCTCTTGCATTCAATTAAACTTTATTTTGTCCTAATCTCTCTGCTAATCTGTTTCTTCCTATCAAAAATGCAAATGCTGTTTTTTGCAGAATAACTCCCAATGTCATGCTTCCACACGTTTTACACACAGAATTCTATTTGCCTACAAGGCAATTAACTTCTTCTATCACTTGACAAACTCATCAGTTAAACGACCGATGATTTCTCATCCCCTCTCTGAATTCTTCCTTGTCTACCTATTAACATGAGTTAATTATACACACAAATTTACCAAATATGAGATATACAGCATTAGACTTAATTAAAAAGAAGGTTTATTTTAAAAAGTGGAGATGGGAGAGAAAAGAAATTTTAAAATGTAATCTGGGAATATATTCTTTTTTTTCTTTTTTTTGAGACAGGGTCTCATTCTTCACCCAAGCTGGAGTGCAATGGCATGACCCTGTCACTGTATCACTACAACCTCCGCCTTCTAGGCTCAAGTGATCCTCCCACCTCAGCCTTCCAAGTAGCTGGGACCACAGGTACACACCACCAAGCCTGGCTTTTTTTTTTATATATATTTTTGGTAGACAGGACTCCCCAAGTTGCCCAGGCTCGTCTTGAACTTCTGAGCTAAAGCAATCTGCCCATCTTGGCCTATCAAAGTGCTGGGATTACAGGCATGAACCCGTGCCTGGCCTACATTCATTTTTAAAGTGTTAGCCAGCAGTTAGCAAAGAGGCCAGTTTGGGTACTGAGCTCCCTTGAAAAGACTTGTTAAGGTCATCAAAGAACACAATTACTGTCTATGGATTCTGTGAAACACCTTCAGAATGTAACTGTGTGTAACGAGTGCCAATGTTCTTCCTTAGGCCCTCCCTCTTAATCTGGTCATATCATTTTCCTCACGGGTATAATTTCTAAGCCATACTACATCTGTTTCCCTGTAATGTCTCCCACATGTAAGAACTTCAATGGTAGGGAACATTTATCTATGTTTCTCTAATGCCTAGAACTAATACCTAGACAGAAATTAAAGTCGCTTGATGAAATTTTACAAATCAGGGGTAAAGATATGATTAACATTAAAAGTGTTTTAACTCTTTCCAGTCCTGCATATGATTAAGCAAAGCCAGAAACATATTCAATTACTAATGCCTTACCTGTGTCTTACATCATATATCTCATTCCGAAACTCAGAAACTATTATCTGTGGCCGTGAGGTCCCTGGTAAATAAAACCTTTTCATGAGTGCCTGAAGGACACGTTCATCAGCATGATTATGGCAACAATAGGCCTGCAGAAGCCCTTTTAAGCAAGATTCAATAGCCAAAGCAAGTTCCGGGTCCCGAAGATGAATGCAAGCTCCTAAAAGTGAGAGAAAATTATAGACGAGCTCATAAATACTTATTTTCAAATATTAACATCACTCCTCTTTAATTATAGTTTATAAATGACATATTTTTATATAAAGCAGTTTAAATGACATTACAGATCATTTAATCATAGTTTATAAATGACTTAACATACTTTTATATAAAGCAGTTGAAATAATATTTTAACTGAATGGGAAATCCCCTATACCCACAGGATACAATGGAGAGAAAATCCACCAAATCCTGTGAAAAAAATTGTCCCACACTAATGTAAACCAACGGTGGCTTTTCTATATTCAGTTTATACTATTCTAGTCTTTCAATGGGGTTCTGAAAATCAAGGGATTTTCAAATTCCTTAATGGGATGGGAAAAAAAGCCTCGTCCATTGAAATGGATCCTGGTATAAAGGTACATATCATTTAAAAGAGACATTACTACAATATTTAAATGCAATACTTTACTAACAAACTATATTTATAAGCATTTTCACCTAATGATTTTCAGAATTAAAGATAACCCTCCAAGAAAACGTGACTTAAAAAATTTTTTTACGTACCATGTATATGTAAGAGTAAAGTAACCACAGATTTTACAGTTGGAAGAGAACTTAGAAATCATGCTGTCCAACCAAAACAGAAACTAAGAAAGAAAAGTCATTTTAAAAAGGTTACCAAAACTCAGGTAACTGCTCCTTCATCTTGATGTTATTATTTTTTTTTCTGAATAATCAATTATATTAGTTCATTCACTTGTTTATTCAGAAAAACAAGAACCAAATTATTCAACTCTGTAATTACTTTTCCTTTTCCAAAGTTCTCTCACTTCTGGATATTTTATGCTCTAAAAATATAAAACGAAAGCTACAGAGCTTAACATAATTTCATCATTTTATCTTTTTTAATGAAATCACTTTATTTTGAAAACTTCATTCAATCATTCTGAAAATAAAAACTTATTTCTAAAGTTTATTATAACCTCACTAAATTAAGACAAATACCTAAAGGGCCTACAGGTTTATAGGTAAAAAGTCCTTGTCTATAAGCATCATCTATGGCTTCAAGAAGAGCTGGAACATTAGGGCCAAATCTTTTGAGTCGATCAGTTTTACTATCTTTCAATTCTTTCAGTTGCCTCTGATTGTAGCTCAGTGCATGCTTCACATCTGATTCTTCTCTCCTAAAAAAGAAAAGCAGAACAGGACAGATATGTGATAGTTTTACAGAAACATTTTTTAACCTTTGCCCAGAATACCTACATCCCAGTGAATGACCCACCTAGCTACCCTAAAAACCAAAAGCAGAATTATTTATTTGAAAATAATTGTGTTACCAGAGAAAAACAGTCTGGAGTCCTCAAAACTTGGCATAAAAAAAGTAATGCAACGATGATGGGCTAGGAATCCCAGAAATTGTTCAACTCTACAACTATAAGAAGTCTTGAAAAGTGATTTTAAAAGATCCAGCTGGCTATAGGTGCACTGGCTATGAGTTAGCCCTGCTCTGCAAGGTATTTAACATAAAAATAAAATCTTTTTTAAAAGATCCCTTATTATGTAGAAGAAACAACCATATTTGCTCTCTTCATATAAGAACAAAACTATATGATGTGAAAGTAATTAAAAAAAATCATTCTAAGGATGTTGCAACTTACTTAATTTTGCCATATTCTTCTTTGTCCTTTTCTATGGCTTGCTGAAACTGTTCAATCTCTTGATTGACTGAATTTTCTTGATTTCGTAAGGCCTTTACTCTCTCTTTTAACCAAGATATTTTTTTTTGTCTTTCCAACCGTTCAGGTTCCAAAGATTGGTCAGTACTAACAGTAAATAACCCAAAGTGAAAAATGTTAAATGAACAGTTTAACATTTAAAGAACACAAGCCAATGTAATAAAATTTCATTAACAACAATACATAAAATACAATATTCCAATGCATCTACCTTACTTTATTACAAAATAAGAGTCATGAAAATTTCAAAGTAACTATCCTACCTTTTTTTCAGTTCTTCAATTCGTTTACAAAGCTGCTCATCATCTTTCTTTAATGCTTTATATTCATTTAAGGATCGGTTATATAAAACCTAACAAAAAAAATTAGACACGCTTTGCTAAAATGAAAACAAATATCCCATTCGAGTCCACTTTTGTCAAATCCTCAGAGACTGAATGTGTACAGGAATATATTTTTAAAATGAAGCACAAAATCGTCATTTGAAACCATTACATTTTTTAAAATCTCAAAGCATCACTAATTTCAACTCAGGTACAAAATCTCTACTTTAAAAATTAGAAGGCTCGGTGCTGTGGCTCACGCCTGTAATCCCAGCACTTTGGGAGGCCAAGGTGGGCGGATCACGAGGTCAGGAGATCGACACCATCCTGGCTAACATGGTGAAATCCCATCTCTACTAAAAATACAAAAAATTAGCCAGGTGTGGTGGCACACCCCTATAGTCCCAGCTACTCAGGAGGCTAAGGCAGGAGAATCGCTTAAACCCGGGAGGCGGAGGTTGCAGTGAGCCAAGACTGTGCCACTGCACTCCAGCCTGGGCGACAGGGTGAGACTCCGTCTCAAAAAAATAATAATAAAAAAATAGAAGAGGCTGGGTGCAGAGGCTCACACCTGTAATCCCAGCACTTTGGGAGGCTGAGGCAGGTAGATCACTTAAGGTCAGGAGTTCAAGACCAGCCTGGACAATGTGGCAAAATCCTGTCTCTACAAGAAATACAAAAAAATTTAGCCAGCCATGGTGACAGATGTCTGTAGACCCAGCTACTCAGGAGGCCGAGGTGGGAGGATACCATGTGCCTAGGAGGTAGAAGCTGCAGTGAGCTGTGATGGTGCCACAGCACTCCAGCCTGCGTGACAGAGCAAGACTGTTTCAAAACAACAAAATATAATTAAAAGAGATAGAAGAACAATCTTTATATTTGCTGTGTGGCTTTTAATATTTCAGTTTAGAAAATTTCTCTCACCTCAGCTTCATTATAGGCCCTTTTCTTAGCAACGACATCTGCTTTCAATGCCATACATTCTGGCGCTCGTGCATTTGTCTCTTCACTAATCTTTTCTAGTTTGTCTTGAATATCCTTGTACTTTTGTTCTGCTTCATTAAGTCTGACCTTTAAGAAAATAACATTATTAAAGTATATTTTTTCAACAGAGAGAGTTTTTAAAAATAATTATCTATAGTTCATATACCAATAACAAATTTAACTTCACTCAAGACTTTAGGCAAACATAGTAACATAACGTTATATAAAATACTATAATATAATTTGATCTTAACCCACAGTTAGTTATGCAACAAATGTGCTATCCTCTAGGGATACAAAGACGTGATAACAAATGTCCTCAGATAACATAAGAGAGAGAGAGATAATTTAGCAGAAAAACAGAACACAAACTGATGATACGGTCTGTATACAATAATGCTAAAGTAGGGTACGTTTATTCTTAATTGTGGGAGCACAGAGAGACAAACCAGAGGTTGGCCAGAAAAAGTCAGGAATGCCTTCAAAGAGGAAGTAGTATTTTGAGCTGAGATTTTAAAAATTAATCTAAGTGTACCAGGAAATAAGCTGAGGAAGGGTGTTAGAGGCAGATGAAAGAGCATGTACAAAGGTATTCATATTTTAGAAATTAAATATTGCTAGAGCTTAAATTCATAGGATAATGGTAGGAGATGAGATGAAGGGGTAGAAGGGCCTTGCATTCTACAATGAACAGCTTACAACTTAATCTTCTAGAAAACAGGAAGACAGCCTAAGTCTGTCTCTTATCTCCTAAATCTGCGTGTTAGATTACTCTGGAAGCACTTGGAACACAGGGTAGACAGAAAAATCAAAGGAAAAGATTTCAGTAAGAAGTTAATATAATGTTATGGATCAAAGACAATTAGGGACCAAAATGGGATGCTAACAATAGGGACTGATGAGAAGGAACAAATATGAGCACTATTTCAATCGGGGTCAGCAAACCTTTCTATAAGAGGCTAGATAATGTACACTTCAGGCTTTGTGGGCCACATGGTCTCTCCTAAAACAATTCAACTCTGCCATTAAAACATGAAAGCACCCAAGGACAATGAGTAGAAGAATTGCTTTTTAATAAAAATGAAAGCTGGATCCAGGTTTTATACAAACTAAACATAATTCATATTATTTTTCAGTTTTAAATTAACAAAAGTTTAAAGTCTGCTTTAGACACTGTTTCTTCAGAAATCTTCCATTTAATAGTCATTCTACAGGCAACAATGTGAAAGGCTTTATGTAAGACAAGATGGAAAGGATATAAAGATAAAATAAGATAGTCCTTACCCTCCAGAAATTTGCCATTTACTACATACAGTATGCAAACGCTTAAACGGAGAAAAAGGCCTACTAAACTAAACATCACCTAGCCTTATGATCCTCCTTTCCCATTTAAAAAAGAGGTGAGCAGCTGTTACTCAGACTGGATTCCATCTTAGACTGTGAAATGCTTGAGGAGGAAAGTATTTAAGGCCTTACCTGATGATAAGCTGAGAAATGAGGGTGAGAAGAGAAACATACTTGATGAAAATTTCAGAGTATTCTCTCAGAAATGAAAATTTAAGGTGAGAGGTGGAAAGCGTTGAAATTCCACTTACTGCCTGAAGAGGGAGTAAGAAACTTAGCCCACAAATCACTAAGTGTCCTATCTTTACCTATTTTTACATACTCATCTATTACCTCTGATGAATTAATGTCATAAACCTTAAAAGAAAAAAAGATCAATCTGCTCATCTTAGAGGCAGACAGAAAAAAGCAAGTTAGGAAAGATTACATTCTATACCACAGCCAAGCTTGGGGGCCAGAAATAAATTTCCTAAGCAAAATAGAGAAAATGCTAAGAGGTAAGTAAGCTACACTGACATATTGAGTACATTTGCGGGGGAAGGGGAGTAAAGAAAAAAAAAACTAGGAGTTCTTCTTCTGGCATTACAGCATGAGAAACCCCACAGTGCTGGCTGCTCAACCTTGTGAATATACTAAAACCCAGTCAATTACATACTTTACGTGGGTGAATTATATGGTAAATGAATGATATCTCAATAAAGCTGTTCAAAAAAGAAACAGTGTATAAAGAGTGGATCTGCTGAATGGTAAAAAGGTCCACATGGAAAGCCCCAACAAAGAATGACTGCCTTTATTTGACACTCAACTTCTGTAACCTCTAGGCCCATGTGGAAGACTTTGGTGACTTTCTTGAATTTTAGATAGGGCAGTTTCTACCTGCAATCTTAGATGTCAGGCTGAAATTAACCTTAACAGACCTAACAATGAATCCCACTTGCCTTCCACCTATATGAAATCCTCTGACAGGCCATCTTGGTTCTGGACCATAAATCTCAGTTCCCTTAGCAATCTCTGGGCATTGTTTTCAGTTCTGAGTTCTCATACTTTCTGATAGCTACCTTTAATGTGATTCTAATTTATATTATTCTAGCACCCCTTTATTTCTCAGGTCTGTTTGTGTTTAAACTCCTTAATGAACCGAAGAGTAAAAGCTTCAGGCTCTTCTTATATGTCTTGTCAGTAACAAAGTTCCACTGACAATATGCATGAGTTCTAGAGCCCTAGCCTCAGACAGGATTATCATAGATAGAATATTCTTTTCAAAAGACAGTTACCACAACAGGCCTTGAAAACAAGTTTAGGTCTATTTCACCTAAGCAATAAATTCAAATATAGACAAATATACAGTCTGAAACTGCCAGTTTAGTGGGTCATAAATAGTCTAATATCAGCAATTTCATATGATTCAACCTATTAAATCTGCATTTAAAAAACTGTAATTACCTGCTGTTCTTCCATTTTCCTGTCAAGTCTAGCAGCACGATCTTCTCCAATTTTGATATTATCTCTGATAGCATTCAATTGTTTTTCAATTTCATTGACCTAAAAAAATTATATAGCAAATTGATAAGATTAACAATAATAACCAAATATATTCTGCAGATCCCATATATATGTGAACAAGTAATTAAGTGATAATTACCACTGCCCAAGCCATTTCATGTTTCAAGGACTCTAAATTAGTCTTCATCGTACTTAAACCAGCAATGCTTTGAAAACGTTCCTCTTTCTCTACGCACTGGCGCTTTAGCTCAGTAAGCCGCTGAAAAAAAGAAAACAGAAGGGACATATTTTTTATTAATGTTGAAAAAACACATTTTTGCAAATCTATTTCTTTTAAAAACAACGCCTAAACAACCACTACACAAAGATTTGTTTAAAAATAACTTTTTTTTTTATTCTTGATTCTTCAGTATACTTTTAATAAGTCCAATAATTTTGTGAATTTCTGCACTATAAAAATGGCCAAATACTCTTCAGATGAAGAGCAAAGGAATTAAAAGTTCAGGACTACGCAAATATAGAGAAATCCCAAAACTCACTTTCCCATTTTCCCTCTTTATTCCCTATCTGATAGACATGATGGTCTGTTCTTCAAAGTATAGTCAGTAGGCATTCCAAAGAGAATGTAAGGATCAGGAGAAATTTATTTCTGAAAATCAAACAAGTTATAATTTTCTTAACTAAGGTCACTTTTTTTTTTTTTTTTGACAGAGTCTCACTCTGTCACCAGGCTGGAGTGCAATGGCACAATCTCGGCTCACTCCAACCTCCACCTCCCAGGTTCAAGCGATTCTCCGGCCTCAGCCTCCCAAGTAGCTGGGACTACAAGCAAGCACTACCACGCCCAGCTAGTTTTTGTATTTTTAGTAGAGACGGGGTTTCACCATGTTGGCCAGGAACTAAGTTCACTTTTAATAATTAATTAAAAATCACCAAATATCAAATACCGTGATATTCAAACAATTTCTGGAGCTTATAGATCTCATATTCTGTACACCTGGGTAGACAGCCTCTCCCCTTCATTCATGCTTACCAGAGTCACCTAGGGCCTGAACACTGTAGACCTTACTTTGTTTCCCTATCTAATGCACTTTCCCATTCTATAAAATTCTTTCAATCTATTATCACTCTCTTCAAACCTCATATACCCTGCCACCACATTCCCTCATTCATTCCCCCTCTCCAGCTTCAGATAATTTAGAAGCCATCAGACAGAAACTCCCTCAACAATCTTAACTACAAATCTAAAGCAGTCATCCCTTCCTTTTGCAATAAAAGAAAGGTGGCCTCATATTTAAGACCCATACCATCCTCTACCTATATCTTGGATTGTACCCCTTTTCTATCTTCTCAAAAGTCTAAATCCACTGATTTTCCATCACATCTTTTCATCTTTGTTTCCACTTTACCCTCTTTATGACTCATGTTCATCACTACTTGCTCATCCTTCCAACTTACAAACAAAACCACCAATACCCATCCCTTGGCACCACCTCCTCCTCTAAAATTCTTCTTCCCTTTCTATCCAAGTTTCATGAAAATTGTCTCTATCTCCTCCATCTCCTCACATTTTCCAGTTCCACAAATCTGGCTACTGTTTTCACTGCTACTGAAACCCACCTTGCCATAGTCATCTATGAAGATTATGTCATTAAATACAGTGAGTTTTTTCAATTCATGTAGTGTCGGACCACAGGTACATCTCACGGTCATGACTTGTTCCTTCTCAAAATCTCTCTGCCCTTGGCTTCTCATGGCTTTCATGAGAATTTCTCATGGTTCAGGCCTGGCCCCACTTTTCCCCTATCTCAGCAATCTAAATTATTCTTTTGGCTTATATACTGATAGCACACTGACAACTCCCAAATTTTTATTGAGGCCAGACCTGACTCTGTATTCTTAATTTACATATCCAACTTCCCACTTCATATTTCCACTTGGAAATTAATGTGGAAATTAATTTGAAAACCTCAAAATTAATGTGTTCAAAATATAATTCAGCTTTCTTTAAAAAAAGGAAAAAAAAGAAAAACTGGCTTTTCTTCCCAAACTTCCTATCTCAATAAACTTACTCTACTACTAAAGTAATTAATTTGGAGGTCATTCAGTCACCTTTGATGACTCTGTCTTAACTTTACTTCTCCATGTCCACTACAACATTTGCCTACATCATTTCAAAGTTCTCTTTCCTACTACTGCCAATATCCTTAACTTAAGCCATCATTATGTCTTTGGACAATGATAATGGCTTCTTTATCTATCTTTCCACATCTCTTCTCTCCTTATAGCGGTTTATTCTCTTGTACAGCAGAGTAATCTACTGAAAATACACAATTAATGAAGTCATGCATTTTCATGTCTTCTATTGCCCCCTAAATTTTATAAGGTCCTCCACAACCTGGCCTCTCATCTCTCACACCTGTGTTTTACACTCTAGCCAAACTGGAATTCTTCTAGTTTTTTAAAAGAACACATGCTTTCTTGCCCCTGAGGCTTTAACGACGCTATTTCTTAGAACATCCTGCCTTACCCTCACCATCCTTTGCCTGGTATTACTCATCCTTCAGTTTTCTTCTTAGGCATCACTTCCTTAATAACTCCCCGACCATGACTGCCCCCGACACTGCCAGTACCCTATTAAGTGCTGTTGCCTAGTCTACATCTCTTTTAGTAGTCACCATACTCAAATTATTTACCATCTATGTTTCCTGCCGAATAACTAGGTCTATGATCCCAAGAATCCTATTTATTTGTCACTATATGACCATGGCCAAAGCACGATGCTACAAGGCACATGGTAAGAACTTAATATTTATCAACTGAATGATTATTCTAGCTTCTAGCCTTTACATACTATTTCTTAAAGATTTAATTATTCAAACCAAGAGTTTATTTTGAGAATATAGGGTATTTCACCAATTAAGAGAAAAGTTCTTACTGAGTGCATATTATGCATCAGGAATTCTCCTACATAATTTAGGGAAGTGCTCCTTATACTTCATAATTACAATATCTTTAATTGTTATCGGCATACTTTGTATACCATGGAGAAAATAAGTGTTTAATCCCAAGTGGTCTGAAACAAACAAATTTATTTCAAGTCCTGATTTATTATATTAAAAATAATAAATGTAACACATGGTATGTACAGTTTGTTTGAATATACAAGTATTTCCCTTCCCCAATAATAATACTGATATTCCAAGAAAGTGTGCTTTAGTATTTTTGCGGTTTATAGTAGCTCCTTAAGCACCACCACATAACCCAGGTTTGAAAGGATAATGTGGGAAATAAAAATAAATATACTCATCCTTAATTTTTGAGTTTTCATTTAATGAAACACATAACTATAGACCTAACTTAAAATACGCATTCTTCAAAAATGTGAAGTAAAAAGGTCAGTATAATATAATGAATTTGACTTTAATCATTAGTACAATCCTACCTCAAAAGGACAAGCTACAAAGTTGATGAAAATTCAACAGGTTATATAAAACTAACAAAAGAACAATATATGGAATTACATAAAATTGGTGGGACTTAATACACTGGATAAACAGCTATAACATAAGCCTTAAAATTTTGAGGTCTCTGATTATCACACAGAAAGTTGGATCTTCAGGAATCCGAAGAAGAAAGTATAAGAACAAAATATAACAGATTTAAAAACAAATTGAAATAAGTGATTATAAGTGCAAGCAAATCTGCACAGCTGCCAAGCCTGGTGAGTAAGGATGTCACAGCTGCTACCAACCTACCAGTTGCTTAAGGAATGTTAACATTTTACTAGAGTTATAATTACTATGATTTGTAGATTACAGTATATAATTATAAATGCATACTATGTTTAATAACAGTTTGAAGCTTGTGCTTATTATCCCAGAAGAAATACTGCAGTTTTTAAACTACTTATAGTTTTTAAACTACTTAAACTACCATACCTTATTGTGGAACCCATTAGTCATATTATCAGAGGATAAGTATGTAAGATACCACCCTGTTCTCTAGCTTATAATCTAATAGAGAAAGTAAGACATGTATGTACTTATCATTACAAAATAAAAAAGTAACAGCTAATTAATACCCAGAATATAAACACTACATTGCATTACTTCAGAGTGCTATGAAAATATTACTAGTTTTATATAAATATACAGATGCATAGTTTTACAATATCATTTACTACAGTAATGATATTACTATAGGAATATCAGTAATGATATTACTATAGGAATTCCTATTACTATAGGAATTTGGCTGATCCCAAAAAGATTTACATTAACTGTTTACAAACCTCTTCTCCTTGATGTATCTGCTCCTTTGTTCTTTCTTTTGTTTCCATAATGTATGAATAATCTTCCTTCATCTGTTCAAGTTGCGTTGCTTTCATGAAGAACTATTATCAACAACAAAAAAACGCAATTAGGAGTTTGTAAACTTCCATAGAACTGTTAAAAAGAAAAAGAAAAATTTGGTCTCTGAAAACTTTTAGATCAATGATATAAAAAGACATTAAAAACACAAGCAATCACACAAACACAAAAGAATACATTTCAGATTCAAATTTACTGAACCTACCATGCTCACATCCACATGTTCATTTGCAAAAGCTCCTAAAACTCCATGAAAGAAAACACTGCGGGGTGTGATAATAAGCTCATTTTCACTATTGCCATTATTTAAGCAAAAACAGCTGAAAAGACTGGCATCCTTGGTCTTAGTACATCTTAAATTTTTAGAATAAGAAATGCCAAAACTCACTCAAAAGACTACACAGAATATTTAGCAGTATAGTCAAGTATTTTGTTAGCTTTTAAAGTTTTTAATAGTTTAAGATTTACAGGCACACTGGCTCACACCTGTAATCCCAGCACTTTGGGAGGCCAAAGCGGGTGATCACTTGAGGCCAGGATTTCGAGATCAGCCTGGCCAAACAGGTGAAACCCCGTCTCTACTAAAAATACAAAAATTAGCCAGACATGGTGTCACATGCCTGTAACCCCAGCTCCTTGGGAGGCTAAGGCACAAAAATCACTTAAACCTGAGGGGTGGAGGTTGCAGTGAGCCGAGATTGCACCACTGCACTCTATCCTGGAAGACAGAGCCTTGCTCTGTCTTAAAAAAAAAAAAAAAAAAAAAAAAAAGATTTACAAGTTATTATGTATGTAGGAGCAACTGTTACCCTGTATTTCCTTAAAGATTAAGAATTAAAAGCCAAAAAGTAAAAACAAAGATTTAAAAAAATTATACCCCCATCTTACTTAACAATTTCCTAATCTAGGAAATTGAATTACTTTAAACAGATGGCTTTAAGAAAAAAAAAAAAAAAAAAAAAACTCAGACTCCATTATGTGAGCAAGAATATTGTTTACAATATGCCTAAAGGCACTCTTTTTAAATGGGTTTATATTACCTTGGTGCCACTTACTTTGTATTTGTCTCCTTCATTTTTAGACTGTAAGAACTGCTTGCTCATTTCTTGTGTTAAAACAGAAACTGGATTATCCACCTCAAACAAACAAAAAGTCATTTTTGAATATTTTACTTTAATGCTTTAAAGATAGGTAAAAACTGAAACATACATTACAAGTGACCTATGGTGCCATCAGGAAGGCCAAGCAATAGCCAAAGGTTATAACATTAGGATAAAAATATTAAAAAAAAAAAATTAGAAATGTATAATGCAGGAAAAATAATTTAAAATTTCATTATACCAACATACATGGTATAGTTAAAATTCAATATTCTACCAGTACATGAGGGCACAAGCACAAGAACCCTGTGAAAAAGTGTTTTCATTAAAAAGTTTTTCACTTCTTACCTGCTGAATAGAATATCACCCTCATGCCAATGGTTAATCATGGGCTAGCAGAATGGGAAGAGTCCTAGCATGGTAAGGAGTCAGCCACCTTGGGTTCTTGTTTGAGTTCTGTTGCTAACTTCCTATGTAGCCTTGGACAAGTCAGTTACTCCAGTTAAACACAGTCCAACTCAGTTATTTCTAATCAGAATCATGATAACAAGTATTGTTTATTTTTTTATAGAAGTTCTTCATATTATTCCTTCATGAGGATATTGTAAAACAAATGAAAATAATGAAGTCTTTCTATCTTTTGGAAACTAGTCATTGCTTGAATGAAACTACCTTTGGCTAACGTGACGGTTATTACTGAGTGTCAACTTGATTGGATTGAAGGATGCAAAGTATTGATTCTGGGTGTGTCCCCAAGGGTATTGCCAAAGGAGATTAACATTTGAGTCACTGGCCAAGAAAGGCAGACCCATCCTTAATCTGGGTGGGCACCATCTAATCAGCTGCCAGGGCGGTTGGAATACAAAGCAGGTGGAAAAACTTGAAAAGACTAGACTGGCCTAGCCTCCCAACCTACATCTTTCCCTAAAACTGGATGCTTCCTGCTCTCAAACATTGGACTCCAAGTTCTTCAGTTTTGGGACGTGGACTGGCTTTCCTTGCTCCTCAGCTCGCAGACAGCCTATTGTGGGACCTTGTGATCATGTGAGTTAATACTTAAAACCATATATATCTCCTATTCATTCTGTCCCTGTAGAGAACCCTAATACACCTAACAAGTTAAGATATCAAAATAAATTGGAAAAGTATAGAAAAAAATACAACTTTTTTCAAAAAGATTCAGGGTCATTACTCAATTACTAACAAATAAGTTTACATGTTAAATGTTAGTCAATTACTAACAAATCAGTTTACATGTTAAAAATAATCTTAAGGTTATCGTATAAATGAAAAACTTTAAACCCTTCATGTTTACTGCCTATGAAATAAATATTGTGTAATTTGTTGGTATACCAATGGTTAAAACATTTCTCTTAAGTAAAATGTTGGGCCTCTCTTCTAAGATAATAAAAAAGTTATGTAGTTATAAACAAAACTTTACACGTGACATGTTTCTTATTATACAGACCTGACTCCATCTGCCACATATTTTTTCACAAAGCACCCCAGCTCATCATTTCATACTGCATCTGACCACTTAATAGACCTAATGCAGTAGTAGCTCTAATAACAAACATCTTAACGTCAACTTTCAATTAAAAGCTTCACCAAAGTTTATATTCATTTCTCTACACCTTTTTCACTGTTTTTGAAATGGAGTTCCTACTTCTTATACTACTCTTGGGATTATTTAAGAATCTTGGCCAGGCACAGTGGTTCATAACTATAATCTCAGCACTTTGGGAGGCTGAGGCAGGTAGATTGCTTGAGCCCAGGAGTTCAAGACCAGCCTAGGCAACACGGTGAAACCCCGTCTCTACAAAAAGTACAAAAATTAGCCAGGTGTAGTGGTACCCGCCTGTAGTACCAGCTCTCAGGAGGCTGAGGTGGAGGATCACTTGAGCCTGAGAGGTGGAGGTTGCAGGGAGTCGTGATCATGCTACTGCATTCCAGCCTGGGCAACAGAGTGAGACTCTGTCCCAAGGCTCATGCCAGCACTTCGGGAGGCCAGAGCCAAGGTGTGAGGATTGCTTGAGGCCAGGAGTTCAAGACTAGCCTGGGCAACATGGCAAAACCCAATCTCTAAAATCAAACCAAAAAAAAGCATGTTGTAGCTCTATCTGTCAGAACCCTGAAAAAAGCAAAAAGCAAAAACAGGTAAACTTCAGCAAGAGGATAAGAAACGGAGGCACAGAAGACAAATATGATCAGGTACTGAAAGACATTAAATACCCTCTTCCCTCCTGGTTATTCTAGACCAACACTGTCTAAGAAAAATATAATGCAAGTCACCCACAATTTTTTTTTTTTTTTTTTTTTTTTGAGACAGGGTCTCACTCTGTCACCCAGGCTGGAGTGCAGTGGCGTGATCTCGGCTCACTGCAACCTCCGCCTCCTGGGTTCAAACAATTCTACCATGTCAGCCTCCCAAGTAGCTGGGACTAAAGGCATGTGCCACCATGCCTGCCTAATTTTTGTGTTTTTTGGTAGAGAGAGTGTTTCACCATGTTGACCAGCCTGGTCTCGAACTCCCGACCTCAGGTGATCCACCGGTCTCAGCCTCCCAAAGTGTGGGGATAACAGACGTGAGCCACTGCACCCAGCCCACACATACAATTTTAAATGTTCTAGTAGCCACATTAAAAATATAGAGAAATAGGTGAAATTTAATAACATATTTTTAATCCAATATAACCAAAATATTATCATTGTAACATGTAATCAATATAAAAAACTAAGTTATTCCTTTATATTAAGTTTTCAAAATCTGGTGTGTATTTCACATTACTGCATATCTCAATTTGAGCTACCCACTCTTCAAGTGCTCCACATCTACCTGTGGCATGGCTCTAGATCTTCTGCATTTTAATCAATGAAACTGAATCTTTTGTTACTCATTAAGTAAACCATGGAAGAAAAAGGACCAGGAATCGTTAAATATTTCAACAGAGAATAACATGTTTTACATTCCCCAAGGAAGTGAGAGCTTAGAGAAATACGCTTTTTTTCAATTTTCCTCATAATGAAAACTTTCTAATAAATACAGCTGTCCACAGAAGAAGGAAGCAGCCTTGGACAGAGGTGATTTCCCCATTATCCTTTCAAGAACCTGCGCAGGAAAACCTGGTGGAGATTCTACACAGGGTAAATACACAGTATTTATACAGTATACTGAATGCCCTTCAGATTCTCCCAACACCTATGATTCCATAAACTCTAACTCTTGGTTTTCCTGATTCTAATAAATTGTCCTGCATTCTAGTCTGAAATTCATTTGCTGTACCTGCTTTTCTCTAGATTTTAAGAATTATTTTTCCTAAACTTGTACTGTCTGATATGCAGCAGGCCCATTTGCCATGTGTGGCTTATTCTACTTAAAAAAATACAATTAAAACTTCAATTTCTTAGTCACAATTTCAAGTAGTCAAGAACCACATGTGGCTAATGGTTACCCCACTGAACAGCATAAATACAGGACATTTCCACCATCACAGAAAGTTCTGTACCCTCTGTTCTAAACCAAAGTGGAAAAGAGACCCAGACTCCTAATTGTTCTTTTTCTTTGATCGCAAATCTTGGAGTTCTTAATTCTGTAACGAGGCAGTATTGCACAATGGATAGAGCAGTAGAATGAAACAGGGATGCCTGGATCCCAAATCCAGGTTCTACCAGTAACCACGTCTAGACAGCCTTAAATATAAATTTATTTTTGGTAGCTCCCAGTTTCTCATCTACAAAACAAACAGCCTGGATTAGGTGTCTTCTAAAGGTAATTCTAGTGTAAATGTTTACAGAACTACATGTACCCTATTATCAATTAATTCAGCCAAAGTATCTTAGCAGAAAGGACTCAAGCCTTGTCCCCTACAAGTGTGATCAGTAGCTCCGAAATACAGAAATGCTTTATCTTTCTAGAATAAATTTTCTTTAAGAATTTAGTAACTTTAGAAGCTAAACACTCATCCAGGAAAAAAAGAGAAGAGTTTAGCAACTGAGTTTAGGGAACAATGATGCTATTTTGACTAGGACAGCAAAAAGCAAAGAAACCTGACATCCTTATTAAGATAAATTTTAGCCTAGAGTAGTATAGACTAAATGTTCTTGACTGCTCTATCAAATTAAAGGTGTTATATTATGTATTGACAATCCTGTGTTGAATTAATAAATTTTTTTTTTTTTTTTTGAGATGGAGTTTCACTCTTGTTGCCCAGGCTGGAGTGCAGTGGCACAATCTTGGCTCATTGCAATCTCCACCTCCTGGGTTCAAATGATTCTCCCGCCTCAGCCTCCCTAGCAGCTGGGATTACAGGTGCCTGCCACCACGCCCAGCTAATTTTTTTTTTTTCTGTATTTTTATTAGAGAAGGGGTTTCAGCATGTTGGCCAGGCTGGTCTTGAACTCCTGACCTCAGGTGATCCACCTACCTCAGTCTCCCAAAGTGTGGGATTACAGGTGTGAGCCATTGCACCCAGCCAAATTAGTAAATTTTAAACAACTTCACCGATAATAGTTACACATATGCTTCCTGTGGTCAACTTACTCATATGAGGCCATTTAAATTTTTTTCTACACAAGTGAAATCACACTAAAAAATGACAAGCTGTATGCATTAATCTGAAACACAAATTCACCAATTACCTGGATGTTAAAATGATCAAGAATTGCAATCAGCTCTTCTTTCTTAGTGGAAACCACGGAGCCTAGTTATGAGAAACATATGAAATAACCAAACTGTTTCTAGGGCATAACACAGAAAAAATGTATAGTTACTTACAAAATATAAATATTAATTAGCTTTCATTGCATCATCAAGAAAGGTACCATTGAATATGTATAAACATGAATGAACACGGCACAAGTACAGAGGAAGAAAAAGTACCCACATGCAATAATGGTGCTTATCTTGTTCCCATAACTAAACATATTTTGCTCCTCATCCATCGCTCTTCAAAAACTAAATGCTCACCTCTTCTTTTATGTCATTTTGCACTTTTGCTAACCATTTATAAAAACCCTGGTGTGACAGGAAGTCTGTAGGTGAAAACAAAATGGCACAACCTGTTTCAAATAATCCCCAGTTCTGCTAATCATGCTTTTGGTGCCATAATATCCTGGGGTAAAACAATCATGTGTAATACACACACACTTACAACCAATCATGTTACAAGGAAGACAGTTCAATCAATACCAACAGTCATCTAATTCTTTCTAATTGAGTATTTCCTAATATTTTACAAGAAATGAAAAGAGAATCAAAACAAACCTGTTGCACTTTTAAGTTTATAAGATCGACTTCCATCTATGCTGATGTGTTGCTGTATAAGTATAGAGTTACCATACACACTGGCTTTAAAGGCATCATCTCCCCTGTTCCTCAATGTTATTGAGATATCTGCAGAGCTGAAACAATGAGGTTAAGCTAAATTACATGAAGATACAGTGTAATTACAATACTAGGTTGCCACAATTTTCAAAATTTTCAAAACCACCAAATAATTTGGCCAATTCATTTGCAAATTAGCTTTACATCAATAGCTGACACTGATTGTTCACTACAGCATAACGTTAACGATACTGTGCCTAACAAAAAAATAAAGTTGAGAATAAGTGATGCTTCATAAAAAATAATTGACTGACTATTCTATCCATATAGCACATTTGACAAAAACCATTAAGTTTCAGTTGTTTCAAGACATGTAGATAAGTTATACATTTTCCTGTAAAAATCACGTAATCAACATTATACTGCCTGACTACTATAAGTTATATAAAGCATCATGCTTGACAGTAGGCCTTTAAAGAATGATGAAGTAAAAATTATGGTAAAGTAGTAACATTTTCAGAGGATTAGAATTAAGAAAGGTAATTTTAATTTTTCAAGTACTTGGCAATAAAACATAAAACCATTTGATATCAAGAAATGTAACTAGGCTGGGCAGAGTGGCTCATACCTGTAATCCCATCACTCTGGGAGGCCAAGGTGGGTGGATCACTTGAGGTCAGGAGTTTGAGACCAGCCTAGCTAACATGGCAAAACCCTATCTCTACAAAAAATACAAAAATTAGCCAGGCACGGTAGTGCATGCCTGTATTCCCAGCTACTCGGAAGTCTGATGCAGGAGAATCGCTTGAGCCTGGGAGGCAGAAGTTGCAGTGAGCTGAGATCGTACCATTGCACTCCAGCCTGGGCGACAGAGAGACTCCATCTCAAAAAAAAGAAACTAAAGCCCAAAATTTCTTTACTGGCATTAAAAATAATGAGTATAAATCTGCCTAACCAATAGGCTCTGTTATAGTTTTTAAAGTTTTAAAGATGTTTTAGGGACTTACAGCCATGCATATTTTAAGATCTATAGGGGTAAAAAAAAAAAAAAAAAGAGTATTTGTGTACTACAACTGGTGTTAAAATAAGACTTGGAAGAAAAACAAAGATGCTGATAAAGGACATTAATAAAGATATAATTTCCTTAGACATAAAAGCAGATATTTTACCTGGTACATATGAGCATCTGTCAAAATGCTGAAGTCCTTTAATATAAAAGTGTTTTAATTGGTAATTAAATGAAACCTTTAATAGAACAAACTTGTTTTTGTGAATTTGTAATCATACTCAAAAACTGTTCCCATTTGTGGGAAATGCATGGAAGAAATATTCCAGATGAGCTTCATTGTGAACTACTGCTAAGACAGTAGACACACTGAAGTGTTTGTTCTGTTGCTCACCCATCCTTTTCTGTACAAGTGCCCTAGCAGAAAGGGCTTAGCAACGATATAATTTTCCATCCTATCCTCTCGGGATTGAGCTAAATATAGACATTTTTACCAGCTGAGCAATCAGATTTTCTTCCTTAAAAAAATCAAACTAAGAAAATCTGGTTAAAAAAATTTCAAAAGTCTGTAGTTTAGTTGATATTGTACCAATGTTAACTGCATAGCTTTGATAAATGCATCTTAGTTACGTAAGATATCTACATTAAGGAAAACTGGGTGAAGGATATACAGAAAATTGTACCATCTTTGCAACATTTCTGTAAATCTACAATTATTTCAAAACAAAAAGGTTTTAAAAAATTCAAATTAAGAAATGATCAAGTCAAGAGATGGTGAATCCTGGAAGCCACAAAGTTATGGAGCCTCTGGATCTAGAGAAACCAATTTGGGGCATTATACTCTGATAAGAAAATAGAAAAGTCTGAATAGAACAGATAAGCTCTTCGGAAACTACCTAGGCAGACTAATAAAAAGACATACATACTCACAGATACTGGCAGTGAACCAGAGGCACAGAAAACATAAGATCACTTTCTTACACACATACACCCACAGACTAGGACAGTAAGACTTATAAATGCCTGTACATGGGAAGACACGCAGTAACAAAGATTAGCAAAAGAATAAGAAAGTACACATACTTGAGACAGTGATAGAGAAAAACACACTCACTTACCTGTACACTTTTCGTAAGGAGAGACAGGAAAGAGCAGAGCATAGTGCACACACACAGAAGCACAGCCAATTAAGTTAGGATTGTGAGGGTGGTGCAGAGAGGAGAGATGCAGAACAAACCAAAGGGAGGGAGAGGGAGACAGAGGCCCAGAGACAAGACACACAGAGACAGCCAGAGATGCAATTACTCGGTTCTTACAGGGTCTCAGTCTGGTCCCTCAAGAGACCCTGCAGTATTTCCTCTCTGCAGTTTCATGGATATATATCCTTGCATCTTTATGGTAAATATCCTTTCCTAGAGCTACCTTGAATAAATTGGTGTGGTTTTTCTATAAAAACAAAATTACCCAATTAAGACAGATATGCTTCAGAAAAATTACAATTAATGGGATTATTTAAAAGCTCCCTAAGTTGATTCTAATGAACAGTTAAGGTTGAGAACCACTAAAGTATGAGGGGAAGGCTGGCTGGCCTCTGATAATGTAGCTAACAAATATTTTATTTCATTAGCTAGTATGATTACCTGCATTAAGTTACTGTACCTCATGAAAACATTTCTTAAATGACTACATATATGTGCTCTCTGAATTATCAAACACCTCTCTTGATTACCAAACACCTACTTTATTATCTTCCTTCCTGGCTACTCCTTGTATTTGAGCTATCTTTAGTATAGTGAGAACTTCAGAGGCACTGATATCCTACTGCTATATAAATTTTCTTTTCTTTTTCTTTTTTTTGAGACACAGTCTTGCTCTGTCGCCCAGGCTGGAGTGCAGTGGCATGATCTCAGCTCACTGCAATCTCCGCCTCCCAGGTTCAAGTGATTCTCCTGCCTCAGCCTCCCAAATAGCTGAGATTACAGGCACCCACCACCATGTCCAGCTAATTTTTCTATTTTTAGTAGAGACAGGGTTTTGCCATGTTGGCCAGGCTGGTCTTGAACTCCTGACCTCAAGTGATCTGCCCACCTCGGCCTCGAAAGTGCCAGGATTACAAGCATGAGCCACCGCGCCTGGCCTGCTATACGAATCTAATAAATACAAGAGAGCAAAATTCTTCTAAAAAGTAACACTTATAAAAAAGCCTCATAATTACTGCTAAACAAACAAAAAAAACCACTTCTGCTGGAAGACAGAGACAACAAAGCTGGGCACTAGCTCTGCAGTCTTCCCCTTTACACTGATATGGTCTGTGCTGATGCTTAATTTGGGTCAAACAGCCATAGAGCCCAATGCCTGTAAATACAGGAGAGCCTTAACTGAAAAGAGAGACTATCTATGAGATTTTTTTCAGAATGACAACACAAACAAGCAGTACCACAGTAAGAATTTAGCTTCTTTCTCAACTCAGGAAGAATCTATCTACGTGGAAGTAACTGGCAGCTGTGCACATGGATGAGAACAAGGAAAAAGAAAAGTCATACAAAACGATGATACAACTGCTCCTTCTCTGCGTCACCAGCTCATCTGTAACAAGTTCTGTCTCCTTGACTAAATAAATCAGGAACATAAAACAGGAGAATGAATTTTTGTCCCTCTATAACCCTTGTGCCACAGTTGATGTCAAAAATTAGACTACTGCAAAGACCCCAAGGCTACCAGGGTTGGTATTATGAAGGCCAAGGGAGGGAACGGTAAACTGTATATGTTTAAAGAGAATCTAAATAGCAAAGGGCATGAGGCCTTGGGTCACTGAGAAAGGTTTTCATGTGAAGAGATACATTAGGAGGATTCATTCAGTCCCTGTGTCACTGCAAAGGCTTGGTGGATAATTAGAAGGATGAGTCCCAGGCAATGTCTCAAGGTGCAGTTCTCTGGCTTCTCCTAACAGTATTACGCAAGCATCTCCAAGGAGAGTTGAAATATCCCAAGAAAGGAGGCCCAGAGCACAGGTGTCACAAATGGTGAGTGTAATGTTAGAGATGGGGGAAGGGAGGGACAGACTCCTTAGAAGAACTACCTCAAACTTGTGCTGGACTACACTGACAACCATCTTCAGGTAAAGTGAGACTCCTGCATAGACTTTAGATGTGCAATAGAGTAAGAACAGAACTAAAAACCTCAACGAGCTGATTCTGCAAAAAAGTGATGACAGAATCAGAGACTATAAAACCAAGGGAAATTTTATAAATACTAAATGTTTTCAATGAGGGAGGGGATAGATAAGAACAATACAGATATGGAAAAACTCTGCTTTTAGTTACTTTTTTAGACAGAAGACTGAGCTAAGGTTAGAGTTTTTAGCTGTCACTAACTGTGTTTTAAAATATATTTCCCCCAATTTTGTACTGGAAAAGCAAAAATAAAATATATACATTACTATTTCACTCTACAGGCAGCCATGTCCTTAAAAGTCAGTGATTTGTTTAAGCTAGTCTTTTTTTATTAAATAGTGTTCAGAGGACAGGTCTCAGAGAGAAGTTTCTACCCTGGTCTAAGCACTTTTCAAATAGAAAAAAAAAAAAAGTATTTAACTGAGAAAACATTTAACAGTGCATAAAAAATAATTTATTCCTAAAGACTGTATCTGAAAATTCAATGTGCTATTTGGCCAACTAGACTGGGTGATTGTTTGGACAGCTAAGAAATGGATAGTTAAGTATTATGAACTGTGGCTGGGTGTGGTGGCTCACACCTGTAATTCCAACACTTTGGGAGGCTGAAGCAGGTAGATCACTTGAGCCCAGGGGTTTGAGACCAGCCTGGCCAACATCACAAGACCCCTTCTCTACTAAAAAAAAAAAAAAAATTAGCCAGGCATGGTGGCATGGCTGTAGTCTCAGCTACTTGGGAGGGCGAGGCATGAGAATCACTTGAACCCAGGAGGTGGAGGTTGTAGTGAGCCAAGACTGCGCTACTGCACTGCAGCCTGGGAGACAGAGTGAGACTCTCTCTCAAAAAAAAAAGAATTTCTCATGGATTCTAACGACTAGTAAATAATAATAATTATAAAAAATTTTTTTTAATATAATGAACTGAACTAAGAGTTGATACTACTAACTTAAAGGTGTCAAAATAACTAATTTTTTGTTACAAACGTCATTTTGGTTTGTGGTGAAAGGAAGACTTTGCTGGACTGGGGCCCCATGAAGTGGAGACAGAAACTATGCTGGAGAATTGTTATCAAATAGTTTTTTTCCCAGGGCCATAGAGCATGGGAAATAATCTTCTGTGTATCTTTTCTCTTTTTTTTTTTTTAGTCAATTTGGAATCTTGGCTTAAGGTTAAGATTCCTAAGGCTTCTGAGGAATACATAAGAAATCTGCAGGTCTAATTCACATCCTATCCTTGTTCTATTTTTTAGTAATAAAATAGAAGAGAAATGGATATAACACTGAGCAGAAGGAAAAGTCTACTGAATGAGAAAAAAGATATTAGTGTTAATTATGAAAGTTTCAAAAGTTCTCAGCACTGGGCATGAGAAGGAGGAATGGGAATAGCCTCATGCTAGAAGATGTATGACAGTATTTGGGGCACTTTGTTGTTATGAAAAACAAAGATCCCTTCAGAGGTATCTGGGGCAGTACAGAAAAGAATGAAGAGATAAGCCTGAAGACAGAACAGCTAGTGGGCAAAAAGCAGTGAGTCCATGATGATGCAAACTGGACAATTCATATATAGCTATGTGATGGCAACTTATGACAAAAAGAAATATAAATGTAAAGCCAAAAACAGTAGTGATATAACTATTTACTAAGGGTCTGAGATAGACCACAAACAGATCTGTCACTGTGGTCCTCAAATTAAACTCACTGGCAGCCCACTTGGGTAAAGGGTATAAAATCAGTCAAAAGGTAGAATTCTTATTTTGGGACTTCTTAGAGAGCTAAAGACAGTTTTGTGCAGGGACACTTTGGCTGGTCACTGATTTTGCTCTCCCTACTATCGTATCAATGTGGACTCACCGATGCTGGGTTTGGGTCAAGAGTCAGGAATTAGCAAGGTTTATAAACACTTGTTAAACAGGATACATAGATTTATCACAGGCATTTCTTTCAGCAAGTAACAGAAGCAAGATGGCCAGGCACATGGCAGTAAGTTACACAAGCTATCTGTCTTGAGAGGATAACAGGCAATAGTGCGCCATGCCGGCAACAAGAGGTAAAAGAAAGGAATGAAAAAATAGGACACCTCTGCTCCTATTCTGGGAAGGCACTTCATTTCCAGTCATGTCTATGTGAACTGGGAATCTAAAGTAACTGTTTTCTTACCAAAGAATTGAAAATAGATGGTAGAAAGCGAACACTTACTTCTGTCCATCCTTCACAAAACCTTTTAAAGAGGATCCTCTATTAGTAGCAACTGCTCTTCCACCAAGACCAACTATGAGAGCTGTGAGTACTGCACTCTTCCCACCTAAAGAAACAGATGTTGAAGAAATCACATTCATTAAAAGAAAAAGGAAAAAGCTGACTCCTACCATGTCATGCAAAAAGATTTATGAATGAGACTCACTTTAAAATAAAATGTTAAAATTCAACTATAATTTTCTTCCCATGCAAAGCAACAACTTAAAAAAAAAGTTATATATGTAATGAAAAATTGAGCTGCCGCTATTAGCAAAAAAATAGTACATTTCAGGAATCAAATTTTTGCCACTAAAAGGAAAATGGTAAAAATTGTTTTGACACCTTTCCAACCTAAAACTTTCATTGTACCACCTTGGCCTATCAACCTAATAAATGAATGTATCCCTCTATTTACACGTATATTATTAATCCATCTAATTTTTATGACATTTTATTGGCACACTCATTGCTCACTGAAACCTCAAACTCCTGGGCTCAAGTTATCCTCCTGCCTCAGCCTCCTCAGTAGCTGGGATTACAGGCACACATCACTACGCCCAGCTAATTTTTTTTTTTGTAGAGACACACTGTTGGTATGTTGCCCAGGGTGGTCTCAAACTCCTGGTTCTCAAGCAATCCTCCTGCCTTAGCCTCTCAAAGTGCTGTGATTATAGATGTGAGCCACTGGGCCCAGCCAGAAACTACGTTAACATCCCTCAAAAGTAAGCTCCATGTGGACAGGAATGTTGTCTCTTTCATTCAATACTGTATCCCTAATATTAGCACATAGTAAGTACTTGCATTATTTGTTGAATGAATGAACTTAAGTAGAAAAAAATCAGCAAAGTCATATACATGTTTTTATACAATATTTTAACAATTGTTATTTGTAACTTGATTATTATTCATTTTCCAGCTCTTTGAGAACTGTACTTCTTCATACCCTCACGGATCTAAAATATTACAAGCTGAGGGCTAGGTGTGGTGGCTCACACCTGTAATCCCAGCGTTTTCAGAGGCTGAGGCGGGAGGCTCACCTGAGACCAGAGAGATCAGCCTGAGCAACAGAGTAACACCTGGTCACTACAAAAAATAAAATTAGGCAGGCAGGCTGGGCACAGTGGTTCACGCCTGTAATCACAGCACTTCGGGAGGCCAAGGCAGGTGGATCACTTGAGGTCAGGGGTTCGAGACCAGTCTGACCAACATGGTGAAACCCCGTTCCTACTAAAAATACAAAAATTAGTTGGGCGTGGTGGTGCTCACTTGTAATCCCAGCTACTTGGGAAGCTAAGGTGGGAGGATTACTTGAACCCAGGAGCTGGAGGCTGCAGTGAGCCAAGGCAGCACCACTGAATTCCAGCCTGGGCAAAGCAAGACTCTGTCTCAAAAAAAAAAAATAAATAAATTAGGGAGGCATAGTGGCATATGCCTGTGGTCGTAGCTACTTTCAAAGCTGAGGGGAGAGGACAGCTTGAGCCCAGGAGTTCAAGGCTGCAGTGAGCTATGATCACATCATGCAGTCCAGCGTGGGTGACAGAGAGAGAGAGATCCTGTCTCTTTAAATACACACACACACACACACACACACACACAGAATATGGTAACAATTTTTTGAACTCCATTCAACCAATCCAATCAACTTTTATTAGCCTATTATCTTCCTCAAAGTAATACAAAGTAACTAACACACACCACTGATTAACCTAATTTAGTTCCTGGAATGCCTTTAAAGTTCCTCTTCTAACTCCCTTTTCTTCATTACCAAATGCACTGCCTCCACTGTTTGCATTATTTCCTCTTCTATTAGTTTTTATTAATAAAAACCATTGTTTTGAAAGTTAAAAGACCTAACTTCAGAACCCACCAGTATTTATTTCTTGTCCCATGTGACCCCTCTAAAATAGGGATCCCCTTGTCCACCCATTTCTCCTAGAGACATTTTCTTCTTGACTGAATGATAAAGTAAGAAAAACAGAACCACAAAAGGGACGGCAGAGCTACACATAACCTAGCTTCCTATTCTAGACTCTGGTAAGCCTCCTCTCCCTGTGTACCTTCTCAGTCCAGGAGTTAACACCACATTCTTGGCAGACCTACCACAGAACTGCCTGGAAACTTTCTGCCTCCTGTATTTTTCCCCTTCTAATCCATTGTCCACAATGTGGTCAGCCTGTTTCATGAATTGTGGCCATGTCACTCCTTTACTCAAAAACTTTAATTGTGGCCGGGCACAGTGGCTCACACCTGCTAATCCCAGCACTCTGCAAAGCCAAGGCGGGCGGATCACTTGAGGTCAGGAGTTTGAGATCTGCCTGGCCAACATGGTGAAAAGCTGTCTCTACTAAAAATACAAAAATTAGCCAGGCGTGAAGGCACGCTAATCCCAGCTACTCACAAGGCTGAGACAGGAGAATCACTTGAACCTGAGAGGCAGAGGTTGCCCTGAGCCAAGATGGCACCACTGCACTCCAACCTGGGCGACAGAGGGAGACTCTGTCTCAAAAACAAAAAGAAAAAAAAAAAAACCCAAACCACAAAGCAACAACAAACAAAACTCTAATTGGTTCACCACCATCTTCAAAATAAAACTCCAAACTCTTTATTATGACATTCAACATCCTCAACAATACTGCCTAGAACATGACTCTCCACAGTCAGCTTCTGCTTCTCTCCACCGTCCACCATACAATAAATCATATAAGGTTATTCACCAGTTCCTATACACATCTACCTCTACTCCTCCAAACATTAGCTGATGAGCAATCTTTGTCTGGAACATCTCAGCCTCTTCTTGCCAATGAGACCTACAGAATCGATAATTTTCATTCAAGAACTGGCACAAAAACCACCTCCTCTTAAAGCTTTTATTGGCCACCTGGTAAGAATTTGTTACTTTTATGTTTGGATTGCCAAGTCACTTCATTTGTGCTCTATTACAATGTTTAGTAAGGTAAGACACAAGGCTGCCTCAATTGCAATAAGGATCGCTTGTCTACCCTTCTGTGGTATAGATTCCAAGATAAATACATTAAAAACATAAGCAGGAAATGTTTATCCCTATTGCTTAAGTAACAAACCTAGAGTTAACTCAATATTTTCTTTAAGTGTACACTGGCAGCAAATACCAAGAATATTCATAACCACAAGTTATACATCTATAGACAAAACACTTATTAGCACTAATAGTCACCTATTTCAAAAAGTTAATGTACTCTAATCTCAAAGTACTACTCAAAGTCAAACGAGGAGGGAAAAAACACTTACTTCCATTGTTGCCAACAACAAAGTTGACATTAGAACCAAACTTAAAGGGTCCAAGCATTGAATGACACATGAAGTTTTTTAGGTGAATACTCTCAATTATTCCAACTTCTGCTGCAGTCTATGAATAAAAAACAAAAGGAGAAAATAGTCAATCTAATTCACTCATTATAACCATTCAAGCATTGTTGGCATCAGAAAGACTAGCAACATCATCAATGAAAAAATTTACAGAAAGTGACTAATGGTAACTTCAATGAATAAGATGAAATTAAATGGGAACCTTCTATGAGTCAGTACTCATTCCAAAATCTTTAAAGGATTTAAAAGTGTATCACCAGATTTCTTAATACTGGCAATAACATTTTGGGTCTGATAATTTTCTGTTAGTGGGGAGGTCTGTCTTCTGCACTGTAGAATGTTTAGTGGCATCCCCAGCCTCTATCCACTAGATGCCAGCAACACATACCTGTCCCTAAGTTGTGACAACCAAAAATATATCCAGACATTGCTAAATGTCTCTGGCAGACACAAAAGGGAGAGAGAAGAATCCCCTTTGTTGAGAACTGCTATCCCAATTGGCAAAGCAAAACTTCCTATATACTTTATTTAGAATACCTCTGAAAGATGACTATCCAGCCATGCATTCAACACTGAATTCACTATCTGACATATACTATTTCAATTCAAAGAGCGGAGTACATGTCCTTAAAAAGTAAAGCCTGCTCTTCTTGTGACTTTGTCACTTATTATCGCAGCTGTGTGACTTCTGGCAATGTTATAAAGAATATACAGTTTCCGAGTCCGTAAAACAGGAATAATATTTCCTATACTGTAAATATTATATCAGCATTAAGTTACATAAGGTTTACAAATGGTTTAACCAAGAGTTTGGCAAATGGTAGTCACCTGCACTTTGTAGTTATCTAAGTACCAGAACAAATCAGCCTTATTTTATCAGGCCTTCTAATTTTTTTGAAGACCATTTTCAAGTCTCCAGGTATTTTAAAGATTTCTTTAAAACTCCCTGGCTCTCCTCTTCTGGACATACATCTTATTACACAGTAGAAAACATTTACATCTTTGTATGAGTAGAATACTGGAAATCACGGTTGAAGAATTTTTGAAATATTTTTATTTTTAAATAATAACAGATTCACGTGCAATCCTTAAGAAATGAGATCCTGTGTACCCTTTACTCAGTTTCCTCCCATTGTAACTTCACAACCTTGTAACTTCCTCCCATTGTAACTTACAACTTGGTTGTAACAATATCACAACCAAGTTACTGACACTGACATAGTCAAAATACAGAATATTTCCATCATCATCAGGATCCCGCATGCTGCCCTTTTATAGTCACATCCACATCCCACCTTAACCCCTGACCCACTAATCTGTTCATTTCTATTAACTTTGCCCTTTCTAAAATGTTAAATAAATAGAAACAGACAAAATGTAGCCTCTTGGGACTGGCTTTTTTCACTCAGCCAAATTCTCTGTTGTTGCCTATATCGGTAGTTCACTCCTTTTTATTCTTAAGCTATATTTTATGGTATGGATGTACCAAGGTGTATTTACTAGTTCCTTTGCCTTTTCACCTAAATTTTAGAATAAAATATACACCTACAAAGTATCTTGCTGAGGTTTTAATAGAACTGCATTTAAACTTACATATCATTTTGGGGGAGAATTGACATAATTTCTATATTGAGTTGTCTAATCCATGAATAAGTATGTGTCTCCATTTATTCGGGTGTTCTTTGATTCCCTTCATCAGCACTGTATAATTTTCACCATATTAGACCTGTATATATTTTGTTAGCTTTAGACGTATTTCATTTTTTAATACTTAATTTTTTAAGAGTAGTTTTAGATTCACAGCAAAATTGAGAGGAAGATACAGAAATATCCTATATACCCCCTACCCCCACACATGCATAGTCTCGCTCATTATCAACATCCACCATCAGCATGGTACATGTGTTACAGCCGATGAACCCACACTAACACATCATTATCAACCCAAGTCCACCGTCTGTACTAGGGTTCACTCTTGATATTACTGTACATTCTATAGATTTGAACAAATTTATAACGACATGTTTCCACCATTTTAGTATTGTACAGTTATTTTTACTGCACTAAAACTCCAGTGCTCCACCTACTCATCCCTACCTTTCCTCAACCGCTAGCAACCAACCACTGATTTTTAACTCTCTCCATAGTTATGCCTTTTTCAGAAAGTCATATAGTCGGAATCATACAGTATGTAGCCTTTTCTGATTGGCTTCTGTCACTTAGTAATATGCATTTAAGGTTCCTCTATGTCTTTTCATGGCTTAATAGCTTAATACTAATGGTCCATTGTCTGCATATACCAGAGTTTATTTATCCATTTGTCTACTGAAGAACATTTTGGTTGCTTCGGAGTTTTGGCAATTACAAATAAAGCTGCTATAAACATGAAAGCACAGGTTTTCGTGTGGATGTAAGTTTTCAACTCCTTTGGGTAAATACTGAGGAGTTCAATTGCTGTACTGTATGGTAAGAGGACGTTTGGTTTTGTAAGCAACTGCCAAACTGTGTTCCAAAGTGGCTGGACATTCTCACCAACAACGAATGAGAGTTCCTGTTGCTCCACATTCTTGTCAGCATTTGGTGCTCTCAGTAGTTTGAACTGTTGCCATTTTATCTTTATCGGGTGTGTTGGTATCCCAATATTGTTTTAATGTGCATTGCCCCAAAGTGGTTCATTTTTTTTGAGTGATTAAAAATAGTATTTTGAATTTTAATGTCCAAGTGCTCAATGCCAGTATATAAAAGTAAAGCATTTTAAAAATACCTTATCCTATAACTTTGCTGAATATATTTATTCATTTTAAGAGTTTTCTGTAGATTCCTTGAGATTTTTTATGTAGAAAATGAACAAATGGATTATCTACATAATCTGCAAACAGACACTTTTTGTGTGTTTTTTTCCTTTCCAAACTCTATACCTTCTGTTTCCTTTTCTTGATTTGTTTGCACTGCTAGATTTCCCAGCACTATGTGTTCAATAAGTGATAAAAGCAAACAACTTTGTCTTCTTCCTGATCTTCGGGGAAAAGTATCCAATGTTTTACCATTAAGTATAACGTTAGCTGTCAGTTTTTTTGTGGGTGCTCTTTAACATATTGCGGAACTTCCAGTCTATTCTTACTTTTTTCTGAGAGTTTTAGTCATGAACAGGTGTTGAATTTTATCAAACATTTTTGCTGCACTGTGATATAATCATGTGATTTTTCTTCTTTAGCCTGTAACATGGTGAATCACAAGGACTGATTTTTGGATACTGAATCAGGTTTGTATACCTAAAATAATCCCATTAATCATGACATATAATTCTTTTACATATAGTTGGCTCTTCCTATCTGCAAATTCTGCAGATGTGAATACACAGGGCAGATTATAAAGGACTTCAGCAGCAGTGGATTTTGGTCTGAAGCAGAGTCCTGGGAACCAATCCTGCTTGAATACCAAGGAACAACTACATTGCTGAAGTCTCCTCGTAAATATTTTGTTCAGTATTTCTGCAACCATATCTGTTAGGTATACTGGTTTTACAGTTTGTTTTTTTGGGGGTCCCACTTTGTCTGGTTTTGGTATCAAGATGATACATTGAAAAGTGTTCTCTCCTCTTACGTTTTCTGGAAAAGACTGTGTAGATTCATGTTGATTCTTCTTTAAATGTCTGGTACAATTCTACAGTGAAACGAACTGGGTCTGTAGATTTCATTTTCAGGAGTTTAAAATTATGAATTAAATCTCCTTAGTAGTTATAGGGCTATTCAAATGATCTATTTCATACTGGGTGAGTTGCAGTAATTTTTCCTTTTTGAGGATTGGTCCACTTCATCTAAGTTGTGAAATTTATGTGTGTAGACTAGCTAACTGCATTTCCTTTGGATGTCTGCAGGGTCTGTGGATAGCCCCTATTTTATTCCTGATATTGGTAATTTGTGTCTTTTCTCTTTTGGCATTTGTTGGTCTTACTAAAAGTTTGTCAATTTTATTCACTTTTCTATACATTCAGTCCTTTGATCATTTTCTCTATTAATTTTTCTAATAATTAACATAACCTTCAAAATTAGCCAGAACAGATTTTACCTCAACTTTTTAAAAAATATATTACTTTTTCTTGATTTTAAGTTATCATAGAATGTGATATTATGAATGTGACAAGAAAAACATATCATAAAGCATAATTTTATAATTTTTCACTTACCAAAGTAGAAGTACCTTTACATTCGTCTTCGTCACCATCTTTATCAAAATCCTCCAATTCTTCTTGTCTTGGCCTTTTGGCATTTTTAGGAGAGGAAAAATTTTCTTCCTTTCTTTTGGCCATCAGGTCTGAACAAATATTTATAGCAACAATGAAGTAAATCAACTTCCATAAATATTAAACTTAAAATAAATCTAACAAAGTTAATTAAACTTTAAGTACTATGTCCGTCTATTTTTACCTTAAAAATTAAAGTAAATTAGTCTTGCATGTTGCACTGAGGAAGAGAGACATGAGTCAAAAAATGCTAGACAAGGCAAGGAAACAGATTTTCTCTTAGAGCCTCTAAAACAGAACATAGCCCTACGGACATTTGGATTTTAGCCCAGTGAGACCTGTGTTGGACTTCTAATCCACAGAAGCATAAGATAGTAAATTTCTGTTGCTTTAACATCTGCATATTCTATACTAGGTGATTTTACTTCAGACGTATTCATAGCCAAGATTTTATCAGTAAAAGATTTTCTGAAATTGTGGTTTCTAGTTTTCTAAATCTATTCATAGAGATGGCATGGTGATTCCTGAAATTAATCCAAAGCAATCCCCAGTTTTTACAAGCTATAAAGTAATCAGATAAAACTTTTAATTTTTAAATTGTTTTCCCAAAGAATCATATTTTGAAGCACATTGCCTAGCACCAGTGGTTTCCTTTAACTCTTCCCTAAAAAAAAGTCCAGGTTGATCGTCTATTTTTTGCCAATCATCTACAAAATTTAAACCTAGAAAATTAACATCTTTAAGTTACACATGATTTTGCTGAATATCTGCATACTGAACCTCCAGTCAAAGCTGATAGTTTGTGATTAAAATTAAACTTTATGACCTCTTTGATTGCTGCTTTCATTTTTTTCTTTAGAATACATTTAAGACCTAAGATGATTAAGTATCTAATTGTTTGCTAAATGGAGAGAAAAATCTCTAACATAATCAAAAATTTCTAAGATATAAGAATATAAACAACAGTTCTAGGCTCAATGTACTTAAATCCCCCAAATATTAGACCATAGCAACCCTCTCTGTACCATGTATATAACTGGCTCCCCTACCCATGCAAGCAAAATCCAAGGGGGTAGCCTGGACTTCCACTCTAGCGAGGCTACAAGGTGGCATCTCAACACCCTAACGGGGGTAGAGTCAAAGAAGGCTAAGTAGACAAGTAGGGAGCCATGGTAATGGTGTCAGTGGGGGGCACCTAGAAAGCCTAGATTTCCACCCACACAGGAAGTAGCAGGGTGTTACTTACTCCTTCTCCTAGTTGGCTAGTGTCATAACGCAAAGTCAGGACTTTTGCCATTGCCCAGAGGCGAGAAGGCCACTCCCACTGCAGTATCACTGGAGACCACATGGGAAATTGAAACTGCAACCCCAGCCTAGCAGTCACTGTGGCTAAGGAAATAGCTCTGATTTAAGTTCTAGATCTGAGTCTCTGTGTCCACAGTCCAGTATGGATGGAAGCAGTTCTCAAAGGTTATAATCTCTTTTACAAAGGACCTCAAAGAGCTTTTGCTTATGTCTACCAATATTTATTATATTAGACCTTAAAACTAAACAACTTTTCTCTCTCTTTTTTTTTTTTTTGAGATGGAGTCTCAGTCTGTCTCCCAGGCTGGAGTGCAGTGGCACGATTGCAGCTCAATGCAACCTCCGCCTCCTGGGTTTAAGTGATTCTCCTGCCTCAGCCTCCCACGTAGCTGGGATTAAGGTGAGCGCCACCACACCCAGCTAATTTTTTATTTTTAGTAGACACGGGGTTTTGCCATGTTCGCCAGGCTGATATCAAACTTCTGACCTCAAGTGATCTGCCCACCTCGGCCTCCCAAAGTGCTGGGATTGCAGGTGCGAGTCATCACGGCTGGCCAAAACTGAGCAACTTTTAAAACAAGGGACACACAGTATATATTCCATCAGTCAGAGCAATGACATCTCACAAGTCATGTAACCTCTGGAAAACTCCACTGTACACTCATAAGTGAATGAGAGTGAAAAGGGCAAATAACATCTTACTATTATCATTAAAAGTTTTGGCCTTGTAGATCCCTTGCAAGAGTCTCATGGATTCCTGGACCACATTTTGCAAAGTGCAGCTACAGGGGGATATTAAAAGCAAGTCCATGATACAGTGTCATAAATTATAAGGCACAGCTAGCAAGCAATAAAGTTAGAGCAGTACGTTAGAAACAGATCACAAAAGGACTTGTAGACTCCTCATATTTAAAGTGTGGTCCAAGGACCGGCAAGCAAGATCTACATCTCCTGGGAAGATATCCAATTATCGGATATCCAGAATCTCAGGCCCCACCCTAGAGCAAGTGAATCAGAATCTTCACTTTAACAAGACTTAAGGTGATTCACAAGCCCATTAGAGCTGAATTGTTATGTAAACCATAGAAAATAACTGGGACTTTATCCTATCCTGAAGGCAATGAAGAACTTTATATATTATGAAGTCAAATATCATTTAAAGGGTATATTACTTACCATCCAAAGGATATTTAACCTAAACAAATGTCTTCTAAGACAATATTACCATTACAATTACATCTATGTAATATTCAGCTTCATTTTTACAATTTAATATTTTGAAACTTATAAAAATCAAAAATTCAAAATCAAACATATTTTTCAAAATAATAAGAATCAACATAGATCAGTTTCAGTTTATTATTAATTTAAATTCCCTGAGATACTACCAGGTCATTATTTTTCCAACACTTTCTTCTCTGCTAACCACCCTCTATTCCCTTCTCAGTTACTGAGCAGTAATTTATTTATTACAGAAGAGCAAAGAGAAAGCATTACTTTTTGGTGTCTCCAACATTTAATGTCCTTTTAGAAACTGTTTTTATTAATGCCTAACATTATGCAGTTAGCAGGCACTCAGACATTAGCTAACAGATAATGCACTAGGGAAAATGTGATGTGCTTCTCACAAGGAACATGAGATTCTATACAGAAGACAGTACACCCAAACACTACATGATGACGATGTTTTTTTTATTTGCTGAGCATGACCTGGGATTTGCAGTTTGCTATTAGGTTGCCAGGGTAACTTGCATCTAACAGACACTGAAGGATCCTACCTTTTAAAAGAGGACTCACTTTGTAATTTAATGATGATGGATTTTCAAACACATATTTGAATGTCTAGAGCATCAGATACAGATTAAAACAGTAAAATTGTTTCCAAAAGGCTAAAGAGACATATTTACAGATGCAAAGACAAATATTTTAATTTTGCTGGAATAAAAAAAGGAGAAAAAAGGCTCCTCTGGGATTTTCAATTTATCTATAAAGCTCGTCATAGTTTTTAATATTTCTTTACTTATTTATAATTAAAAAAAAAAAACAGAATTAAAGAACACCTCATTTCTCCCTTACAAGAAGAAGCAGGGACAATGAAGACCATCAATAAAATAAGTTCAAGAAAAAAAATTAATGGCCGGGCGCAGTGGCTCACACCTGTAATCCCAATACTTTGGGAGGCTAAGGCAAACGGATCACGAGGTCAGGAGTTCGAGACCAGACTGGTCAATATGGTGAAATCCCGTCTCTACTCAAAATACAAAAATTAGGCCATGGCACGCGCCTGTAGTCCCAGCTATTTGGGAGGCTGAGGCAGAAGAATGGCTTGAACCCTGGGAGGCAGAGGTTGCAGTGAGCCAAGACTGCGCCACTGCACTCCAGCCTGGGCGACAGAGCAAGACTTCATCTCAAAAAAAAAAAAAAAAAGAAAAGAAAAATTAATAACCAAGAGTTCATTATAGCATGTAGATGTATAGGAAATTTGATAGAGATCATGCATTTTAACAGAATTCTAAATTTTATTAAGTATGTAATAATTCATATTTCCCATTAATACTAAATTAGGAACTAAGAGTAGTGACACACGTAACAAAACTAGAATTTAATAAAAAACAGTGTTATCATTTTTTTAAAAAGGCAAATTACTACTACTTCTGAATCTGCCCTGGATTGTGTTTACCACATCCTCAATTCTACTCTGCCTACCACAACAGACATTTATTCTACAGTAAACAACTTCATTTTGAATGTGCTTAATTAAGTACACTGCTTGGAATATATCATGAAATTACATGAGATTAACTGGATAATAAATAGTATAAATACTTATGTGAAAAAATTTGTTAAGTCCATCCATCTAAAATGTTAGGATCAGCAAAATTGGGAAGTATAAAGCACAGCATTTCAGTTAATAAAATCTGAACACTGAGATTTCTGTACTGAAAACATCCTGTGGCTCAATATAGAAGATAGATGAAACAGAACGTAAGAATAGCAGCAGAAGAGATGAGATGCTAAACAAAAGCAGTGGTAATATCAGGGACAAAGGGAAGAGATAAAACAAGAAATTTAAAAGACTGAATAAGCAGAATTGGTGAGTACAAATGAGTGAGCAGAATTAACATTTGTTGAATAACCACAAACTTAGCTTTTGAGAAGAACACTTTCTATTTTCTTTGATCCCCAACATCTTTATGAGATAAATATTGCCCTTATTTTTACAAAAGGAGAGACTGAGTCACAAGTAAACGACTTGAATTTGTAGCTACAACTTAGTTCTAACATACAAAGGCTTCTATAGCTCTAACATAGCAGGGCTCAGATCCAAATCCAGGTTTGTCAAAACCCAGTTAAACCTCTTTAACGCCCAGGTTCCTACTGGCATAAACTGAAATTTGACAGTTAATTACTCACAGACAGTGAAATTGGCTATTAATCTGTCCTTCATCTTGTCTATCCTTCATTAAACTTAAAAAAAGACTATTATTGGCTGGGCGCGGTGACTCACGCCTGTAATCTCAGTACTTTGGGAGGCCGAGGCAGGCAGATCACCTGAGGTCAGGAGTTCAAGACCAGCCAGGCCAACATGGTGAAACCCCATCTCTACTAAAAACACACAAAAAAATTAGCTGGGCTTGGTGGTGCACGCCTGTAATCCCAGCTACTCAGGAGATTGAGGCAGGAGAATCACTTGAACCTGGGAGGCAGAGGTTGCAGTGAGCCGAAATCATGTCACTGCCCTCCAGCTTGGGCGACAAGAGTGAACAGCTGTCTCCAAAAAAAAAAAAAAAAAAAAAAAAAATTATCTATTGTTACTATTAAAGTCAATCAAAACATTGGGTGTGTTTTATAAAATTTCATTTTGTGTTTCATCTTCACGCTTAATACTAAATGCCATTATAAGTTGATGGAACAGGTTTGGCAAGAAGGGAGAATGAAATATTTATTTTATTTGAAAACACTGAGTTTGGGCTGGGCTCAGTGGCTCATGCCTGTAATCCCACCATTTTGGGAGGCCGAGATGGGTGGATCACTTGAGGTAAGGAGCTCAGGACTAGCCTGCCCAATGTGGTGAAACCCCATCTCTACTAAAAATACAAAATTAGCCAGGTGTGGTGGTGCATGCCTGTAATCCCAGCTACTGGGCAGGCTGAGGCAGGATTGCACCACTGCACTCCAACCTGGGCGACAAGAGTGAAACTCTGTCTCAAAAAAAAAAAAGAAAGAAAACACTGAGTTTGAAGTGCTCCTAAGGTATTTGAGATAGAGAGGCCAGTCAGTAGTAAAGTATACTCTGCAATAGAGAAGGATTTGTGGGTGGAGCTGAGAAAGCTACTGGAAGTAGTTTGAATTTGGTGACGAAGAAAAGCATGCTCAAGAGAGAAAAGATGTAACTTATTTAAATAGTGAATCAAAAATGCCAACATTAACCTAAGCAACTACACTTGACCCTCAGTCACCTGGACTTATGGTTGTGTATAAAGAACCGTGGCATTTTAATTGTGTCTTAAATATAAAGCAAGCTATCATGGTAAAATTTTGAGTTACTTACTAATTCCTAAAAGTAAGCCAAGTACAGTTTTAATTATCTTTCCTAACTTAGGTCTAAAAAGGACAGTCAAGATTTAGGTAGGTTTTACATAAAATTCTACAGATTCAGTAAAATACACTCAGTAAAATAAGCCTTTGGGGAATAAAACTTGTTATTCACTGCAATACCTTTAACATGACCTTTGTACTTTTTGCCAGGCTCAATACTAAGTGCTTTATACAGATTGTAGACAGATGTCGATAAATAACTACATAACTTTCTCTTCCTCTCTGTCTCCACATACTTAAGAATCCTGTCAGCTAGGTCCAGTCAATCCCTAAGAACTGGTTCCAAAATGACAGCCCCTCTCTCTCACTCAGATACCAAAATCCACAGATGCTCAAGTCCCTTATATGAAATGGTGTCATATTTGCGTATAACCTCCCCACATACTTAAAAATTATCTCTAGATTACTTATATAATCTAATACAATGTAAATGCTATGTGAATAGTTGTTATACTGTACTGTTTAGGGAATAATGACAAGAACAAAAAAGTCTGTGCAACCATCCACTTTTTTTCCTCTGAAATATTTTCAGTCCCTTGACTGAGTTCACGGATACAGAGGATGCACTGATAACTGTATTATTTCTTCCAACTTACATAAGAAGAACTGAAACTTACAAGAGGTGGTACCAATCTGCTCAGAGTCACACAATTCTGGCTCTTTGTGATATAAATACACTTTTTTAGGCAATATACTAGTGGTCTCCAAACGTTTTGTACTTGCACCCATTAAGCGAAAGAAATTTAAAATACACATTCCAACATAAAATTAATACCCTATGTTCCCCATAGAAATCAAACGAAATAAAGTAAATCTAAATAGAAGTTCTCATGTTCCCTCTCTACCCACACACCCATGGACCAAACTGCATGCCACTGTATATACTATCGTACATGTTAAAAGTTCACACAGCAACCATATAAAAGTCAGGAAATTTGGGTTTTTATTTTTTCCTTTGCATATATATTACTGAGAAGTCTGCCTTTAAAACACTGGCTTTTAATCTCCTACTCTGAAATATGCAGAGTAATAAGTGCTCACAAAACTTCTGTCTTGAGGGCTTAAACACCAAATGATTGCTCTAAGAATTTTCACAGTATTACCTCAAGCCCTATTGGTTCTACAACCCTTTCTCTACCCTAGAGTCGCGTTTTCCGCAATTCCCAATTGAGATTCTTCTCCGGTTCATTTCCGTAAGAAATGAGGGCAGAGAAATGCCATCAATAAACCTTTGAATACATGTTAATTTTTCTAGATAATACAATTTGCATTTTCGTAAAACTGGGCTTTAATGACAAATTCGATTTCAGTGATCTTTGCATACACCCTTCAGTGATCTTTGCATAACACCAGTTGCCGTCTGCGAGGTATCATCAGACTCATGCTAAGAGCCACTCCCGACCCCAGCTTTCTCCAGACCTCTCCCCACTTTATAGTTATTCGCCACAGCCCGGGGGAATCTGGGGACCGCCGCCTGGGAGAGAACGGCCCCGAGCCGACGCCAGATTTCCCGCGGCTCAGGAGACCGGTGCTGCCTCGGAGAGCGCGCGAAGGTGCCGCCCGCCGCCCGACCCGCCCGAGGAACGGACATCCCCCGCCCAGGCCCGCAAGGACGACCATGAACACCGCCGCAGCTCAGCTGACCCTGCCTCTCCCAGGTGGCTGGGGGTCGCCAACCAAGGGGGCAGCGGGCGGAGGATGAACCCCGGAGCAAGGGAAAGCGACAGCGCGCGCCTTCACCCTACCGCCAACAATTCGAAGTCTCCCAAAGGAACCTGATCGGCTGCCGTGGTACGACCGGCCGCTAAGGCCACCCTGCGGGTGTCTCGACCTCGGCTGACCGCCGCTGGCCCGCTGGGAACCGCGCGCCTGCAACAGGATAAGGTAGGATCCCGGGCGCCCCGGCGCCCACCGCGGGACTAACCGCGCTTGCGCCCCGCCCTCCCTCCCTTCGGGACTCCGCCCGCGCCTGCGCAGTTCCGGGGTTTCGCGCAGCCGGAGTCTGAGAGGCCGGAAGTGCCCCTTGGCGGGCGGGGGAAGCTGGTAGGCATCCGCTGCTCCGCAGTTACCGGACGCGGGGGAGGCGAGTGATTTGCCTAACTAAAAGGGAAAGATAACTGAGCGACCCCCTGCAACGGGTCTACGCATGCGTCCGCTGGGCCGGTTGGGCCGGCAAGGGAAAGCCGAGTGGGCCCCATTGGGGGAAAGGGGTCAGTCACTTCCCGGAAGAGGCGGGGCCGCGCGGGCCAGGCGCCGGATTCGAAAAGCTTCCTGGTGTTCCCGGGCCCGGCGGCTGAACCCGGGGCGCTAGTCTTTGCTTGGGTAAAGAAAGAGGACTTTTCTTTTTTTTTTCTTTTGAGAAAATTCAGGAATTTGGAGGCACAATAGTTAGGATTCAGGCCAAACTGGTAAATGACGAAGGGGCTTCTTCCAGAGCCAAGGAGGAAGGGTTGTCCGGGTAAGTCCGGCGGGACGTGGAGAGACTGCGCCGCTCGGGCCCTCCCGCTGGTTCTTTTGACCATCAGGGTTAGGGGTAAGCTCTTTGTTCGCTGCTCCTCCGAAAACGCCTTCAATGACTCCCTTTGAATAAAGTAGGAAGTCCGAACCGAGCTGCCAGGCCGCGACCTGGCCGCTGTTTTCCACTCTCGCGGGCCCTGCGGGTTACCCCGCCCCGGGAAAGCTGCTCGTTACCCGGCCGCTCGCGCTTAGCCGAAGCTGCTGGGTCCCGTTGTGCGTCCCCCGGGCATGCGATGGGGATAATTCCCACGCCTCGCTCAAAGCCGACCCGGCGAGCCCTCCCTGGTCCCCAAAGGCACAGTTGAGTGTTCCCTTTTCCGTGTTAACCTTGCATTTTGGATATAGTTCTGTTATAGTAATTACCTTAAGGGATTGTAGTTGTTTTTTTACGATCGTTCCTTCCCCCCCCACGGTAAACTAAAGTGTAAGCTCCCTAAATAAACGTCAGAATTAATGAAGTCTTACTTCCTTGGCTTAGGTTTCAGCGCCCTTCTCAACCCCACGCTACCCCTTCAGTCTTTACGCAACCCTTCCCATGAATATACCGACCTAGCAAGTAACCTACGTTTCATACTCCAAAATGTTCTCTTCTGTGTGGGGAAAATAATGCATTGACTGCCACCTCACCCCACCTTCAAATAAATTGATGTTAAAATTCTGGCCTCCAGTAATGGAATTCTTTCCATCAAAGTCACTTTTTATTTCTAAAAGTAATCACATATATATTATATTCCTACTGTGGCCCTTGCCATGGATCTACGAAAAATATGACATAGTCAAAATAGACCAAAGCATCTGGCCTTGTTGTAACCAATGGGAAACACAGTTGGGAGGTCCCTACTTGCATGTCACTTGCTTCAGGTACCGTTCCTTGATTCCTAAGTGGGGGACCTTTTTTCCTAAATACAACTATAGCTTGCTTTCTTACCTCTTACGCCCTTTTTATCTGCAGTCTCGCCTACCCTACTAAGGTCTTTAAATGCAGAGCTGGATCTTCTTCCATTATTGTATCTCCAGCACCTATAAAGCATTCCTGTTAAATAGTAGACATTTAATAAGTATTTATTGATAAGCGTGAATTATGCCTCAATGTTTAGGCTAAATTCATATGAAAATAAAATTGAAAAAATAATTTTAAAGAACAGCATTAGTTACCGAGATTATGTGGTAAATCCCTTAAAATATAATCTTGCATTGAAATAGTTTTCACCATTTACCAATCTTTATATTAATATATACTCATCTAAATGGAAATTGGGAAATGTAAGCATTTTCTGCTTTTCCAAAGTAAATTTTCTAATGTTTTTCCTAAAGCTGAACTAAATTGGAAAACCTTGCTTTAATAAAGTGTGTATTTTTGCATCATTTAAGCCCCTGACCTCTTTATGTTCTTTAAATTTGATTCATTAGTGAAATTAACAAGGTTCTGTGTTTTTCTCACCTCATTCAGTTTTATAATTAACCAATAAAAGCTTATTAGCTTTTAAGGAAGTTTTAGGAACTTAAATTGATTTATGGGCACCATATGGTTACATCAAAGGACTTGTTTTTGTTTTAACTGGAAGTGGATTCTTAAGTCCTTTAAGATGGACATTTATGTTCTTTCTATTATACCAAGCAATACTTTCTGAAATAGAGTGATTTTTTTTTTTATTCCATGCTACCAGTTGGTCATGAGATTCAAATATTAGATACTAGATTACAGATACTAGAATCTTGTAATTCATCTGGTTTAATACCTGTCATTTTGTAGAAAGGTTGAATGTCTTCCCAAGGTCATACAGCTAATCAGTGGTATATTCAAACCCCAAATCCTAGGCTTTCTATCTGAAGTCCATTGCTTATAAAGTTGTTAGCTATGTGTTCTGACTTTGTTGATTCAAATAAGTAAGCTAAATAAATTGAAGCCATTAATAGATTTATAAAGTTATTTGCTATATTGTTCTTACGTCATTGGTTCACGTAAGTAGGTTTGTGTGACAGCTAATTCTTAAAAACTTATGAAGATGTTAGACTTCTTTTGATATATAATATATATGTTGATTGTATGAACAGATTGACATCAATATAATTATTCATTATAAAAGATTTGAGTGGGAACTCACCAAATCCCACACCAAAAAAATTTAAAATTTTACCATAGTAAAAAAAATAAAAAGCAAGATGAAATTATACATAGTTCTTCGTGTGGTATTTTTAATTTTTATTTATTTATTTTTACAGAAATGGGGTCTTACCATTTTGCCAGGCTGTTCTCAAACTCCTGGCCTTAGGTGATCCGCCTGCCTCGGCCTCCCAAAGTGCCAGGATTATAGGCATGAGCTACCATGCCCAGCCGGTGTAGTATTTTTAAATTTTACTTAATACTGAGCCATTTTCAAATAACCTCATCACGTTATGACCTCATGCAAGAACCATCTGTTCTATCTTTCAGTGTAGTTGTACTTTAATATCTTAGAAGCTATTGCATTCTGTCCTGTTTTGGAATGTTTTATGCTTTTGCAGTCTTAACCATTGCTTCTTAATATCACTTCCGAGGAATAGCTGGTGCAAACAACATGTGATAAGAAATGGAAAACAATTGATGATGGAAACAGAGATTTGGGGTTAATTGCATTCTTAAAATATTATGATGTTCTTTCTAATAAAATGTACATTTCACATAATTTTCCACTTTCAGAAGTAACCATGGTTAATCATTCTTTAAACCAGGTTCGTTTCCAACAAAAGAAATGAAATAATAACTAAATTCTAACCATAGTAATCATGTAATATTAAAGATATTATTTATGGGATTAGTTGAAAGCCCTCTTTATCTTGCTTAGGGGTTTCCAATAATCAAATCAGTGCTGGACTTTTTTTTTTTTTAAAGGCATGGCTGCCCCCCCGTTAATAATATATTTAATTAAAAGCTTTACAAAATGATCCTAATATACTTGAAATACTTAGAGGGCTGCAGTTTATAAAATCAAGAGTCTGCCTTGTTGCTGTTTCATTTTTTTTTTTACCATAACCCTCAGAAAGAATACAATTGACATCACAGTCCTATATATAAATGTGTGTTTATGTGTGCCATTGTAAACATCACTGCACTAGGTGGCAATCTTCACTACTATTCATTTGTATATGTGTAGTCAACCAACGAAAGGAAACATTAGAAACAGGGTAGGAATGTTGAAACTTAGAACTGGAAGTTGCCAGAGAAAATACGTGCCCTGGCCAACTCCACAGGACTGGTTCTAGGCAATCTGAAGGAAACCAGAAAATGTGAATCTCTCTTCCCTCAAAAAGCTATACTGAAGTAGTATTTAATATTCAAGTACTTGTAAATTTGCAGAACAGTACTTTTTAATTTGACCCATGAATTCTGTTTAAATTTGTCACTTAATATTTAGCCAAGAAGCAAACCATCTAAAAAGATTTCTAATTTATTTCTCCAACTCCTAATAAATAGGGTGACATATTTTTTAACTTTTTTCTAATTTGAAAAGTATACAGGTATGTGGTATTTTAAAAATGAAACAACACAAAGGGATATGTTTTGAAAAGTGGTTCTTGCCATCCCTGAACTATAATCATCCCTAACATATTCATACCTGTTTTCATTTTAAAACTTGCATCCGTTTTTTTATTAGTACCTGTATTTCTATCCTACTGATTTATTTGCGATATCATCTAATTTAGTTTCAATATTGCATAATTTACTTAATTAGTCCTCCATGGAGACCTGGCTCTTCTCAGTGTCTTACTATTGTAAACAATGTTACAGTGAATATTGTTGTATATAAATCCATACACACCACATAACATATCTTAAATTCCTGGAAGAGATATTGCTAAACCAGAAGATAACCTGCATTTAAAATTTTGACTGCTAGGGTCAGGGTCACATTTAAATGAAATTAGAACAAAGGAATTGCCTAATTTTCTTTGATAGCAATCTATTCCAGTATGCACCGTGAGTCACAAAGGAAAGCAAAACTGTCAAGAACTTTCTTCTCGGACTTTTGGTTTAATGTGTTCTGATGGGTTAATAATTTGCCTCATTTCTCTTCATAATAATGACCTTAAGAATATATGTACCCCACTCTTTCCAGAATTAACCACAACTTTTCACAGTAACTGAATCAATGCCACAATGGTACATTCAACCAGTGGGGCTTCAGGATGTGAAATAGACAATATTAGTTCTGGGTCACTGTTACTACCAAATACTTTCTTGACCCTTTAAGTCTGTATATTTTTATCTGTAAAGTGACATCCATAGATGTCACTGTACACTTCATAGAAATGAGTACACAGAATAATACTCATGGCAGAGCTGGGTGCGGTGGCTCATGCCTATAGTCCCAGCACTTTGGGAGGCTGAGGCAGGCAGATCACTTGAACCTGGGAGGCAGAGGTTGCAGTGAGCCGATATCTCGCCTCTGCACTCCAGCCAGGGTGACAGAGCAAGACCCTGTCTCAAAAAAAAAAAAGGAATAATACTTATGGCACCACTGGCCACACTGTAAAATTCAGGTTCAGAAAAACAGGATAAGTCACAGACAGCAACCCTTCCAGCATTTATTTTCTTTGCATCCATATGCAATTTGAGAAAATTTACTTTTAGAAAGAACTCTGTTAAAGGTACAGACAATACAGTACTTTTTATTCAGAAGGTTTCTGCATAAAGGTGATAGTCTTTTGACTTAATATATTCTTGTCTCCTACGTTGTGTTTTTGGAATGAATTAAGATTATGATTTAGAGGATAATAATCTGGGTTATATTTGTGTCGTCAGATTGAATTTTCATTGCACATGCTACATAATGTCAATTATTATAACCAAATAATAACAAAGGGAAAGAAAACCAAATATGGATATAATAAGGAAAAGCTGGCCTATAGAAAATACCAAACCAGGTAACAGTAGCAAAGTTTAAGCCAATTTTGTTTTTAAAATGTCATGTACGTGGAAAAACATTTAACTTTAGTTTTCTTTGGGTGGTGGTTAAAAGTTATAAGTGATTAAAAGTTGTTTTCTTTTTCTACAATGAACATGATGTGACCTTGCAATTTAAAAAGCCAACGCCCTTTTTAGAAAGGTATGTCTATCAGTATTCCTCCAACTTCATTTTCTCTCGTTTCTTCCTCCCTCACTTTTCTAAGTTTTCCTTCATTAACCTCATTTTTCTTTAGCTTGTTTGCATGCTTCCTTGCTTTTGTTTTTTTGTTTTTCCTGGGTATGATAGAGAATTAGTCGCACTCTCCAAGTATGTAAATCAAGGAGTGAATTTTCAAGTAGACAAAAATGATTTACAGCATCCCTGCGTTCTCGACCCATCTCTGCATTTGTTAGCTCTTGTTTTTAGCTGGGAAAAAGCCAGTTACCACCATTTTAACATTTCAGGTGTTCTTGATTCATTTTGAAAAGCTAACTGATTAAAGAAATAAGGATAATCCTCCATGAATTATCCTGAACTGACTTATAATATATTGTTTGAATCCCTGTTATGAGCTTCTGTTTCTTTAACAATATTTTGTAAAGTGTGTTTCACATAACAGCAGATAATCACCAGAATGGGAGTGAATGACTTGTGGCAAATTTTGGAGCCTGTTAAGCAACACATTCCCTTGCGTAATCTTGGTGGGAAAACCATTGCAGTTGATCTGAGTCTCTGGGTGTGTGAGGCACAGACAGTCAAAAAAATGATGGGCAGCGTCGTGAAGCCCCACCTCAGGTATAGTGAAAGTTCTTAGAGTATCAATGTATGATGTATAAATAGTTTTGGTGTCTTGATTTTGTTTTACCTTTTTTTTCTTTTGTTGTTGTTATTCTTTTACATTTTGAGGTTTCAAGATCTGTTTAACATGTCTATATTCACCATCTTTATATTAAGGACTCAGATTTGTACCTCATACCCTTTGAGCTCCAGACTCACATATCTATCTCCTACTTAACGTATCCGCTAGGATGCTTCAGATACTAAAAGCCAGAGATTTGGGAGACATTTTCTCCCTATTCTACTTCTCTCTACATCAGTAAGTCTTGCTAGTTCTACCTCCAAAATATACTTTGTGTTCACAAACTTATCTCAGTGGCCAGAGGCACCCAACCACCTTAGTCTATGCCGACCTCATCTCTCATCTGTACTCCTGAAGTGCCATCTTCACTAGTTTCTTGCTCTTGGCCACCCCTACCTCAAACCATTTTCCACATAGCAATTAGAATAATCATAAATCTTTGTTGCTTAAAAATATTCAGTGGTTTGGCTGGGCGCAGTGGCTCACGCCTGTAATCCCAGCACTTTGGGAAGCCGAGGTGGGTGGATCACAAGGTCAGGAGTTTGAGACCAGCCTGGCCAAGTTGGAGAAACCCCATCTCTACTAAAAATAAAAAGAATTTAGCTGGATGTGGTGGCGGGTGCCTGTAATCCCAGCTACTTGGGATGCTGAGGCAGGAGAATCTCTTGAACCTGGGAGGCGGAGGTTGCAGTGAGCCGAGATCACGCCACTGCACTCTAGCCTGGGCAACAGAGTGAGACTCCGTCTCAAAAAAAAAAAAAAAAAAATCAGTGTTTTTGGCCAGGCACAGTGGCTCACACTTGTATTCCTAGCATTTTGTGAGGCTGAGATGGGCGGATTATTTGAGCTCAGGAGTTCAAGACCAGCCTGGGCAACATGGTGAAACTCCATCTCTATAAAAAATACAGAAAGTTAGCCGGGCATGGTGTCACACACCTGTAGTCCCAGCTACCTGGGGACTGAGGCAAGAAGATCGCTTGAGCCAGGAGGTTGAGGCTGCACTGAGATGAGATCATGCCACTGCACTCCAACCTGGGTGACAGAGTGAGACTCTTGTCAAAGAAAAAAAAAAAAAAGTGGTCTTCCACTCTAATTAAAACCTTAAGTAAAATGTTATTACATTAAAGTTTTTGATACTAGTCTAATGTTCTTGCCTTTATGTTATACTATTTTGACTTTTACTATGAGTGTATGATTAATATGTTACTAATTTATATATTTCAGGAACTTATTTTTTCGTATCTCATATTTAACACAAATGGATGTAAAACTGGTGTTTGTTATGGAAGGGGAACCACCAAAGCTGAAAGCTGATGTCATAAGCAAGAGGAATCAGACTCGGTATGGGTCTTCTGGAAAATCGTGGTCTCAGAAAACAGGGAGATCACATTTTAAATCAGTCTTAAGAGAGGTGAGCATTCAGATTTGATTCAGTAATTCTGATTTGATTTAAAGGGTACATTTTACTCTTAATAGTTTGTCATCTTTTATACTTATTAATTTTATTGTGACTAGCCAGCCAGTGTGCATAGAGAAAAGAGCTTATTTTTTAGAGTGAAATTGACCTGAGTTTCATTCCTGGCACTGGCATGTAGAAACTCTGAGACATTGAGCAAAATTTGTAACCTGTCTCTACCTTGTATGCTATCTTGTGAAATGACAACAGTAATACTCAGCCCGGATGAGATAAAAATAAGAGAAAGTATATCCAAAGCAACTAGTACATAGTAGGAACTTGATCGTATTACCTTTTATAACACCTTTAGGACTTAAAGAATTCCCAGAATACATGAGATCTCATTAATTCACACTTCACTTATTCAGAATTCATAATAGTTCATATACAGAATACATATTTGGCTTCCCTTAGGGCTTGTAATTTTAAAAACTAATTATTGTTACATTACAATGTATTCTTTGTATGTTACTTTAATATTGCTATATTTTATATTTGTATAAAACTTAAGAAAGAAATCGCCTATAATGTATAATTAAAACAATAGGAAGGTTTGTTTTTTTTTGTCTGTGTGTTTTTTGTTGTTGTTTTTTTTTTTTTTGAAAAGTAGTCTCGCTCTGTCGCCAGGCTGGCATGCAGTGGCGTGATCTCGGCTCACTGCAGGCTCCACCTCCCGGGTTCTCGCCCTTCTCCTGCCTCAGCCTCCCGAGTAGCTGGGACTACAGGCACCCACCACCACACCCAGCTAATTTTTTTGTGTGTTTTTTAGTAGAAACCATGTTAGCCAGGATGTTTCACCATGTTAGCCAGGATGGTCTCCATATCCTGACTTTGTAATCCACCCGCCTCAACCTCCCAAAGTGCTGGGATTACAGGCGTGCGCCACAGCGCCCAGCCTTTTGTGTCTGTTTTCAAGTGTGTGTAAAGAGTTGTAGTGGTACACATGATTTTTAACCTGGCCTTTTCACTTAATGCTTCATGTTGTCATATCTCCCTTTTGTCACACTCTAATCGAAATCATAACTTGTAGTGGTTGTGCAACATGTATGAAGCTGTGAATCATACACCCGATTGTATATGTTATTTACTTTTTTAGTTTTTCTCTACTATACATGAAAGTGTGATGAACATTTTTTGTGTATATAATGTTTTCTTGTGATTTGAAATTTTAGATAAAATTACCCAATGTTGGATTGATGGGTGAAAGTTTTGGAATGATTTTATTGCTCTTGCTGGTTAATTTCTGCTAATACAGATGTCAGAGAAGCAGTGTCAGTGCATTCACAAGAACATTGGTTGTTAGGAGGCTTGTCTTTGTAATATTTTGTGTGCAACAACAAAGATATTTAATATGCATTTGTCTTTTAATAGTAACGTTAAACATTTCACCTATTTTTAGTCCCCCTTTGGGTAATGGCTATCATGTCCTTCACCCACTACCTCTTGAGGTTTTAATTTTTCTTTTGTGCAAGTTCTTTGTGTTTTAAGGATATAAGCTTTTATCATATTTGAATTTGTTTTTCTTTTTAATTTTAGTTAAAAAAAATTATGCCATTTTTCTCCTCTTCTGAAATTTTATTTTCTATGCTTACGTTTAAAAATAGTTTTCAATTAGTGAATATTCCACCTTAATGACTATCAGCAGTTGAAGAAAATATCTGTGCTGAGTCAGTCAGTTGCTGGAAATATTCATGGTCCTCAATCTTAGAGTGTTAAAGAACCAGCATAAAACAAAAAAAGAGATGTCCGTGTCTTCTTAAGAAAATTGCTCCATTCCTGTTTCTTTATCGCTGCAGTAATTACGGTGTTCTTAGGCATTTTGTGTCAGTTCAGTATTGCCTATTCGTCATTTTTATATTTCTGTACTCTTCAGTTACTAGGCCCTGCTTCCTCCTCATCCACTGCCATCTTTTAGGTATTAGCATGAAAAGCACAAATTAGTCCTCCTCCAGTACCACTTCCACCCCACATGGTAGAGACATAGAGTGGGAAAAATTGCAACAGCCTTATAGGAAACTCTGTGCTGGTTCTTTGAAAAAATTTGAAGTGGCAAATAGTATAAGGAGTTGAAATAACTGTATTATGAAAGGCTACTTTTTACCTAGGGGTAAGGTGGAAGCAACACTGTCACAAAACTGTCTCTCTAAATTCACGGGGCCAGCGTCCTGAAAAGCAATATTTTTCAACATAGTACTTTGACTTTTTGAACCTTGTCCACCTTGGTGGATAGAGGTATTTATTATGTAATGTGGTGTGGAAGTCAAAGCAAGAGATAATATTTATTCTATCAGCCTCTAGAAACTACAAGTAAGTAGCCTTTTCTCTCCACCATACTCAGTAGTCCCTGATAGAGAATGATACATGACAAAAAGAAATGGTGTATGACAAGAAAGAATGAACTAGGCTATAAGGCTACTAGACTACTAGCTACCCAGCTGGGTTAAAATCATAAACCAAAGGAAACTCACAGCAAATTATTTGTACATCAGCATAATGATGTAATCATTCTGCACAAACATTTGATTTCCTAGGAGGACACTGACAGCTGACTCCTCCACAGTTTCCCACAATATGAGAGTTTCATTGTACAGGGAAGGCAAGATGAGAAAAAGATGCAAACATTAAAATTCAAGCCAAAACTCTATGATAGCATCTTCTTTGAAAGTATGCATATTGGGTTGACCATCATGTGAGAAAAATTATTAAAGTTTTGTAGATGTAAATTTTTTTTTTTTTTTTTGAGACGGAAGTCTCGCTCTGTCACCCAGGCTGTAGTGCACTGGTGCGATCTCGGCACACTGCAACCTCCACCTCCTGGGTTCAAGTGATTCTCCTGCCTCAGCCTCCCAAGTAGCTGGAATTACAGGCATGCACCACCATGCCCAGCTAATTTTTTTATTTTTAGTACATGTTGGCCAGGATGGTCTCAATCTCTTGACCTCGTGATCTGCCCGCCTCGGCCTCCCAAAGTGCTGGGATTACAGGCGTGAGCCACCGCGCCCAGCTCTTTGTAGATGTAAATCTTAATGTGATTAATTATTATTTAAAGATATTTTCAGAATCTGACGATAATAGCAATGAAATGTGAATATGGATTACTTTGTAATTTACATTAAAATCTTAATTTTTTATTACAGAAAAATTTAAATCAACACAAAAGTAACCCATTACCAATCTTAAACCATTATCTTGGCTCATCTTGTTTCATCTATTCCCCTACCCACACATCATTTTGAAGCAAATCCTAGACATAATATTGTATCATTCCCAGTATTTAATCTTTTCTAAAAGATGATTCCTAAAAAATAAAAAGAAACATAACCACAATGTAATTTTTATTAGCACACCTAAAAGTTTGGCAGTTCATTCCTTAAAGCCCTCAAATATTCAGTCATTATTCAAATTTCCAAGTGTTTCTTAAATATCGCAATTTTTAAAACACCAAAATAGCTACTATTAATATTTGTAATACAGAAGTACGTTTAATAGTAAACAAATGAGCAGTGAAGACATTCTCTAACATCTTGCTTTTGGTTTTCAGTGCCTCGATATGCTCGAATGCTTAGGAATCCCCTGGGTTCAGGCTGCCGGGGAAGCTGAAGCCATGTGTGCTTATCTCAATGCTGGTGGTCATGTCGATGGCTGCCTCACCAATGATGGCGATACTTTCCTTTATGGGGCCCAGACTGTTTACAGGAATTTCACTATGAATACAAAGGTGTTTATTTTCTTTCTGTTTTTCAGCATTTGTTTACGAACTTTTTTAAAGGGCTGATTAAATGAAATACTAGATATAAAATGCCTACTGTAATGCCTTGCACATAGCAATTGCTAAATAAAATGTTTACTATTATTAAAAATCATTGCCATGTAGTTCATTGTCTTCAAAATATAGATTTATCTCATAAGAACTTGACTTGTTTGTTTCACATGGTTTGATTCTAAATCAGTTTCAAAAATACATCATGAATTGCGTATGAAAATGTGTTGCTTTGATCCTGAATTTCCAGTTTAGTATTTCATCCTCAGAAATACCTCCAAATATGCAAAGAGAGAGATATAAAGATGTTCACTGTAGCATTGTTAATAATTACAAGAATTTGGCAAGCAACCCAAGTGTTCATTGATAGGGACATGGTTAAATACTTCACACTTACTGGTTCCCAGTTGGAGAGATACCACTGGGAGACATTTTGGTTGTAACAGTTCAGGCTTGGGCAAAGGAGACTATAGATATGTGGTGGCTTGGTGCCAACCAAACTAAACCTTCTGCCAGACATTTCTGTTATCCCTCCCAAAATGCTAATATTAGCACCCCCATTGAGAAACACTGTTTCAGAGTCCATATGATGTAATACAGTACGGTCATTGTAAAGGCTATTATTGACATAAAAGATATCCAGACATATTAATGTTGGAAAATGTCTCAAAATAGTATTTTTATATAATCCTACTTTTACTTAATGTAATTAACAATAAATATTCATATATATGTGTCAAAGAAGATGGTTTTTTGGAATAATATGTACCAAGCTATTAATGATAGTTTAGGCAGTGCAATTACAGGGAATGTTTACTTTCTATAATATATATATGTTACAGTGTTTTGTAAGATGGAAATCTGTATTTTTTAGACACCAGAAAGCAATAAAATGGAAAAATATTGGCTAACATAGTTATTTTTAAGCCATTTTTGAAACTACAACTTTATTTCCATATATTGAAATGTCAGATTCTATAAAGATTCTGCTGATCAGGATAGTTTTCTTATATAAATTTTTTGGAATAATTAAACTTTTTTTCTTTTTTGAGACGTAGTCTCACTGTATCACCCAGGCTGAAATGCAGTGCTGTGATCTCGGCTCACTGCAACCTCCTCCTCCCGGGTTCAAGTAATTCTTGTGCCTCAGCCTCCCGAGTAACTGGGACTGCAGGCACGTGCTGCCACACCTGGCTAACTTTTTTGTATTTTTAGTAGAGATGGGGTTTCACCATGTTAGCCAGGCTGGTCTCAAACTCCTGACCTCAAGAGATCTGCCCGCCTTGACCTCTCAAAGTGCTGGGATTACAGGCATGAACCACCATGCCCAGCCTGGAATAATTAAACATTTAAAGATAACACTGACAAATTATTTTTGTAATGTTGTTTAATGTATAAATATGTACTTTTTAAGGATTAAACTAAATCTGTTCTTTCTTTAGGACCCACATGTTGACTGTTACACAATGTCAACTATCAAGAGTAAACTAGGTTTGGACAGAGATGCTCTGGTTGGATTAGCAATACTTCTTGGTTGTGATTATCTCCCAAAGGTAAGCTGAAATTGTCATATTTACTTGCTATTCATAAGTCTTTTTCGTACCTTATGTGCTGTATAAATGTGAATATAATATGGCTATATGATTAAAAATTGAATTTAAAATATAATTTCAGGCATAATAACCTATTCAGTGACTAAAATAATCAGCATTTCAGATGGCACTAAAAAGCTGACTTGTGACACTTAATATTATAAGCAAGAATAGAATAATGTAGTACCACAGCTTGAATCTCAGTAAACTGTTACTCTAGATTAAGAGATTCACATTTATGTTTGACTATCTTTTTAAATAAATATAGGAGTTATTCTTTTCTTGTATTATGCCATTGTTAGTTTCTTTCCCCCTTTTTTCTATTTTTTAGTGTTCTGTATTCTTTGTGCACATGCTCAATGCTATTACTGTTGCTAAGTCATGTGATCATTGGGATAAGCCATTCATATTTCCATGCCTCTCAGCGTTGTGCTGGGTTTTGTTCATGGAAATATTTTATTTATATCTTAAGATGCACAATCTAGTGCTCTGTAACAAATAGGTATAACAGGTGAGTGATGAGTTAAGTATTATGAGAATAATCCCATTTTCTTAAATGTAGTGTTTAAAAATATAAAATGATTGGTATTGTAGATCTTACTATGTAGTTCCCTTATTATGTTCCTACTGATTATTTCTATAGCCTTACAAATCCCTCATTTTACCTCTATTCCCAAGAGAAGTATAAAGAAGAATGACATGTAATTTTTTTTCCATCTAAGCTCAGGAGAAAGGAAAATATAGTAGGATAATAAAATTATTAAGCCTAATTTATAATTTATATCATCAAAGAACTTTTTTTAAACTGTTAGGAAAAGAAAGCAGAAGGAAAGAAACTTTTAAATACCACAAACCATTATTTTGTTGTAATTCTCCTTCTAAAATAGAAGACTATTTCGTAAATAAAATTATATCATAATTAAAATCTATAAACAGCCCAATGTTTAATTTAAGAAAAAATTTGCTGACTTGAACTCACAGAAACCAACTTTAGCTACAGTGGTGTTCAAATTATGTGTTAGCCATAGCTATATTGACCTTTTGTGTTTTTTAAAACCAAAACTGCTATGTGTTTCCATTGTTCTACTTAAAGATTTTTAAGACTATGTACTAACTTGATTTGCCTTCAGAAACTTTAAAGATAAAGCTAATGCTAATACAAGAAGGGTGATACTCAAGATATCTAATAACGTGTATGCCAGACATAGGCAATAGAGATGGAAGAGACTTCTGGGTATCCCTGCTGTGCCATAGACGCTCTTCTTAGTAGCTGGATTCTGGGTATAGGTGGATTGGGAAGTGTTCAGGTTAGATGGGACATTCCTGTGCAGGCAGATACTCAGAATGCTTGGGCAGTAGTTATTTACTAACCAGTTAACATGAGTGTGTCAATCCTAGTGCATACTGGTTAAATAACAGCTCTGCTTATAAGGACATAGTCATACACTTATAGGGGCTGGAAGACTCAGTTTAAATCAGAAATTGTGATAGGAATATACATTAAGGCATATCATTTTTGCATATTGGAAATTCACCCTTTAAATTTTCTTAAGTTTTTAATTTCAAGAGTTAGAACGTTCCTTTGTTCTCTGTTTATGTCTGGGTTTTGGAACATTAAATGTTCATGTAATGAAATGAACTTGCTTTTTCCTGATTACAAACATAGAGTTAGGTTATAGGTTAAATTAAAATATTATCCAAATAATTAACATAGTAAATGAAAGCCCTCTAAAATTATGACCCTGCCTTCCCTAAAATAAACACCATCAGTGTTTATTTTTTATAACTCTGAATTTTAACTCTGAATTTTTTATTTACATAGATATCAGTGTAATTGTCATTTACTTTACAAATCCTGATCATATACACTATTGTGCAGTTTTTGTTTTATGCATAGCAATGTATCTTGCACATGTTTTCCTATCTTTATTTAAGAGTTACCTCATTCTTTCTTTCAGCTGCAGACTCTTCCATTCAATTAATGTACTTTTAACCATTCCTAGTGATTAACATTGGAATTATTTTTTTTCCACTTTCTGAAAGGGAGTCCCTGGAGTTGGAAAAGAGCAAGCATTAAAACTTATACAGATTTTGAAAGGGCAAAGTTTACTTCAGAGGTAACTAATAATTACTTTCTCTTGCAACATTGAACTTTTATTCTTGCTGAACTTAATAATGAATAGTACAAAAAACAATTGTTTCCCAAAAAAGGGTTTTGTATTTTTAAACTGACCTATATTTTGATTTAAGATAATTTATTTTTATTTATTTTGAAATTTTCCAAAGGAAGGATGAGAATACATGTTCTAAGCCGTACTGCATTTTTTTTTTTCTTTTTTGGAGACAAGGTCTCACTGTGTTGCCCAGGCTACAGTGCAGTGGCGCAATCACTGCTCACTCCAGTCTCAACCTGCTGGGGTCAAGTGATCCTCCCACTTCAGCCTCCTGAGTAACTGGGACAACAGATATGCACCACTGCGCCCAGCCTCCAAACTGCGTTTAAAATATATATATTATTTACATTAAACATGTTAATATATTAATTTTTAAAATTTTTTTTGTAGAGATAGGGTCTCCCTATGTTTCCCAGGCTGATCTTGAACTCCTGGGCTCAAGTGATCCCCCGCCTTGGTTTCCCAAAGTGTTAGGATTACATGCGTGAGCCACGGTGCCTAGCCACTATACTGCATTTTAAAAAATCTTATTAGCTCACTAAACACATTTAATACAATATCAAGTGCATTTGGCCGGGCGCGGTGGCTCAAGCCTGTAATCCCAGCACTTTGGGAGGCCGAGACGGGCGGATCACGAGGTCAGGAGATCGAGACCATCCTGGCTGACACGGTGAAACCCCGTCTCTACTAAAAAAATACAAAAAACTAGCCGGGCGAGGTGGCGGGCGCCTGTAATCCCAGCTACTCGGGAGGCTGAGGCAGGAGAATGGCGTGAACCCGGGAGGCGGAGCTTGCAGTGAGCTGAGATCCGGCCACTGCACTCCAGCCTGGGCGGCAGAGCGAGACAAAAAAAAAAAAATATATCAAGTGCATTTATGTACGACCATGGGCATTTTGACACTAGCTATTTTAAACCCTTTTACCAACAGGTAAAGATAAACATGACATTAAAATAATTTTGTATTTAATACTTTGATATTGTATTTTTCTTTCTGTAAATTAAATGTCTGTGGCATGTTGTAAATATTTAATAATAAGCAACATTAATCGAAATCATACTTGACTGGCCTTTGCTTTATAGCTACATATTTAATAATAACATGAATTAATTTAGTCTCTACAGTTTGAGGATTCAGAACAAGATGCAGACTATATAGAAGTTAACAAGCTATGCTATTTACTGTCTCAAAAACACATGAATTATATTTACTGATGAAAGCAGTGCTTTATAAAAATTAATATTAATGATGATAGGTATAGAATCAATAAGAAAGGAAGTAGGACACTGGGAAACTTAAAATAGTCTTGGCCTCCAGCAGGTTCAAGATGGCAAGTGCCTGAAAAGAAATGTTAAGAGGTAAAAATGAAAAAGGAATGACCATGAAAAATACATCGAATCACTGTATTCTTTCCTATGATACTTCTCTTTTAGCTGTAAAACTGTTGATAAATCTTAAGACTTCAATAAATCCATTATTGACATCAGTTATTACTGTGCCAAAGCAAGCAAGAAAATGTATACTTTGGCATGGGGGTGAGTTAAGGAATCATTTGGGAATTGTAAAAAATAATATAAAGAAGGAAAAGCAAGTGAATATAACAACTGGCTAACTCCAAACCATTCTTATTGAAACAGTTTCAGCAAATAAGTGCTGCTGACACTTGAAAATAATAAAATTACATTTATTTTATAATCATCTTTTATTCTGTTTTATATACTGACTTTTCCTGCCAGTTACTTTTAATTTTTGAAGTGCAGTTCTTCATCTGGAAGCAATTAATGCTAATTTTTAACAGGCTTGTACTTGGTCTTTGTAGTAAATGTGTTAGAAATTCCAGAAGCTAAATAGTAACTCTTAAGTACCAGATACTGCACAATGACCTGAAGAGATAATTTAGCTTTTTATAAAAACTTCAACTTGTGTGAGTAGAGGAACATAATTCAGAACACATATGTTTTATGATTAATACCTAACCATATCCTTTGTGGCTTTATATAACCTGGAACTTTAGCCAAAAACAAAATTAACTTTTAATTAGTGGAAATCTTTATAGTAATATACATTTTTCTTAAAATCTTTTATGAAGCAGGTAATGTTTTGCTCTATGAACAAGAGATTAAGAAATGATCATTTTAGATGATTTAGCTTTTTGATGCAGTTTTCACCCAGAAGATTAATGTTTTATTTAATTTTCTACATTACTCTTTACCCTTCTTTCTGAGATAGAGAAATGTTCATGATTCTGTTTTGTACTGTGGCACACAGAGATCAAAAGGAGACATTTACAAATCAGTCTACTCACATATTGCTGCCTAACTTAAGATTCTTAAAAAAAAAAAAAAAAAAAAAGGCTGATTGGAGAGATATATATATATATATATATTTTTTTTTTTTAAAGAGATACAGATATATAGATATACACACACACATATACTCTCTCTCCTGTCTTGCAGTTCTGCTGTCCTTGGGCCTTGGGGCCACATTTAAAACTTGTGACTGAGGGTTTTCCCATGCTAGGCCAGCAACTTTATCAACCACCCAAGGGAAAATAATTAGGTAGGTGAAAGGGAATAGATGAGCCTGATACTTGAGAACATATCGGTTTTGTGACCTCATTTTTTTTCCTTTTTTTAAAAACCACTTTCTATTAAAGGTTTAATCGGTGGAATGAAACATCTTGTAACTCTAGTCCACAACCGCTAGTCACTAAAAAGCTGGCTCATTGTTCTGTATGTTCCCATCCAGGTAAGGAGACATAGGGAATTGTTATTAGTATCTCATACCTATGTTTTAATTCTTGTTCACATAGTACTTTTTACATACCAATGCTAATAATACTTTGAAGGGTTTTACATTGTCTTCTCCACTAGATTGGGAATTCCTTGAAGTCAGTTTTGTTATATACACATAGTAGTCAGTAAATGTTTGTTGAAACCAATAATGTGATGTAGATGATAAATATAGGATAACTACAGTTTCAAACCATGATACCAAATTAATTAGATCTTAAAATTATGTTTTCAATATAGAAATCCATTTTAAGAAAAAAATATATACTAATAAGTCTTAGGGAAAATGGAACTGAAACCATTTGTTAATATATTGGTGATTTGTATTTATCCACTTAAAAGATTCGTCATTGTCCTATAATGCATTTTAATTGTGTATGAAGACAGTGACTTAAAACTAATTTCTAATGTTTACTATTGTTGAGAATAGCTTAGATCTTGTTCATTAGTCTTGGTTTAAAAAAAAAAAAAAGGTACTGCAGAACACGTACTGGATCAGAAAGGCCTTTCATTCCCAAAAGAGAATAGGATGTCATGTTAACTCATCTTTTAAAAGAAATTCTGCTATATCTAATTGTCTTAATATATTTTTATTAACATTATTATAGATAAAATCATGGAAGAAAATAAATGTTTTTATAAGTAAGATGCTATTGTATAGTTTTTTGATAACTTACAAATGACAATTTTAGGTCATATCCAGTATATATGCTCTTACATATTCTCAAGACAATGTTGAAAGTAATCACACTTTCCTTTTAAAGGGAATTAAATTTCCACACCCGTGCCACAGTCATCATTTGTTCATGTTCCAAGGATAGTTTAAAAATAACTGTAACTGAGAGCTAGACACTAGCAGAGGTAATTAACTGCTATATTCTTTTAATACACTCATTAAAGAAACTATTCTATTAGAGCTATTCTATTAAGTAAATAATCTTTTTTTTGCCAATAATTACATTCTAGTTTTTATGCATGTAGCTTCTACTTAAACCAGAAAGTTTTCTGTTGTTGATTATTGTAAATGTGTAGTTTCAAATGTCTAATTAACACTTTCAAATAGAAGAATAATTTTTTCTAAAGTGTCATGTGATAGTAATAGTTCAAGATCTACTTGAGCCCAAGAATTACTATGGTGTCTATTACTCTATTCATCCTAAATGTATTGAAACCTTTCTATATGCTAGGTAGTGTGCTAGGCAATATTAATTTTGGAAAATGTAGATACAGGCAAAAAGAATGTATGTGGAAAGTAATTATAAAAGGCAAAAGATATACTTGTTTTGGGTCTCCATAAAGGTTCACCTAAGGATCATGAACGTAATGGATGCAGATTATGTAAAAGTGATAAATATTGTGAGCCACATGACTATGAATACTGCTGCCCTTGTGATTGGCACCGCACAGAACATGATAGGCAACTCAGTGAAGTAGAGAACAATATGAAGAAGTAAGTTTGTTTAAAAACTCATGATTTTTCCTGGCATGACCTATACACATACCTTTGGTTGAATTATTTCCACATAATCTTTCCTCACTTGTCTAGACTAGTCATATGTTTAACAAAACTTTTTTTCATTTCTGTTCAAAAACTTAGCTAACCTAGGAGATAGTAATGTAATAGTTATTCAAAGAGAAGCTTGACTGTTCGGGATACTGTAAATTCACATTTCTTATTAAATGGGAGGAGATTGGCTGAGATGATTTCAGAGTCTAAAATTGTCTGATTATAGTAATAACATATATATATATATTTTTTTTTCAGGAAAGCTTGCAGTTGTGAGGGATTCCCATTCCATGAGGTAATATCCAGTAATTCAACTGTATTAATTGTAGAAACTTTCTTAGAAGTTTAAGTCTCAATTCCTATTTTCTTTTTTCTTGCTAGGTTATTCAAGAATTCCTTTTAAACAAGGATAAATTGGTGAAGGTTATCAGGTACCAAAGACCTGATTTGTTGTTGTTTCAGGTATCTGAAAATAAATTCTTGCTTTACCATATGAAGTTATATGCTGGAAAGATAGGAACAGGTATTCACTCTGATTGGTGTGAGAGGAGGTTTAAACTTAAGACAGGCAGCTCTTATATTTTTTCAGCATTTATTTCTAATCTCTCATTTGCCATACAGTAGCCATACTTTGCACACTATAAGACAAAGTACAGTTATGCTGTTTTAGAAGATGCCTTAATTAGCATACGTGGATATATTGCACCCAAGGATATTTTGGGGGAAGAGGGTTTAATAACAAGAGAATGTCAAGATCACGTATATAATTATGGAAGGTAGTATCATTTACAAAAAACATTGAGATCTGAAATTAATGATCTAAATTTAAATTTGGACCATATTCCATTTACTGTGTGACCCTGGATGTGTATTATTCTCAAAATAGAAATAATATTATCTCATGAAGTCACCATGAGGATTAAATGAGATTATATTAACTCCTAATATAGTGGCTAGGGACATGGAGTGGTTCAATAAATTGCAACAGCTGGGTACTTACAAGTATTAATAATGGCAGCCAACATTTATTAGACATTAAAATTTGCTGTTGTGTTTAACGCATTACATGTAATCTCAGCCTTTATAATCTGTGAACTGGGTTATAATATTTTCACATTACAGATGGTAAAACTGAGGCTAAGAGAGGTTAAGTGAGTTACCCAACATCTAAGAAATATCATCCTGGTGTTCAAACCGAGAACCTTCACTCTTAATCATTATACAATAATGATTCTTCTTTAGGAGGCTTATTCTTTCTAGAATATTCTCATTGATACTACTTTAACTTATGTTAATTCTAAAGGAAAAATTATTAATATCACCTGGGAGTGCTATTTGTCTCCAAGAGGTAACAAAATCTTGTTTTATTTTTATTATATTTACAGAGATTTACTCTTGAAAAAATGGAGTGGCCCAATCACTATGCATGTGAGAAATTGCTGGTACTTTTGACCCGTTACGACATGATAGAAAGAAAGCTTGGTAGCAGAAACTCTAATCAACTACAACCAATTCGGTAATGTAAAGAACTGTATGGTGAAGATGGTGTTTTTACTTGAATATCTTATAATTAAAATATTCCTAATATCTTTAAGCTTGTTTTTGTAAAGGTGGAGGAAAGGCCTCCTGGAATATTAAAAGCTTATAATCAGAACAACATAGTAAGTCATGCTTTATCATACGTTTCTACTTCAAACACATAGTAATAATAGATTATAAAAAGAAACAAGCATAAAAGGATATAGCCAGCCTTTATAAGACAACTGTTTCAGTGGACCAGGAAAGGAACAAACGTGTAAAGGTAATGCGGGACCTAAAACTGGTTTTGCAGAGCCTTAAATCTAGAAGCCAGCAGTATCATCCAGGAGATAAATCACTTCAGAGAGAAAAAAAAAAAAAAACAGGGACCAAAAGTGCAAGATGTTGATGGAGTCAGGCTTATTTCTTGAAACCCAGTAGGTAGGGTGGAATTTCTCTGTTCCTATCAGGAGATAAGAGGCTGGGGTAGACAATAAAAAACTAACCAAATGCTGCCTGAAACCCAGAAAGCCTACTGGAAATCATTCAAAAAGACGAGAGAGATAGAAGTGAAGACAGATAAAATATAAAAGAATTGAAGAAGAAAGCTTAACATATAAAGAAATACAATATAAAAATCAAAAGTCATGAATTCACTTTAGATTAAGTTTTAAAACAGTCTGACAGGTTTTATGCAAGGGGTGGGTGTGGTTGGCCTTTCAGAATGCTAGAATCCTCAAAAAGATGAAGACATATGTCTGTAAGCAACAGAAGGCAAAATTATAAAAGTGTATGTAAATGGATGGATATAAAAAGTGAACTATTAGCTTAAAAATAGTTGATGAAATAAAAAGCAATAAAGGGGACTCTAGGCTGAACTTGGTCAAAAAAAATTTGTAATTTGGAAGAGAAATCTTTTCAAAGACTCTCATAAAAAATGCTTAAGAGTAGTTTTGGATTAATTCCTAGAAGCTAATAAAAGAAAAGGTTGAAAAGTAATTTTGAGGCCGGGCGCGGTGGCTCAAGCCTGTAATCCCAGCACTTTGAGAGGCCGAGACGGGCGGATCACGAGGTCAGGAGATCGAGACCATCCTGGCTAACACGGTGAAACCCTGTCTCTACCAAAAAATACAAAAAACTAGCTGGGCGAAGTGGCAGGCGCCTGTAATCCCAGCTACTCGGGAGGCTGAGGCAGGAGAATGGTGTAAACCCAGGGGGCAGAGCTTGCAGTGAGCTGAGATCCGGCCACTGCACTCCAGCCTGGGCGACAGAGCGAGACTCCGTCCCAAAAAAAAAAAAAAAAAAGAAAAAAGTAATTTTGAAAAGATGATGTCTGAGAGTTTTCCAAAATTTAAGACAGATAAAGTTATACTCCAAATTATAGTCACAATACATAAAATACCCAAGGCATATTGTAGACATCAACGATAAAAGGAGTATCTTAAAAAGTACCAAACCAATCAGGCAACAATCATCAATGGATGTTAAAACCATTAGATGAAAGATTGCTGGAGAGAAAGGATAGTCACAGTCTCAAGTACCACTCTACAAATTAATTACAAAGGAAAAATGATGTCTTCAAAAGTGGAGGAGTCCAGTGGACGTCAGTTTAACTAAATGATTAATTTCCAATAAAAGGACAATAGTCTGATTTCATATGCTTTCTAATATGTTAAACTGAGAAAGATACCACATTATATAATATTTTTGCCAAAAAAGCTTGAGCTAGGCAGGGCATGGTGGCTTGCACCTGTAATCCTAGCATTTTGGGAGGCTGAGGCCGGTGGATCGACTGAGCTCAGGAGTTCAAGACCCATCTCTTCCAAAAATACAAAAAAGTAGCCAGGCATAGTGGAGAGCACCTGTGATCCCAGCTACTTAGAAGGCTGAGTTGGGAGGATTGCTTGAGCCAGGGAGGTGGAGGTTGCAGTGAGCTGAGATCACACCACTGCACTCCAAACTGTGACAGAGTGAGACCCTGTCTCAAAAAAAAAAAAAAAGTTTAATCTGTATCTAATCATGAGGAAATACTCTAATGAATCCAAGTGAAAACCATTCTGTGGAGCTATTATGCTGGACTCTTCAAAAATGAAACAAAAAAAATCTAGGTAGTTTTTCTGGATTAAAATAAAGAGACAACACAATTCGAGAAAAATGATCCTGATTGAATTCTGAATTGTTTTTAAGTCATAAAGGACCTTTTTTTAGGACAATTGGGGAAATTTGAATATGGTCTGTATATTGTATCAGTGTTAAACTTCCAGAGTGTGATAGTTTTTTGTGACAGTGTAGGGAAATACTCTACATAGGCTGCAGTATTTGGGGGCGATGTGCCATGAGATGTGTTTGCAACTAACTTGCAAATGGAGAAAGCAAGTGTGATAAAATGTTAACAATTGATGAATCTCAGTAATAGCATGTGAGTATTCATTGTACTATTTCTGCAACTTTTATAAAGGTTTGAAATTTTTCAGAATAAACAGTTTGCTGGGAACTATCAAAGGAAAAAGATCAACTATCTGATAGCACACATCTTTCATAACAGTAATAGATGCCAGAAGATGCTGGAGTGATGTTTCAAAGTACCGAGTAAAAATAATTTACAACCTTGAAATCATTAAAACATCATTCATAGGAAAAGCGTTTTTAAACATATGAAGACTAAGAGAGTTTACCACTCATAAACCTTCCTTAAAAGTGCTGTTAAAGGGCTGGGCGTGGTGGCTTATGCCTGGATCAGCAGCACTTTGGGAGGCCAAAGCAGGCGGATCACTTGAGGCCACGGGTTCTAGACCATTCTGGCCAATGTAGCAAAAACCCCTCTCTACTATAAATACAAAACATTAGCTGGGCGTGGTGGCACACGCCTGTAATCCCATCTACTTGGGATGCTGAGGCACAAGATCTCTTGAACCCAGGAGGCAGAGGTTACAGTGAGCTGAGATGGCATCACTGCACTCCAGCCTGGGCAAACACAGCAAGACTCAAAGAAAAGGATAATTTCTTTTTTAAAGTGTTGTTAAAGGATATACGTCAGCAAGAAAAAAAATGAACACAGAGGGAAGATGTGAATTACAAGAAACAGTGGTCAGCCCAGGAATTGATTGAAACATATTTGGATAATTTAATAAACTGACTAGAAAAAATTATATATATAAATATTTGTATAGTATGTAATGATTAATACACGATGATGATGATGATAAGCCAAAACTCCCAAAGTATGCATTCAAACACCTGCTAGAAATATAATCTGTCTTCCAAACCAGCACAATTAAAATAAGAAAGTAAAACTATCAAACCAAAAGAATACAGAAAGAAGGAAGGTGGAAGGAACAAAGAAAAAGCTGGTGACAAAGTAAGATGCATGAATGAATCCAGCAGCTATATCAGTAATCACCAAAAATGTAAGCAGATTAAACTCACATATTAAAAGACGTATTATATTGGATAAGTAAATAAAACTCAGCAATATTCAGCTTATAAGGTACATGTAGAATAATACTACACAGAATTTGAAAATAAAAGAGATTTAAGAACAGTTAGTAGGAAAATACTGTACTTACCAAAGTAATATAACAAACTAAAACAAAAATCATTATTGTGGAAGTGAGGAACACTGCATAATAAGGTAAGAAACAATTGACTTAGAAGATCTAATAATAATAAATTCTATGTACCTAACAATATTATCTTTTGAATAAACTAGTCAAAGGACTAGGCAGTAATTCCTTTAAATGTTTTTACCTGGGGGGAAAAAAAAAACTATGGAAATTATTCAGGTTACAAATGGAAAATTTCCAAATATCTTTTGCAATTAGACTTCATTAAATGAATTTGTTTTTCAGAATTGTTAAGACTCGAATCAGAAATGGAGTTCATTGTTTTGAAATAGAATGGGAAAAGCCTGGTATGTATTCACTTTAAGCAAAATATTCCATTTATAATATTTGACCATGTATGTCTAGTAAATATTGTACGTGTGTGTGAAAATAAAATATGAAACCCATCACATGCACCACAGGTTGATTTCATAGTTTGCCTGTGTTATTTTAGATAGGTTTTGACTAATAGTAAACATGATAAACTTTGATTTTATTTTAATGTCCTAATTTGACATTTCTTTTGTAATGTTTAAGGAAGTAATGCTGAAATAATTTTTATTTATATTTCTCAAATATGCTTTTACAAATGCTCTGGTCATTCAATGTCATGTATAAGTCCATCTGAAAAAATTGAGATTGCTAAAAAACCCCTGGGATACACTTCCTTTCCTTTTTTTTTTAACCCTGCTTAGTTTTCAGTGGGAATTTTTTATTGTCAAATTATTCTTATTTTTGCTACAGATAGAATTACAGTGAACTCTGAATTAGCTCCCAAACTGGAGATAGTGAAACACAGATAATTTAAAATGGAAAATGACACCAAGTTGATTTCTGTTTGGCTTTGAAATTAAACTGTATGATCATATTTGAGAGAACAGGTTTGTCCAATGAAAGTTTAAGCTGTAGGTAACTTTGAAGAATGAAATTACAGAGAATTAGATAAATCATTCCAAGCAGTAAGAGGAAGATAGAATGTTGAAGAATTTTGAAAAGTATTTAGAAACAGTTACACCGACCAGTATATTTTCAGGAAAGAAAATGATATTAATTCAGTTTGGCAATGCATCTCTCCTGTCAAGAACTGAGGATCAGATACCCATTTTCACTGATCCTCGTGGGAGCTATTACAGGAGAAAATGTACTCCAAGCTAGTTTAACTAAGGAACACTTTTAAAATCACTCATTCTCTTTGTTTCTGCTTTAAACTTATCAGTATATTCTTTATAATTTGGCTTATTTTATAGTTTTGCCCACATATAAACCCAAGAATCTAGTGTACTATTTGTAAATACACTGTACTGTAAATTTACATATGAACATTTTTATTTTCATTTATTAATTACTTGTAAGTCCAGTTAGATTGGGCTTGAGACATTGATACCCTCTGAAACAACAATCTGGGAGTAGTAATACTTTTTTTTTTTTTTTTTTCTTGAGACGGAGTCGTGCTCTGTTGCCCAGGCTGGAGAGTGCAGTGGCACCATCTTGGCTCACAGCAACTTCTGCCTCCTGGGCTTAAGTGATTCTCCTGCCTCAGCCTCCCGAGTAGGTGGGGTTACAGGCACCTGCCATCACGCCTGGCTAATTTTTGTATTTGTAGTAGAGATGGAGGTTTGCCATTTTGGCCTGGCTGGTCTCGAACTCCTGACCTCAGGTGTTCCACCCGCTTCGGCCTCCCAAAGTGCTGGGATTACAGACGTGAGCCACTGCGTCGGGCCTGGAAAGTAGTAATGCTTTTGATGACCCTTTCAGTTGTGTTCTTTTCAGAAGCCATCACTAAAGAAAGCTGATGTTGAGTTTTAGGAAGCTATTTCATTTCTTACCTGGAATTTTAACACTTACTTAACTGAATTAAACCAACTAACCTTACCTAAACAAAGTTTTCTATTCTTTTTTTTTTTTTTTTTTTTTTTGAGACAGAGTCTCGCTATGTCGCCCAGGGTGGAGTGCAGTGGCCGGATCTCAGCTCACTGCAAGCTCCACCTCCCGGGTTTTTACGCCATGCTCCTGCCTCAGCCTCCGGAGTAGCTGGGACTACAGGCGCCCACCACCTCGCCCGGCTAGTTTTTTGTATTTTTTAGTAGAGTCGGGGTTTCACCGTGTTAGCCAGGATGGTCTCGAACTCCTGACCTCGTGATCCGCCCGTCTCGGCCTCCCAAAGTGCTGGGATTACAGGCTTGAGCCACCGTGCCCGGCCCAAAGTTTTATATTCTTTCAGCTACTGCTACCATCTCAGAATAACAGAATTTAAAGTTCTAATTTAGAAAGAATCTCCAGCTATTGCCAGGCAAAAAGAAAATAAATTATGTACTGCTATCAACAGATTGTTAGAATATAGGTGTTATAAAGCAAGATTTGCAGTGAATAGTTCATTTGTGAATGACTTATTTTACCTGGTAAACCTAGTTACCTGGAAAGATTGAAGTTGTTTTTTTTTTTTTTTTTTTTTTTTTTTTTAGATGGAGTTTTGCTCTTGTTGCCCAGGCTGGAGTGCAGTGGTGCGATCTCGGCTCACTGCAACCTCCACCTCCTGGGTTCAAGTGATTCTCTTGCCTCAGCCTCCCGAGTAGCTGGGATTACAGGCACATGCCAGCACGCCCAGCTAATTTTTGTATTTTCAGTAGAGATGGGGTTTCACCATGTTGGTCAGGCTGGACTCGTGTTGGTCAGGCTGGTCTCGAATTCCTGACTTCATGATCTGCCTGCCTTGGCTTCCCAAAGTGCTGGATTACAGGTGTGAGCCACCAAGCCTGGCCAACTGGATTTTTTAAAAATGTGTAATTAAGGATGCTTTGCTGTATTTTTAATCTTTTAGAACATTATGCTATGGAAGATAAACAACATGGAGAATTTGCTCTGCTAACAATAGAAGAAGAATCATTGTTTGAAGCAGCATATCCTGAGATCGTTGCTATTTACCAAAAACAAAAGTTAGAAATTAAAGGGAAGAAACAAAAACGTAAGTTTTGGGTTTGACAGCTATTTATGCCACATGCAAATGTTATAGAAGAGCCACCTCTTCTGTTTGAATCTACTCTGTCTAAATTTTACTGAAAAATCTATAAAATCAAGAGTCAAGAATTATATTCTTCCTTGTCTTCACATACTTTCTTTTAAAGCTGAAAAGCCAGGAATAAAACATTCTGCTCTGTCTACTAACTTAACCAATTGTTAATAATAATAGTTATACTGACCAATTGGTCAGCAGCTACTGTTTATAGCATATTCGGGTTTTAAATACATTTTCTTCATTTCCCAGAACTCAGTGAGGAAAACAGCTCAATTGTTTTCAGAGGGAAATATTTTATAATCTAGGAATGCACTGAGACCAAAAAAAGCCAAAAAAATTCATATAGATTTCTCTCTGAACTGTTTATTTATTTGTTTTTACCCAAGTTAAAGCAAAGAAAATAAATGTTGATTATATGTATTTTTTTTTTCAGGTATTAAGCCTAAAGAAAATAATTTGCCAGAACCAGATGAAGTAATGAGCTTTCAGTCACACATGACTTTAAAACCCACATGTGAAATCTTTCATAAGCAGAATTCCAAGTTAAAGTTGGGGATTTCCCCTGATTCTGCATTACCACAGGAATCTATATCTGCCTCGCTGAATAGCTTGCTTTTACCTAAAACTACTCCATGTTTGAATGTACAAGAACAGTTCATGTCTTCTCCAAGACCTTTGGCTATACAGATTAAAGCTGTCAGTAAGTCTCTAATTTCAGAATCTAGTCAACCCAGTACCTCATCTCGTAATATATCTGTGATTGCTGATCTACACTTGAGCACTATTGACTGGGAAGGTACATCTTTTAGTACTTCTCCAGCTATTCAAAGGAATACTTTTTCTCACGGTTTAAAATCAGAAGTTGAATCAGAGCTATCAGCCATCCCTGGTGGCTTTGAAAATATCCCAGAACAACTGTCATGTGAATCAGAAAGGTATACTGCAAACATACAGAAAGTGTTGGATGAGGATTCTGATAGGATTAGTCCTGAAGAGCATCTACTTTCTGGCATTACTGATTTATGTCTTCAGGATTTGCCTTTAAAGGAACGAATATTTATAAAATCATCATATCCTCAGGATAGTCTACAACCAGATGTCAACCTGAAAACTTTGTCCATACTTAGTGTAAAAGAACCTTATATTGCTAACAGTGGTTCTGATTGTACATCACATCTTTCAAAGGATCTTCCAGGAATTCCCTTGCAAAATGAATCCAGAGACTCTAAAGTTCTAAAAGGAGACCAGCTGCTTCAGGAAAACTATAAAGTCAATACTTCTGCACCTTATTCTATCAGTAACACAGTAGTAAAGACCTGCAATGTTAGACCACCAAATACTGCTTTAGATCATAGTAGAAAAGTTGATATGCAAACCACTCAGAAAATTTTAATGAAGAAGAGTGTTTGCCTTAACAGACATTCCTCTGATGAACAAAGTGCCCCAGTGTTTGGGAGAGCTAAGTACACAACTCAAAGAATGAAGCACAGTTCTCAAAAGCAAAATACAACCCAGTTCAAAGAAAGTGGCCACAACAAGTTGGGTAGCCCTAAGATACATATTAAAGAAAGTGAACAGTGTGTCAGATCTTATAAAACAGCTGAAAATGAAGAAAGCTGTTTCCCAGATTCAGCAAAAAGTTCTTTGAGTTCTCTACAATGTCATAAGAAAGAAACCAACTCTGTTACTTGTTTGGATAGTCCTCTTCCTTTACGCCAGAGATTAAAACTAAGATTCCAAAGCACTTGAAAGGAACTTTAAAACACTTAAGTATAACTTATTATTTTAGTTCTTCAGCAATAGCAGAGACAGAGGGAAGGTATCTATTTCATGTGTGGTAAAAATTTTAATGTTCTCTATGTCATGAAACACCATTTTAATCAAAATTGTGATTTTAAAAATGTCACCTAAAACTCGGGTTTTAAAAGATCCTCTGTATTGAAAACTTCTGATAATGCATGTCATTATTATGTCCTTATTATTCCTTAATTGTGGTTTTAAAATATTGGTATAGTACTTGACAGAGTAAATGCTTCATCTCTTTGTTCATTTTTACTTTTTCTTCCACAAGCCTCTAAAGTATTTATATTCCAGCTTGTTCCCAAGAGGATAATTCTTTATACTTCTCTGCATTCTTTTAAGGCCTTGCAAGGTCTTCCGTTATAACTCTCTTTCCTAAGAGTTATTTTCTCCCTAAGTGTGAAGATACCTTTAGTGTGCTCTTTCACATTGGAAGGCCTTGGAAGTCTTCCATTATAACTCTTTGCTGAGAGTTATATTCTCCCTCAGTGTGAAGCTACCTTTAGTGTGCTCTTCCACTTTTGGTGTCTTAGTCTCTTTTTTGAGGGGCAAAAAGAAAAGGAGAGAAGATGTCAGTATGTTTAGTAAAAATCATGCTTGTAATGGCTGAATAAACTGAGCAAAGCCCAGAAGTTCACACGTATATCAAGTGGAAGAAGATTTGGAAAATCAAATGTATTTCTAATCCAAAAGGATTAGAAACTTGCCCAGGATCACATAGCTAACTAATAATCCTGTGGGAATCAGTTTTCTTGCCTGCTAATTTTTTTATTTTTCTATTTTTTCCTTCTGTATCACTTTTCCCCCTTTTGTTTTAAATCTATGCAATATTGACTTTAATACCACCAAATATTAAATCTTGCATTAATTTAGGTCGCACTCAAAAATTCTAGAGAAGTATCCAGATTGAAGAGGAAAATTGTCTCTGCAGATGACAAGATTGTATGTATCAAAAATTCTAAGAAATCTACTAGAAAACTATTAAAACTGATAAAATGAGTTCATCAAGGTTGTAGAATACAAGACCAATTGTGCAGTGATCATTGTATTTTGTTTGTGTTTGTTTGTTTGTTTTTTGAGACGGAGTCTCACTCTGTTGTCAAGACTGGGGTGTAGTGGCGCCGTCTTGGCTCACTGCAACCTCTGCCTCCCAGGTTCACACGATTCTCGTGCCTCAGCCACCTGAGTAGCAGGAATTACAGGTGTGTGCCACCATGCCTGGCTAATTTTTAGTATTTTTAGTAGAGATGGGATTTTCCCATGTTGGTCAGGCTAGTCAACTCCTAGCCTCAAGGATCCACCCATCTCGGCCTCCCAGAGTGCTGGGATTACAGGTGTGAGCCACCATACCCAGCCTTAACTATATTTCTGTACACCTCTAAATAAATGGAAATACATTCCATGTTGATGAATCAGAAGACATAAGATGACAATACTCCCCAAACTGATCTACAGGTTAAATGTAATTCCTATTAATTCCAGCTGGTTTCTTTGCTGATTATAAAATTCATATGGAAATTTCAGAAACACAAGAAGAATCTCGAAAAAATTTGAATGACTCACCCTTCCTGATTTTAAGTATATAAACTACAGTAATGAAGAATGTGTTGTACTGGTATAAAGGTAGACGTATAGGTCAACATAGATCAATGGCATAGAATTGAGAGTTCAGAAAAAAGCCCTCACATTTATGGTCAGTTGATTTTAAACCAGAGTGCCAAGACAATTCAATGGGAAAACACAACTGTCTTTGAACCAACTGTCTTCTGGATCTATTGGATATCTACGTAAAAAAGAATGACATTTGATTCCTACTTCACATGATATTTAAAAAGTAACTTAAAATGGATCAAGGACCTAAATGTAAGAGCTACAGCTATAAAACAGAAGAAAACATAGACATAAGTCTGTGACTTTGGATTAGGCAAGGATTTCTTAAATACACCCAAAACATAGGCAACAAAAGAAAATACACAAAGTGGACTTCATCAAAACTAAAAACTTGTTTGAAATGACACCATCAAGAAAGTGAAAAGACAGCTTACAGAATGGGAGAAAATATTTGCAAATCATAAATGTGGTAAGGGACTTGTATCTTAGAGGGATGTATATAAAGAACTCATAACTCAATTATAAAAAGACAACTTCAAAATGGGCAAAATAACAGGCATTTCTCCAAAGAAGAAATACAAATGGCCAATAAGCACATTTAAAATTGTTCAGTACTATTAGTCATCAGGAAATTGCAAATCAAAGCCACAAGACACCCAATAGAATGTCTGCAATCAAAAAGATAATAACTAGTATTGATGAGGATGTGGAGAAATTGGAATTCTCATAACATGCTGGTAGGAATGTAAAATGGGGCAGCCACTTTGGAAAAACTCTGGTATTCAGATGGTTAAATGTAGAGTTAATATCCAGCAGTTCCACTCCCAGGTATATACCCAAGAGAAATGAAAACATACATCCACATAAAAACCTGTGCACAAATGTCCATAGCATCATTATTCATAATAGCCAAAAAGTGGAAACAATCCCAATTCCAGAATGAGGAAGGGGAAAAACTAATGCGTATTAGCTATACCGTGTGCTAAGCATTCAACTAGATTCTTTACAAACCTTGTATCGTCTCAACAGCTTTTTAAGGACTGTATTGCAATGTTTTGTATATTCAGAGAGAAAAAAATCGTTGCTAAAACATTCTTCCAAGGTTCTGCTTATTTTGATTTGTTCAGTCGTGGCTGTGATAGCTTAGGACCATCTAGACCAGGTAAATAAAATATCTAGAGGCATTCTTGAGATTGTATGAGATGAAAATAACAATTAGTTGGGAGTGGCCAGTCTAGGTTCATTTTGCTATATAGCTCAGGTGTCCCCAGGCTGTGGACAGGTACCAGTCCATGACCTGTCAGGACGGCCTGCACAGCAGGTGGTGAGCGGCATGCAAGCAAGAATCACCGCCTGAGCTCTGCCTCCTGTCAGATCAGCAGTGGCATTAGATTCTCATAGGAGCACAAACCTTTATTGTGAACGACACATGCAAGGATCTAGTTTGCGCACTCCTACTGAGAATCTAATGTCTGATGATACGAGGTGGAACAGTTTCATCCCACAGCCATCTCACCCGCATTGTCCATAAAAAAATTGTTTTCCATGAAAGTGGTCCTTGGGGCCGGAAAGGTTGGGGACCGCTGATACAGCTAAACAGGCGTAAGTGTAAAATTATACTTTCTCCTCCTCAAGTTCTCTGTTTTCATTGTCCACGCTATACCAATTCTTTTTAAAGCATTCCATGTTCTTGTTCCTTGGTGTGGTCATGTTACCACTTGTTTATCAAATTTTACCAGTTGCTGCTTACGTATTTGCTAACCACTTCATTGTCTTGTTGAGGATGCCTTGCTTCCCTTTGAAATACTCTGCCAAAGATCTGCCTCCAGCTGCTAGGATCCTGTAATTGGCTTCTTTCTGATGGCTCCATCCTAAGGCCCTGCTCTGGCCTAACTACTTTGGGCTTTGTGTAGTCAATCTTAAGTTCTTGGCGGTTTTTCTTTTAGATTTTTTTTTTTTCTGTATAAAATCTCTATCGGGTGATGCATGGTGGCTCATGCCTGTAATCCCAGCACTCTGGGAGGCTGAGGTGGGTGGATTGCTTGAGGCCAGGAGTTCAAGACCAGCCGGGCCAACATGGCAAAACCCCGTCTCTACTAAAAATACAAAAATCAGTGGGGCCTGGTGGTGTGCATCTGTACTCCCAGCTACTCAGGAGGCTGAGGCAGGAGAATCACTTGAACCTAGGAGGCAGCGGTTGCAGTGAGCTGAGATGGTGCCACTGCACTCCAGGATGGGTGAAAAAGTGTCTCAAAAAAATTAAAATTTAAATTAAAAAATATATAATCTCCGTCTTCTACATTTTATAATGAGGACTGTACTTTTTCCTTTTGGGTAGCATGGCTTGAGCGATCTTGTCAGGCATACCTAGCTTCAGATTTTTTTCTGCTAACAGATTTTCTCTGAGACCCTGGAGACATTTTCTGACTTTTCTGAGACTCATTTATTCAAATGTTTATGTGACAGGCATTGTGCTGGGCCCTGGAGATACAGTGATCAGTGGTATCCTATAAGGTTGTTTTGGTATCTGTCAAGTCGCTGCCACCATTGACACATTGTACGGACTCAGTCAATGGTAGCTGTGTCCGGTACCATCATTTGGAAAGAGCACTATCAGATTTTGGATTCAAATTGAATGCAGCCAAGCACTGCCTTTTGGTAAAAATGTGGACACAGTAACGCTAGCAGGAGGCAGTGTGAGGGTGGGAGATGTGTTTTCAGAAGAAGGAAACTCTAGCATCATCACACAGGGGATCCTAATGTGGCATTTGAGCTACTGGGAAAAAAAAGTGCTTGCTTAAATATAATTTGGTAACTAATATTCATCTGATCACCTATCACATTTTTGAGCACCCACTTTGAGCAAGGTTCTTAGGCTTTTCTATGTATAACAGCCAGCTGGAGGCCCAGTAAGTTTAAAATTTTTCTAGGTCACTCAACTAGAAAAGGTTAAAGCTGGGACTAGAACTCAGATCTCCTAATTCGTGAGTGAAAACGATTCTCTGTATTTATGTTTCCACACGTCATTCAGTTCTTGACTCAAATATCATCTCAGAGTCCTAATCTTTTTATCTCCTGACATTATAAATGTTGAGTTTAGGGTTTTGTTGTTTTTTTTTTTCATTGTTTCCCAAACTAGAATGCAGACTTGATGAGGCCAGGGATTAAGTCCTTTCTGTTCACAGAATTCTGGAACAGTGTTTGGCACAGTAACTGCTAGATGCATGAATGACAATTCTGCACAACCTGCCAGCCATGGAGCCTGTACCAGCAGTGGCTGCACTTAACCTTGCAGAATCTGGTCTTAGTACTTCAGCATGGCTCACAAGGCTGAGGCAGCCTGGCCCCAACTTGTCTTTTCAGCTTCATGCATTCATAGTCATGAACCTTGGCTCTAGCCACCTAAGACCATTTGTTATTCCCTGCACGGATGTCTGCCTGAAATGCTTGCTGCTAAGGCTAGATAAACCTCATCTGTTAAGGACCAGCTCACATGTCATAACTTTCTAATCCCAAGCCGAATTAATTGCTCTATATGTGTCCCCAAAGAAATTACCCATACATTCATCATAGTATTTATCACATTCATTCATTCGTTCCACAAATACTAGCTGATGCCTACCATGTAGGAGGCACAATATTCCTTGTTTAAAAATGCCTCTATCTCTCCCTCGGGTAAGACTAAGATCTCTTTGAGCACAGTAATCAAATCATTTCTGTTCACTTCCCCCCCCCCCCCCCCCACCCAGATGCCTGCCCAGGGTTTGACTCTTCTGCCTCACCAACTGTTTTATTTACCCATCGAGATTCAGTGTAAACATGGTCTTCTCTAAAAAAGGCTTCTGTTGCTTCTCTGGATCGCTGCTAGTCCCCATAGACTTCTAAAATATTACCTGTCTATAGTTTGGTGTTGGGTTACATTTTTTGTTGTCCACACCAGACTATGAACATTCTCAGGGCAGAGAAACCATATTGTACTTCTGAATCTATAGCACCCAGCAGAGGGATTGGCACAGAAAGTGTCCAGTGAGGCCGGGCATGGGGGCTCACACCTATAATCTCAGCACTTTGGGAGGCCGAGACAGGCGATTGCGTGAGATCAGGAGTTCGAGACCAACCTGGCCAACGTGGTGAAACCCCATCTCTACAAAAAATACAAAAATTAGCCGGGCGTGGTGGTGGGCACCTGTAATCCCAGCTACTTGGGAGACTGAGACAAGAGAATCACTTGAACCCGGGAGGCAGAGGTTGCAGTGAGCTGAGACTGTGCCATTTCACTCTAGCCTGGGCAAGAAGAGCGAAACTGTCTCAACAAAAGAAAAAAAGTGTTAAGTGAATGGGTGCTGATTGACTGGTGGTGATTTCAGGGTCTTAGTTCTAAATTTCTCTGTGGAGAGAGACCAAATCTAACTGGGTGGATTAGCTTGATACCTAGTCACCTTTAGCCACCTTAAGATGCCCTGCCAAGATGCTTGCTTTTCTGAAGGTGAAGAGTCTAAATCAACTGCTGTTCCTGTTCTGCTGGTAGCACTTAGGGTAAAACAGCTTAAATAGTATTACTGAAGGCAGTCTCCTTTCATCTATGTATTAACGTGGCAATGTTTATCACCTTCTTAGCCAAGCAAAGCTTTTATCAGGCTCAGCTAACAGCTTGCATTAGCCTCTTTCAGGAACTTGCCACATTGCCTGTAAACTGACATGCTGCAGAGTCAGCCCCACCAATTGTCCAAAACGGTGGGACTCTTTTTGATGATTTCAAAATAGATAGTTTAGTTAGCCCCAGGCCAGATAAATTCACTAAGTTGCCTGTTTGGCAGTGGAGGGGAGAGTCATCAGCAAAGTAGGCTGACCCTTCTGTGGGCAGAATGAATATTTTGCTAATGTGTAGAAGAATTCCTTTTGTAAGCACCAAAGAACTTTAATAAGGATTAAGTGTCTGAGTTTCCTCAGCATTATTCTGTTCCAAGACCCAAAAAGGAAAATAACCTCCCAAAATGGTAAAAACTGCTTGTATATTTAGAATTCTCTGATCAAAGGCCTAATGAAAAGATTCTATAGTGTTTGTATCATCATAAGTTAAATCTTCATCTACCACCCAACTGATACCTGCCTTTCTGTGTGTGAAGTTAGAAATGGCTGTTCTTTAATAAATGCTTTCGATCTGAAAGTGAGAAAGTGATTTATGAAACACCCAGGTGAGGGGAGACTACAAGTCCCTTTGCCTTTTAGTTTTCAAGCAATACTGGTTACAGTAACTGCTCTGATGTAATTATTGCTAACATTTACATTTTTATTAAACTGAAAATGCTAACTGTGAATGCCAGATGTCAGAAGCCTTATTTTACATAATTGTCCAAACACAGACTAGGCGCTGTGAAGGCCCCACAGCTTCACAGCTGGGATAGTTCTATGGGAGGTGTCAAAGGACTGGGTACAACCAGGTCTACATCTTCTGAAACAAACCGAAGGACATTTTCTTAAACCTGAGAGTCTCTAGTCTGGGAAAGTGTCTTGGTTCTGATAGAGACTAGCTACACTGGTGGGCAAACCTCCCCTGGCTTCACTTCCTTCTGTCTTCACTCTCAATCACATTTGAGGATACATATCAATATATATGAAACGTATATCAATATATAAATTTAGCATTACTGATGTCTTTAAGATGTGTTCCATTATAATCTGTATAATTTTTTGAGAAGGGAATTGTCTACTTATGAAGAAAAAAGAGACAAAGCTCATTGGGCACTAATGAATATAAGTGAGCTTTTACAGTTTCAAAAGTCTGTTATGCAAAGCATTAGTGAATCTTGGGAAAAGACAAACGATGTATATTAAATGTTTATGTGCCACACACCTAATTGTTAAAATTTCTCATCTATGCCCCACAAAAACTAAGAGGGTCAAGTGTGGTGGCTCATGCCTGTAATCTCAGGACTTTGGGAGGCTGAGGCGGGCAGATCACTTGAGGTCAGGAGTTCAAGACCAGCCTGACCAAAATGGTGAAACCCTGTCTCTACTAAAAATACAAAAATTTGCTGGGCGTGGTGGCAGGTGACTGTAGGTGGAGGTTGCAGTGAGCCAAGATCATGCATTCCAGCCTGGGTGACAGAATGAGACTCAGTGTCAAAAAAAGAAAAAAAAATAGAGGCAAGCACTGTTATCCCCTATTTGCATTTGAGGCTAA